AGTCTGTCTGGGTTTGTCCAAACAGACTACTTGTTCTATTTCCCCTCTTCCCTTTCCTTTCTTTATTTCACTTGTAGATACTACATATATGAAATAAAGAATTGAAATTCCTGAAATCAAACCTCCCAATCGCCCAATTAGTGAGCTTAGAGTCCTCTTCAAAGAGCACCAACCCTCACAGGCATGCCTTTGAGGCAGGCCCTGGGCAGGCCTTTTGGGCTTGATTTTGGGGTAGGTGTGCCCTTGTTAGGTTCAGGCTGGTTTAAGTGTATTCCGTCCAGTAACTGTGTGATTATGTGTGGGAATTTTTGCTTAACATCAAGAATATTTTTAAATCACACCTCAAAGTGCTCTACTTACAACACATCCCTAATATCCAAGCCACTATCAGCTACTATTGTTTTAAATAGGGGTCTGAGAACGAGGATTGGGATGAGGATGATCTTTTTGATTGTTCATTTTCATGACTGTTGATGAGATGTACATGAGTACTGTCATGAAATAATTATGTATGCTATGTCTGATGTTGTTTGAGTGTTTTTTCCACCTACTTTGCTTTTTTGGGGGATTTTAACACCTTAGAGGCACGCCTAAGCACCCCCACTATAGGTGTGCCTTTGGAAAGATCAAAATACGCCCCCAGGCCTGCCCCAAATTCAAAACACGCGCCCACCACGTGATGTGCAACCCTGAAAATATTGTTTGATCAAATTTTCTCTCCCAGTCTTAATTAAAAAATATGATTTCAAAATTCAAGTTTGTGTCTGGATCACAGCATTGCTTGCTGCTTGCTGCTGTGGATTTTTTCTTTTTTCTTTTCTTTTCTTTTTTGCTTCAATTGGCATGCCCATATGCCCCCTCCTATCCAGGGATGTCTGGGACAAAGGATTTTGGGCCTGGGAACACCTCCTTTTCAAATTCACACCCACCACCTGACTGGGGGTGTGTCTGACAAAAATGCCAAAAAGTGCTCCCAAAGGTACTTATATTGTAGTTTTGAGTGTTTCCTGGTCAGATAAATTTCATGATTAGGTTGTTAGCCTTTAGGACTGTGGGTGTTGAGATGCAAGAGACAGACTCTGAAGGTGATCTAGTAATGTAGTTAGATTGCTAAGGGCAGATACAAGGTCCTGCAAGGCAGCAAGTATAATAAGAATGACTAAGTACATAAGTGACTAAGGGTTAAGTAGGTCACAACATAGGCTAATCAAAAATTGCACCCTTTATCCAATCAAGAATGCCAAAGATCAAGCATACAACCCAAGTCAAAATCTGGGAGAAGCAGGATCAAGAAGTTGATGATCAAATGGGGTTTGCCCTCCAAAACCCAAAATTCTTGCAATAGACAACCCCTCTGGAGGGAAAAGTTTTTCTTTTCCGCAAAATCACACCAAACACGCCCAGTGGCACCTGGGCACAGTCCTAACACAAGGAAGGGGTGCTGGTGCACCTTTTAAAAAAGGATGCAACCCCAGCCTGATTATGAGAATAGAGGATCATGATAAAGAATTGAGGCCACACAGTTACCATTGATCTAATATTGTGAAGTCTTGTCAAATGAACTTGAATTTCAATGGTAGACTTCCTGGAGCCAGAGTGATGATAACTTCCATTTCAAGTTGATATCATGGATATGAAAACTCACTTATTAGATCTCTTACTCCAATCAATTTTTTCAAATATCAAACAGGTATTCCTCAATCTTAGAATAGAAAACAGTTTATAACACACTCAAAAAAAGAATGTACAAAAAGCCCAAAGCAAAACTTTTTTCAAGAATTTCTTCTTTGATAAAAATTGTTTAATTGTATGATAAGTTCTGTTTGATACATTGCAACTGGAATTTAAAGCAAAACTTTTTTCAAGAATTTCTTCTTTGATAAAAATTGTTTAATTGTATGATAAGTTCTGCTTGATACATTGCAACTTGAATTTGGAGAGTAGAGATATGCTGATAAGTTCCTTCCTGCAAAACTCTCTAAAAATAGTTTTGATACTCCTTTTTCAACTATATTTCCTTCCTGTGGTCCACCAACCATTGTTAAAAAGTAACCAGTCAAATCAAAGATCCGCCATGCAGTGAGAGTCACTTTTTTACATTTCATGTCTTTGCATTGTAGCAACATCAATTGGAGGTGGGCTAGAGAAATCTTCAATAATTCATGACTCAAAAAGCAACTCTATCTTGGTGCCAAGCTACACAGGGGCCAAAATTGATGCTCACATGTATGTGAGCGTTGTAGACTTTTTTGAAGTCTCCAAAAAAGATTCATTTTCTTTCAGATTCATTCAATTCACAATTTTGGTTGTGTTCAGGTGATCAGCCTGTTTTGCTCACATTTTGCTCGACATTTCTTGAGAAGGCTCATTTCCATCTTGGATGAGCAATAACTGAGTCCAGATGAGTACTCAGGATCAGCTCATGAGTCACTGAATACTCAGCAATTTGGTCAAAATTACAATGAGCACATGAACTACACCTTCCTCAGGCTTCATTCCTTAGTGAAGGCCTGCACAGGGGCTGTCCCATTTGAGATGCTCAGGAAATACTCAGTATCATCCCCTGGCTGGGTCATTGATGGGCCAGACTTCCATGCTAAGGAATGAAACCTCGTGAAAGAGCCATCCCCCTGCTCAGTTTATCTCAGCCGCTCAGCTAATCCTAAGTGATGTCCCCTGGATAAAGCTGCTCACACTGAGGGGCTGAGATCAACTGAGCAGCCCCTCAGCTAGTCCTCTGTGACATCCTTTGGATCCTTCTGATCCCAGGAATGCCCCTGAGGACTAGCTGAGCAGCTGAGCAGCCCCTCAGCCAATACTCAGTGACATCCTTTGGATCTGTGAGGGTTGGGTACTCTACAGAGGACTCAAGGCTCACTAAGTGGGTACTGGATAGTAGCAACTGTTTCAATAGTCTATTTTTATATTTCAATTATATGGTAATTACAACAGAAATATAAGAAAGATAGAGAAAGAGGGAAAAAGGGGGGGAACTGGTCTGTTTGGATAAACCCAGACAGACTACAGTTAAATGACTCCTAAAAAGGAGGTTTTTAATTATAATAAATAAATGTTATAATTAATGAAGTATGGGTCCCAAATGTCCTTCCTTTAATCTTCTAATTAACAGATTAAAGAGTGAAATAAAGGTCACTACACTGGTTGTTCTTAAAGTCACCAACTTATGGTTGTTCTTAAGGTCACCAGCCTGAAAGTAATTATATGTAGGTCACTAGCCTTGGGTTGTTGGAAGGTCACCAACCTAAAAGAGTTCCTACTTGGGGGAAGTAGAGGATCCAGAAAGGGTGAAGGTATTACTTACTTTTAATCAAGGAACTGATTAAAGTAATGAAGTTATCACTAGTCTTATATTTATAAGACTCTTGATGTTACTTCAGTAGAACTTTAATTGTTCTTAAAAGTAGTGTGTAATAATTGCTTGGGGTTTTCTGAAGGCTGAGAGAGGAGGGGTTTATATACTCTCCTCTCTAAACCTAACTGTAGTGATATTTTGTTATTATCACTACATTGGTTCAGGGTTAGTCATTAACATATAGTAATGATTGTTACTAGTGATGCTTAGTTACATATACATGTTATGTGTGATATGTAATATAAGCATTTAACTCTTTACACTGAGTTATGAGGTGTAAATGGTGATTTATTACATATTACATGTTGTTTTACAGGTTCATGTATATGTAATAAAGGTTTTGGTACATTGTATTACATGTTACATACAGTTTATATTCAGTATGTAGCATGTAATTGATTTTATACATAGGGTTTTGATTGTTACAGGTTAGTTTTGGGTACATGTATATGTACTCAGGGCTGACAGGATCCTTCTCCCAGGAATGCCCCTGATGACTATATGAGCAGCCCCTCAGCCAATGAGCAGTGAAATCCTTTGGATCCTTCTGATCAAGGAATGCCACTGAGGGATAGCTGAGCAGATGGGCATCAGGCTTCATTCTGGAGCCATGAAGCCTGAGGAAAGGCTGGCCCTATGTGATCCATCCAAGGGATGCTGCGGAGAATTAGTCAAGAGGATACTCAGGTCAGCTCAGCCCCTAAGCTATTCATAAGTGGTGTCCCTTGGAGCCTACTAAACCAGGGAATGCCGCTCAGGATCAGCTGAGCAGCTGAGATAAACTGAGCAGATGGTTCAGCCCTTCCTCAGACTTCTTTGCTGAGGAATAAGGCCTGAGGAAGGCTTAGTTTGTCTGCTCAGTTCCTGTTGATCACATAATCAGATGACAAGCAGAAAGAAATTGGAAAGAAAAGGGAAAGAAAAGGAAAGCAAAATTGAACAAACATTGAAGAAAAAACAAAAATTTCAACGCTCACACCTATGTGAGCATCCACTTTTGCCCCTGTGCTAAAGAGTATGATGATTGACACAAGCTTTGTTGTACCTGTGTGGTAAGTAGGCCAAAATATATGAAATTTTACAACATTTTTGACCACACCCCTTCATGATCAAGATCTCAATATGGATGTGGTTTTATCTGAGGTAGATCAATTGATATGCTTTCTTCAACCCATAAAACATTGAAACACAAGCTTTCTTGACTGATGGTATGTTTTAGGTGCACGGCATAGAAAGCCAAACAAAGCTCAAGAAAATATGAGTATGTACACCCATGACCTGATTCTCATTAGTATGCAGATCAAGATGACAAAAGCCAAGAATGTTTGACCAATCTATGAAAAGATCAATCAGTTCATGAGGGCAGTCAAGGCTTGTCCACTACAGCTATCTTACTCCTGTGAGAGTATCATTTGTTGATGGTCCAAGGGAATAAATTCATCTCTTTTCATGGCACTCAATCAAGTGTTGTTTCTTTTGAGTTATTTGCAATTCTTGATAGACAAAGGATAAGATGAAAAGGTACACACACTTGTTGTTGCTGTTGATGATGATAATTTGGAATCTATCTATGAATTACGTTCACAGTTCAAATAAAAGAAAGTGTATAGATAACCAAATGTTCTTTTTAAAAGTCTAGACGAGTATCGATGGCAGATTTGATATGTTGATATACTTCATCAATAGGTACAGATGAATCAATCTATCAAAGTTTTAAAATGAATCAATCAGAATGGTAAGTTTGTATGATTTTTGTGTAATTGCATTAAACTCAACTTCGACTACTTTTCCTTTTTCACGATAATAATCTACTACTGGCATTGAAGTAGCGATAAAGGTCTCTATTGAATTTGAACACCAAGAGAGCGATTCGAAGATGAGAATTGAACCGATAGAAAGACACACTCAGTTAAATGACGAATCGGATCTTGAGATCAACTTGAAAGACTAACTAAACCGTTTTGAAATACTTTCTTCATTATCATCATCTCTTCCACTAGTTTTACCACGTTCGAGTAATCGATCCAACAAAGTTTGTTCAGGACAAGTCAAGAACAACACAAAAGATGATTCACAAACCTAAATCGATCGACCAATCAATCAAAGTCAATCAACTTGTGAGATTTGATAACAAGAAAAAAGAGAATCGAATCGAATGGGATCAGATCAATCACTCACATCTTCATCAAATTTGATTGCCTGATCCATTTTCCTAGGAAACCCATCAACCAAAAACCGATGATTTCCATTCTTAAGAGCTTCACCAATCGAATTCTCAAGTAATTTGATCGTCACTTCCATAGGAACGATTTGACCTTCTGTAATATATTCTTTAATCATCTTTCCATAATCAGATCCTTCTCTTTGTTGTTCGGCTCTTAATAAATCACCGGCTGAAAGATGTACAAATTGATAATCTTTAACTAATCGATCACATTGTGTACCTTTTCCGGCTCCAGGTCCACCAAGTACAAAGATTACTGATATCTTTTGTTTATCAAAACATGGTGCCATTTTTTATGAGTTCTTTAACTTTCTTTTTTGTTACTTGAATCCTTTGATGATGAAACAACTGGAGATCCACCAAAACTAGGAAAAGCTTTTGCTCGTAATCTTGGATCGGTTGAATCTGAAGAACGTTGAAGAGTGATGTATGCAAAAGTAGCGCAAGCTGAGCCAAAGATCGCAATGAAGATTAAAGGTGATGGTGCAGCTCGTCGTTGGGGTGCGATTGGAGGTTTAGTTGAATAGTGACGAGGAAAGAGAAATGATGATTTGTTGTTTAGTTGTTGATGGTGAGAAGGAAATGGATGAATCATTTAAAGCCAAATTCAAACTCCGATCAACTGGAACCTCAAAGTTGAAATCAAAACCAAATTCATATCACCACATCATCAAACCATAGTACAGGTTTAAGTTTGAACAAAACTAAAACACCCTAAAAAAGTGTAAAGTCTTCTTTGAATGTCTTTTAACTCGAAAAAGATTTTTTGTTCAACTATTGAACACCAGTAACTTATGAAAGCAAAAGAGTGACTCTAGACACCATGTTTGTTCTGGTGATAAAGCCATATAAGATTGAGAATATCAAACTTTATGATGGCCTCTCTGCTGGGTATCATCCTCATTAATAGACCTTACATTCGAGGATATGCAACCATTTTATTTACATTTCCAACCTTTTCTGCTTTAGAAAGACCTTTTGACATCTTACTATTCTGATTCATCAGTAAATTTGCACTTTGGCGACATTACAGCTGATTCAAGAACTATCGGTAACTTTTGAGGTCTTGTGTGTCGCACAGAACATCAACCGACAACTACTTTCTCTGCTCCGACTAGATGGCCGACCTCCCTAAGGTATACTAGTCCTTACTGTATTAACTTGTTCAGTTAGTGTTATATGCAATAAAGCCCAAAGCACTTTGAAAAAAAAAAAAAAAAAAAAAAAAATGTGCCGCACAGATTTAACTGAGGTTTAATCTGTGGTCCAGAAGTTCTAGGCCCTCGCCCCGGTCAATCCCCGTCCCCGAAACCGGGGACGGGGATCATTCCCCGAATTAGGGGTCGGGGAATGATCCCCGCCCCCGAAATCGGGGATCAATCGGGGAATTTCGGGGAATAGAGCATTTTCCCAGAACAAAAAACAAACGATCGTCCATTACCCAACAAGATACCTTCACCGATATCATCTAACCTCAAACAAGATCAAGTGGAAAGGATCATTAGATCCTCACATTCTTCAAAAACCAATCAAAAAAAATATTCAAAATAGAAGCATGTCAAAAAAGGTAGGTTGTAAATTAGTAATCCAATCTCTATCATGATTGATTCATCGAATCATCATTTTTGAACGTTTTGAGCTAATTCTTTTGGATTTCATCATCCGTTCACTTTTAGATTCCTTTACCCAGATATTTAAATTCATCCGACTGTATTCACTTCAAAAATCATCATACTGACTCAAAAGACAAAATTCATCGAGTAGTGATTCAACCTTGCCGATTTGTTTTTTTTTTGTTGTTCTAACTTCTTGAAATGCAATCCAATTATGAAGGAATACATTATATCAAGTTTTGATAGCTTTACTTCAAGATCTCCTAAACTTTGATCGATGTGATTCTTTTGATGTGGAAATGAGATTGAAGTGATTCTTTTGTTTTGGAAATGAGATTGAAGTGATTCTTTTGTTTTGGAAATGAGATTGAAGTGAACTGATCAGTTCTAGTTTTGATAGTTGTGCTTTGAGATCTTCTAAGCTTTGATCGATCTGATTCAAATTCACCACCACGTGCCGAGTTCATGATCCTTTAGGAGTCATTTGAACTTCAAATACTCATCTGACTACGATTCTTCATGATCCATTCGGGGAATCCACGGCATTCCCCGATCCCCGTCCCCTAAATAGGGGACGGGGATCGCCCCCCGTCCCCTAGGGGTAACTTCGGGGATCCCCGAATCATTCGGGGACGGGGCGAGGGCCTATCCAGAACTCAGTTTTTGACCAAGTTCCCAGGCCAAACCTTGATTTGCATCCGATGAACTTTATCCATCATAGCTGACAGAATGTCATTCAAGGACGTTTATGTAGATGGCCTGAACGTGTTGGCGCGGCCTCATTTCCAACACCAGTAGGACCTCCGGTCCTCATTCTCCTCAAGCAGCCTCGACTCTCGACCGGCCACTTTGAGACTCTCACATTCAGGTTATTGCATCCTGGTACGTATACGTAAATTCTTATTTTCCTTGCTTTCAAACTCGTCATTCAGTTGAGCTTCTATCAATATTGGAAAACGGATCCTGACCTTGAACAACATTCTCAATCATTGTGTGTCAATGAACAGTGCGCATTTAACGAAAGATGCATCTAAAGAAGAGTCTAACGAAAGAATCTATCGAACAAAGTGCAATTTGGCCATTCGACATTCTCTGAAGCAAAAGATTTCAATCCTGCCAAGAATGAAATACGACACTCATCATTCATTAATGCTTCAATGGTATGTGTCTGTCGCAATTCAATGATTTCGAATAAGAAGTTGATTGTGTGATTTGTTTTTTGAAACAATTTATTCCAAGTGTAATACGGCCAATCGAACATTCACTGAAGCAAAAGATTTCAATCTTGCCAAGAAATAAACTAACAACACTCATCACTCATTCATGCTTCTATGGTATGTGTCCGTCGTCCGTCGTAATTTGATGAATTCGAGCTAGAAGTTGATTGCGTGTTTTCTTTTTGGAAATGATTTATTCAATCATGTTATTCAGTTTGGGTCTGGCTCAACTTTAACCCCTAATGCATCAAATGACGGCCAGGTATGACCTCATATGATATCTAGACGGAAAACGGGGATCGGTTTTGGAAATCAGGGATTGGTTTGGTTTGGGTCACGCTCACGCTCAAATGTTATAAATACCCGTGATGTTTGCCTCTATTGATGTATGTCCTTCTCAGCAAACTCAGCGCAATCAGTCAGTAAGATTGAAAAACATACCTTGATTTTTTCTTTTCTTTCGCCAGCTTCTTCTGAATTTCCTTCTGACCAATCGGTCCTTCACGACATTACAGGTTTTCAACTCGTGTCACCAGCTTTAGTTTTTTTGCAACACTTACACCACTGTCTTGTTAACAGTGCGTTTGTTTTGAGTTCGGTTATCTTTTTCTGATACCTTTTTTGAATTTTATTTGGCTCTTTTTTTGTATCCAATCTTGATCATCAGCTTGACCAAAACCAACAACCAAATAACAACATGTCTAGCCTCCAATCTCATACCACCACCACCAAACCCTCAGATGTTCCCGCTGTTGAAGGGCATATGAATGCACGTAAGTCAAGTCATATTTTTCACTATTCCTTTTGTAGAACTTAATTTTTTTGTTTGGATTATTTTTATTTTTTCAGTTTTTGAGTTGCCATCCACTAAAACCGGCGACGACGGCCCAGCCACGTGTAGTCATCAAGACCCGCTCCACCGCATTGGAACTGCACCTCGCATGCAATTTGATAAACGAAACGAGATGACAGTTCAAGTCAAATTCAAGATTCATGCGGAGAAGGAAGTCGAAGCCGACCAGGGAACTTCGCTCAAGGTTGCTAGCCGAGCTTGCAAGGCTGCTGCTCCTTCTGCGGTGACTTCCAATGTGATCGATTCCAAGATGTTCAATGATGGCAACATCATTGAACTCGTGAAGTGCCTCTTTGGCAAGTCTTTAAATGACTTCAGAGGTATGTGCGCTGACATCTGCGAGGTGTATCAACCTGGCATGCGCCACATGATTCTCAACAGCGATCTGGCTCCACGCTTGAGATGGATGGGCCAGGTTGGACGCTCAAAAGTGTTTCTTGTCGATTATCAAACTTGGCAAGCATTTGTTGAATTACTTTCCAAAGCAACTAAACACAAAGGTGTGATGACAATCTTTAGTGAAAGTGAGAAGGAAAAAGCGAAGAAAGTTGCGCAGGTGGGTAAATTTTGTACAATTTTATTTTCTCTTGAATACTTTATCTGAAAATGGTCTGTGCTCTTAGGCTTGCGCTGCAAAAGAGCTGATTGCATCAGCCAGCGGCCCAACGGCAGCGGAAGGGCAGGTTCAAGTACTTACCAAAGAGTTAGAGGTGCGTGTATTTATTTGGCTATGTTGATTATTTTCTTTGTAAGACTTCTGATATCCTCATCTAACTCTGTTTATGACAGGATGCCCAAAAGCGGATTGCCCTCCATGAACTTACTGCACAGCTGTTCCATGAACATGCTCAGAAAGGCAACTCCGGTGATGGCGTTATCTTGGTTTGCCCTTGGGATCCCAAGATTCTGTACCGCCTCACTTGGAACGGGGCTTGGGTGTGGGCAAAAGCAGTGGTGGGTTTTTCCCTCCTTCATTTGTTATCTTTCTCTCTTTCGTACTTTCTCCCTCCCTCCCATCCAGATTCTTCAATCTCTTTCTACCTCCATTGGTCGAAGACTATTTTCTCTTTTTGATTTTCATCTCACGATTTCACCTTTCACCTCTTTTGATTTCAGCAATCGGGCATGGCCACCCGCGAGATCCCCCCTCGAACATATGAGTACCTCGCCATCATGAAGAAGTTGCGAGTATTTCACAAGGCAATGCAGGTAGAAGATTGAGTCAAGTTGCGCAGCGCCGATTTGAAACTGGACCTGTCTCCGACCTTTCACAAATCCGGCGGTTCTCATGAGTCATTCTTCAAATCACCAGCTAAGCTATTGTTTCAAAAACCCCAACCTAGTGGGTCAAAGAGAGCTGCGAGCTTCTCTATCTCGGAAGATGATCAGAAAAAAATCAAGATCGAACCCGGTAAGTTCGATTTCTTTGGATATATCTCTGCCCTTCAAAACTAATTACAACTTATCTTCGTAGGCTTACCCTCTGCAGTTGTGAAGAAAGAGTCTCGCATAGAACCCAGTAAGTACTCTACTTACCACATCCCGCTTCGCCAGTCTTGATCATGGCTTGATCATCACTGAATTTCCATGTTTCACAATTGTAGGCCGAAGCGTTACAATTGTGTTGTCTTCTGATCCCCCGTCTCCCATCATTAAAGTGGAACCCCGTAAGTTTCTTCATTACATGCTCATGTTTTGAGGAGCGATTGCTCACAACAACCTATCTTTGTGTGTCTCATTGATTTTTCTTCACATGTAACTCCTTTTTGTAGACTCGCCGGCCCGGTTTGGTGACAGCAAGGGCATGCCAATTGAACTGTCCTCCGATTCCTCCTGGCGTGATGAGATACGCTCTTCCCAAGATGAGAAGAACAATGCCGGTTCCGACGGTGTATCTTTGACTCAAGATGTCAAGATCGAACCAGGTACATGTCCCCACTTTCGACATCCACGTTGTCCTGGCTCACTACTAACACCACACTGAATTTTTGCCCTCCTGTTCAACCTTGTTGTTTCCAGGTGAAACTTTGGACCTTGCTCCGGCCGACTCAGAAGACCCGGTCAGAGCTCACGCCAAGGCTTTAGAAAGCTTTTTGCATCATTGCAATGTTCCCAAAGACGACGAGATGACCCGAACCATCCTTAAGCGTGCCGGCGTGAAGTCTTGGACCGACCTCATTCCCAGCGTGCAATTTACGGAATCCTCTCTAACTACGCGAGGCATGCACCCCAGTCTCGCCTCTTATCTCCTCTCTGAAGCTTTGGAACGAGTCAACAATCTCAAGGAAGAAATCGATTCCATCCAAGATGAAGACGATGAGCTCAAATATGAACAAGAAGCGCTTGATGTTTGATCTCATTCACCCCTCCTTTATGTGTACACCGAGAGATATCGCTTTCACATGTTTCTCAGTTGTCCATCAGAATATTAACCCCACACAAATTTTGATTAAACCCTGCAATGTTTTTTATTGTTCCATCCTCTTTTATACTCCCTAAAGTTTGAGATCAAAACCTTACAATACAAATCTTTACCCTGACTACTTACTCAGGTATTAAGCCTTTTTGATTGATCTGACTTGCCACCCCCTAAAACTTCCTGATGTTCTGTTGCGCTCCCGATTTCCCCCTACAAACTTTATTGTTGAGCTCCCAATTTGTTTTATGTTGCGATATATCCAAATGATACATTTGTCTTGACGATTGTTCCCGAATTGCTTTCATTGTTGCACTGCCGAATTGTTTGATGCGAAATAACCAACTCATAGTTTTGACTTGCCACTAAGGTGATAGTTGTCTCGTATCTTTGATGATCTTAGAGAGCGAACATCACACAACTTAGAACCTCTGACCCTCAGATATGTGAGAGTTATCAAATGATTGTCTTGATCTAAAAGGGATGCTCTGATTCTTTCGAATCAAGCATCCTAGTGGGTACATGCCCTTGATTCTTACTCAACTTGGACTCAAATTAGAAGTCCAACTTTATCCAAAGAAATTCAAACACTGAAAGCTCAGCCAGCTTTCAAGGTACTCGAGTCATGATCTCATTGCCTAAATTTTTTTCCACAAGTATTTCCTTCATTGTTCAGCGAGGTCAAACCCCACATTAAGCAGACGTCTCACATAACGGGTCCACTTTGCTCAAATGGATCCAAAGAAATGATGGATTCATTGAATCCATCACTTGATCGAGGATTTTAACCCGATGTGAAAAATATTTTCTTTGCCTTTTATTTCATAATCTCCTTTGTGAATTTATAAGTGGTGGAAAGCTATGATAACTACAACTTGTACGGTTACTTTGAATCTTTCACATTAGTGCTTATACCACCAAGTGAATCAGTTGAAAAAAATCAAGACATAAAAGTGAAAGACATAAAAGTGAAATATTTTAAAGGTAAATATGATCCCTTGATTTGTAACTAAAGACTTGTCCGGCTACTTTGAATCAAGTTGTAAGATGTAAAGAGAAACCATGTCAACCTAAATATGAATCACAACACTGTACCTAACACTTGAATGTATAAGTCGTAAAATTACATTACCTTATAAATATCCACTCCCTCGGTAGAAACCTTGGCATGTGTCTTCTGTAAACAACTCCATACAAGCAATGAAAATGCTTGCCCTCTCATCATCCCCATTCATAGCCTGTTGCAAAGCTTGAGAACGCCTAAGTCTGGATTTCAGGACCGAAAACCCTTTTTCGATCGGGTTGAAATCTGGACTATAGGCGGGTAGATAAACCAATCGCACTCCTCGCGCAGCACAAAGATCCTCTATTCTCCCGCCATGATGGATGGGAGCGTTATCTAACACCAAAACACTGTCTCGCGCCGGGAAAGGATTCATGGCCGGGAGCTGAAACAGAAGAAAGCCAACGATTAGCACAGAGCGGAAAGAAATATAACCAACAGATAAATATAAGCACTTACCAGATCGTTTTCGAGATAAGACTCAAAATCAATCCTGGAGTAGCCGCCTGCTTGGACAGACACAGCTACGAGGCCATCCATGGATATGGCAGGCAACGCTGACCATCGGAAGGCCTGTGTTGGCCGCTGGAGGCGTGGTGTACGTTGTCCACAAGGTGCCCGCGCGTGAGTGCGATACAATCGCCGTTTCGAGATGGCAGTCTCATCTGCGTAGTGTAACATGTCAATCCAGGTGTGGTAAATCATACGGAACAAGAAAAAGGAAAACCTCAACTTACCAACGAACACGAGGCATCGCGGATCAATGCCAGAGATCTCCTCAATGTAAGCACCACGCGCTGTTGCAGACTGGTTCGGATGGACTGTCCGGGGTTTTTTTCGAGTCCAACACAGGCGACTTCGAAGTTCTGTGCACAGAGTTCCCATCGAGACTGTTCTTCCCAAGGTTTCTTGAATCTTGACTTGGAGTTCATCAAGATACAGAGTGGGATCCAGTTCAAGGGCTTGCAATATGAATTGTTTCTCGGCTTCTCCTAAAATTGAAGGCGCCCCAGTTTGCATGTGATCCAAAGGATTGGACACCACAGCTCGCGTGGTGCGATAAAGCTCGAACCAAGGACGGACCGTGGTAAGCGAGAGGTCGATTCCGGTGGACCGTACGATCTCGGGAAACGTCTTTCCTTGTAAGACCATCCGTACAACGAGCAGCTTGATGTCGGTGCCGTAAAACTATGTACGCGTACATAGTTGCTTTGAGTACCGTAAATTGTGAGAATGAGGATTGAAAGGATTTCGGATTCAAAAAAGAGAGATACGGGGTTAGACGATGACAGAAAGAGGGCGAGAGGGCGAGAGGACGAGAGGTGTATGAGTATGAATGGTTTCAATACATACCAATTTTTTTTTTCAAACTGCAACAAGCGTGTGAGAGCCAAGTGAGTAGTCGGGTCAGGGAAATGTCAATCGAGATGGTTTTATCTCACGGTACAATTGGTGAAAATTGAGTTTTTTGAGTTTTTGCCAGATTTGGATTAAAACCCAACACAACACATGAGATTGAAAAATTACCGATAGTTCTTGAATCAGCTGTAATTGCTTGATGACATGATATCTTGTATCATAAAACATCATCATACATCAACGTTTTTTCATACTTGATCTCATTTGATGTTTTATTGTAACAAAATAAATACATTATAAATGCTTCAAACCAAAAAAAAAATTAATACACATAACAATTTGATAATAGAATTACTGTATCACCATGGTGTTCTTTTTAAACATGTTCATTCCCAGGTCCATTCCCATTTCCATTTCCATTTCCATTTCCATGATGTTGTATATGATTCAAAAGATGATTAGGTGTAACTCTACCAGATCCAGTAGGTGTAAATCCAAATCCGATTTGATCATGTGAATTAAATTGTGAAACTAATCCAACTCCACCTGAAAGTGCATCTAATGGTCCAGAATATCCAGCTAAATAAAAGAATAAATCACAAGATGTTCATGCATATAAATCAATTTTCCAAGCTTTCTTATGAAGGAATTTCTTCAAGGTTAAAGAAAAGAAGCATTTCACTAACGCATTAACATCGAATCCCAAAATCCACCATCTTCCAATAACGAATCAACAAAACAATCGTTCATTTGTGGTTGATCGTTCTCCGCAACGAAACCCTCAAATGGTTGTAGGTCAAATGGCAGTATTGGACAATTAACACTAGATGGAAGCTCAGATGACGATCCAAAAGTAGAGTCCAATTGGTTTCCAGGCGGAAATGGGACACCTGGTATATGATCAACTCTGTCCGGAACAGTATTGAGTGATATACCTCCGCGCTGTGTGGCGACCGTGGGCTGGTCAGATTGCACAGCACAATCTAAGCCCCTATCAACTGTCTTTCTCAAAGGTGAATTAGTACTGGGGTCCTTATATCCACCCGGATCAAGAGGCGTGGACGTGGATGGTTGTGATTGATCTGTGTCTTTGGGAGATGGTGAAGATCCTGTCTTGCTATTCAACAACACTTTCAAAAAGGCCGCATAGAGGGCTGGCGTGTGCTTCTCGTCCACCGAAACCTCTTCTAATAGTACTGTACAATCATGGACTAAGCTGGTGACTGCCAACGGGTCACACGTAGAGCTGAATTGTGGCCGTATAAGCTGTAATCATCCAGAGATATGGTATCAGCAGTCGAGTGCCTGGATTAAGCCTCACAAGCCCTCGTACCTTCAGTAAGAACACTGCAGCATAAGCGATGTATACAAATTGGCTGTCGGGCGCGTATCGCAAAGCGCCTAAAGGTCCCAAATGATCCCGTGCAATGGTGATCACTCGTGTTGCAGCGTCGTAACATGTGAGGTAGACACTGTATAATCAATTAGACGAACTGTGAGTCTATATCACATGATATATATATCGAACAAAGGCGTCGTCAAACGCACTGCGGAAGCTCGATTTGTTTGTCAGGGTTTTCCAATGTATGTTGTAGCATAAAGCTCATGGTGAATAATCTGTAACGAGCAGTATCAAGAAGGCACAGTTAGCTTGCGACGATAAAACAACTAGCTGACTTTGAATCGACATCACCTATAGTAATTATAATAAAACTCCTTCATACTATGTCTGTATCCACCCGGGCGATCAAGCTCATTGTCAAGGGTACGAATGGTGCACTAATAAACAGACAGAGGTACTTTCAGTCGAGAATGAAATCTAACGAGGACAATTTTGTATCACCTCGGTCATCCATTGATCTAGCGACCTATCGGGATGGGTATGATCGAACTTGAGCCGTTTGATTGACTAGACACTATCAAGACTCAAGGAGCGACTTACTGAGAAAATGTCTTCATCAATAAAGAGTAATCCAGATTGGCGTTCAAGCCTGAGGGTGTGCCAGTATGAGAATATAGCAAATCCAATGATCTTGACTGGAAACATTTGAATGTTCAATTATCGATAATTTGATATGAACATTCTAAGCTACGTACGTGTATGCGATGTAGATCCACCATAGCTGTGATCCCAGAGTCGTCTGGTACTGAGGCACGATGTTTATGCCAACTTTTTGAAGACCTAATGATAAAATCTTCTCGAATTGTGTATGGTTTTCCCATCTGGGCTGATAACGAACGATCAAGAATAAAGCAATAAAGCCAGGTCCTTTCCCGGTTTAGAATCTCCTTCTCGTAGTGTTCTTGTTGTATCGATGAATCGTCTGGAATAGGTTTTTGCAATTGAGAATCTGCAAATGGCAATTGCGCGGTGCTTTTCCTGTGGAGATTCAGATCCACTGCCATGCGGATGGCGATGCCAGAAAAGGCCCCTGTGCGTGATCAAAGGCGTTAATAGTTTTGAGCGTCGGGGTATTGTGCCAAAAACTCACATGTACGGTCCTCTTCAAACCTTTCTGCGGGTTGGTTCCAAAGGGTCAATAATAAGAATGCTTGAACGACTTCCACAGACTTATAGCCTTTGACCATCACATCAAAAGCAATGCGCTTTGCAGCCTGGAGACAATCCAGATATAGCTTTTGACGTTTTTCATAGTATCGAGATGCCACAGCACAGATGACGGTGAACAAGAACGGTGAGCGAGATCCGACTATTGTGGATGTGTGAAAGTCACGCTCGAGGATACAGCAGCTATAACAATTATAGAGGGAAGATTAGAAAGTTCGCCCTAAGATGAGGAATTGACTAAGAGATAGCGTCGTGAAATCTGCAAGAGATTTATTGAAGACATACTGTGGGTTGCATTTGTCAAAAAAGATCTGAAATAATTCAATAGCTTCCTCATTAGTCAATATCTTGTCTGTCAGTAAAGCAGGGGGAGTACGTTGTTCAATGACGATTCGTCGGAGTGGCAAGGTATGTCTTGGAGCAGGTTGAAAATATGATTGGTTTGCGACTCCGACCTTGCGCTTATGAGTCTTGTTACTATGATGATGATTTGTATTAGACTCATCAACCACAGCAGATGTCGGCTCCTGTAGACTCGAAGTCGAAGAACATTGAGACGAATTGTCATCATGTTGTCCCATTGGTTCTGACTCTTCGGCAATATGATGTCGTGACCCGTCGTGCTCGTCGAGGGCTGATAGAGTGCGTTGATCAGGTGGCATAGACCGCACCGACGATGTACGTCTGTGAGACCCGCTCGAACTACGATCAGATCTATGCCGATCGTGTCTATTACGCAGGGATGCTCTGCAAGTCATGAATAGAAGTACGCGGTTGATCAGTAACTTATACCCGAGTGTTTCTCAAGAAAGAGACAATGACAGTCGCCTTACTCCGCCAAGAGGCCCAGGGGATTCAAAGTGTTATCCGGTAAAGAGTGTAGCCTTGGGCTCGAGGGCCGACTAAAGTCTGGAAGAGCAGCGAAACGGGTTGAATCCAGGTTCTCATTGGTAAGTGTTGTGGGATGGCCATTCGACATGCGCGGATGAGGTTGTCGACCATCGGAAGAGAATTGGTTGAGTCCAGCCGAGTTTGGTGCCAGCGGGGTGGAAGACGATGAGACGGGACCAGAGGAGCCGTCAGTTGAGCCTCGAGTCCTCGTTGCAGATGGTTTACCAAGGGAGACTCCCAGATGGGGAATTCCTTGCGTGAAGAGCTGGTGATTGGTTATGTCATTGCGTAGGCTGGTTTCTCGATCCGAATGAAGTTGGGATGTAGAAGGGAATTGATGATCATTGCCTGAACCGACCACTCGATTCGTGGTGTTTGGACATATCTGATGAGTTTGCGAGACATCAAATGGTATCCCAGTGGTTCCGCTTGGTGGACTAGCAAAAGAATTAGCAGCTTGAGTCTGGATTTTCGACATCACCGCGTCCAATTTTTGCTCCTAGCATTATCAAAAACATGAAGAAGTTCGGATTAGTTTATGATGAAGAATCTTCCCTGTGGAAAGGACCAAGACCTGGGCTGATAATTACTCACCACAGTCTGTAGGTTTTTAGCCAAGAGATCCGTTCTTTTGGTACCTTTCTTGCCTCTCTGACTTTCTTCAAAGATACACTGATGATTGCCTAGTCGACAACGTTTACAGGGAGGGCCATTTTCCGCGTCCACGCAACGCATTTTCAGTCGTCTACATACTGTACACGCCCTAGATCCTCTGGTGGACTTTGGCTTTAGCGGGGTATCAGACTTGGCAAGGCTGGATGTAGCAGTTTGGAGGGCGGGTATTGGTTCAGGCGGGACCTGGTTTGCGGAGCTCGTTTGTGGAAAAGTCTCAGAGGTAGTCTTTTGTTGCTTTCGTGAACGATCATCCTGTGAGCATGAGCCACGTTTGGTACCAGGTGAGTTGATAGACTGAACAGAGTCTGGGAGAGCCGATCGAGAGTCAATGGAATGGCGAGATTCGGAAAGTTCTCCATGATTAGGAGATTTTGAACGACGACGAAGAAGGTCAGGATGAACTGGGATATCAGAGTGATCAAGATTGATTTGATTTGAGTTTGAATGATGAAGAATGAGAGGTGATTGAGGTGATTGATGAATGAAGGTATGTGATGGTGGTGGTTGAGATGGTTGAGATGGTTGGTAATGAGGAGATTGAGTAAGTTGAGTATGAATTGGTTGATCTCTTATTGAAGTTGAATAAGTACTTTGCCATCGATTACTCATTTCTTTGGATTCAGATTGGATTAATTTCTCTTGAAAAGCTGTTGACCAACTTCGATCGATCAATTCGGTTTCACGGTAATCTCAAGTTACCGAATCGATCCTCAACTCAAACTTGATCATTCATAATCAACTCTCGGTAATCAATTCATACCCGGTACCAGCACCTTCAATTCACTTTAAGCATCTCTGGATTCGATATGACATTTGAATATGCTTATACATACATAGCCAACATCATCTTTCAATCTTCACTGACACTTGATCAAGAACCGCAAAGCGCCATCAACTGATCTTTTCGAAACTACGACATGAGATCCTACTATGAAAACCAAAGACTCAAGGTTCCTTCGCAGTCATTTTACAGCCAATCCTTTAACGTCAGTCAAAGGCTTTGGTTCTTATGAGCTTGTGGACTTTATGTCTTGTTAAAGCAAATATCTCACCAAAAAGAAACCTTCATAAATCTTTGCTTGGTTCACGACCTCGAAGAATACTTGTTACATGTTCAACTTCGACTGGGCACACTTTTGATAAATATCATTGAGGATCGGAAGGAAATGTCCATATTCCATTCTGAGCATAGAAATACATTGAAGGTATACAACCTATTATTACATGGAAACAGTCATCGCTGAGATCTCAATCAAAATTATAGTCCAAAAAAAATCGAGAAAACGAAAAAATGCGTCTCCCGTTTGACTGGACTTCATATCAGTGTATTTTTTCTAAAAAAAAAATAGAAAATATCAGATGTATCTAAAGTCCAACGCCAAATTTATCTAATGGGGTTATTAGGATCAGAAGATTCAAGTGCGTGTTGAGCTAAATCTTCACTATCCTTAAGATAAGAATTTACCCATAACCTATCACGATTAAAATGAAAGAATTCTCCCAAGATATCTAAGACAGTTCTTCTGACTTCTCCAATCACATTGATACCAACTTCTTTACCCTTATCTATGCGACGTTCGAGTCGAGTCGTTAAAGAATTCCATCTTTCTTTCATTTCAATCTCAAATGGTAAAAGAGTTTCAACTAATGTGCTTCGTCGATGGACATTTTCAAAAATATCTTGTAGATCTGGTGGTATTTCGTGTTGATTTTCGACAGAGGCGTGTATAGTCTCTTGTGTGGCAGGGTTCCACGTTTTGGGTGGTTCCCGTACTGTGTCGCGACTCAGTATCATGATTCCCGTACGTGGACTGGAAGCAGTGTCAGTCGGGTTTAGCTTCATGAAAACCTTTTGGAAGAATCGAACCAGGGACAGAATCTTGAAAGTCACTTACTCTATTGGGCTTTGTTCACCCCAATCAAACTGCGGGTGTAGAAGTGTTGCAAGATAATCACTATCAATTGCTAACAGCTCGTGATGAAGCAAGTTAGCCTGTAGAAGGAACCACAAATTGTAAGCGACTCGGTATAGCCAGGTAGCAGCTCGCAAATTCAATGACTCGATATCGTAAACCATAAAGATACGTACAACCATCCAAACAAGAGAGACGTCCGCAAGATCGCGCACAGGATTTCCTCCTCCCACATCACTGTGAGCACCTGCGAACCAGACTTGCTTCAAAATTTGTTTCTTTTTGTTGTGTTTTCCGAGATAAGTCCGTCCATCATCAGTTTGAATCCATTTAGTAGGAACAAAATCTTCACGGGTCTCATTAAGTGCTGTGTGAGTGCGAACAATGTCACGGCAAACGATTAGATTATGACAAGGATCGAAGTTGAATCTATTACGCTAATCAATTTTACTAACCAATTGCGTGAAAAGCGTATTGGACGTGAGGAGACAAGTTGGTGTCTTGAAATCCAAGCAGTTTAGGAGATTCGGTCTTTTTGAATAATTTAGCTGTGATTCAGAAAAACAATCATGAATACCCCTCATACATGATGATCAAAGAAGTAAACTGCTTACGTATCCCTAAAGCTCCCACCGTATCCCAAACACCTACACACTTGAGAGTGCCAGGTGGCATTTTTCTCGCACTTTTTGCCCCACCTTCTCGATAATCATCTAAGAAGCGCTCGAGTTCTCCTATACCCTTTTGACATTCCGGATTTGCGCGAGCTTGATAGGCAGCAAAGATCTTGTAAAAATCTTCCATACCTTGATTGGTAAGAATTCCAATATCTGAGATCAAAGAAACAATCGTGCGTGCTGTGAAAGCACCACGGGAAAACCCAAATAGTCTGGTCATACCGGTGTTGAGAAAAGACAAGAATGATAAAATGATAAAAATGAAAGAGAGATGAGTAAAGGAGTAGGCACACAAAACTTGAGTTGAAAACGTGCTCACAAAAGCTCGTCTCCTGGTATATAATTCTGAGCGATGAATGCATACGCTTCTCTGATCTTGGCAGAAATCCCTAATCCAGTCGCACCCTCTGCCACATTCAACTAAACAGAGGAATGATCAACTATTGCGGAAATCATGGAAATAAAATTCCAAGACTTACTGCAGGATCACCAGTCGTGCCTAAACGACCTCAGCCAATGATTAGAAGAATGGTAGATGGCGATAACAGAAAAAAAACAAGAGTAGAGCATCAAATCAGAATCTGATTATTTATGAGGAGAAGAATAATAATCTAGTGGCACGTGATGAGCAAAATCCATTTCAACGTACCTAGTCCAGTTTGGTAATGTACAACTTGAGGAATCGGAGGGAAGGTTCTACGGTCTTCAGGAAATATTGATCGAGCTGGAAGGAAATACAATTCATGTCAAGTAGTCAAAGACTCAACTTAAGAATAAATGATCGCGGAGGTATTTGTTGGCGCAGAAATGAGCAACGAAGGGTTCTCCTTACCTAATCTGAGGACGTTTGTAGCTTGACGAGGATCATTCGCGTTTAGTCCGTTTTGCCACGTACCTATTAGAAAGACAAAAACGGATCAGTGAAAAGATCAGTTGTGAGCTTGGATATCCATAAAGTGAGACCAGACAAGGTGAATTTGCGTACCATCACAACAGACAATGATACGTTTATGAAGCCTCTTAGAATTTTCAGTCACTTCTTCAGAAAGCTTTTTGGCATCCACATATCCCAGACTATAAGGGTTGGTTGGAGCACTCGACGCGCGTTTTACTTCTCTCTCGCCATCAGCCGCCATAGTGGCTCTGAAAGTCTCGACAGCTCTAACAAAGGCGGTTTGCAATAAACGAGAATCTTCTGTAGCGGCTCGACGAGCCAAATCACTGATCATCAAAAATTCATCTTTTCTTTCTCTTTCAACCGATTCAGATCGCCCCTCGTGGACAGAGGAAGGTTGGTCTGAGTTAGATCGAAGTATCCGAGGCTTATTCAAAAGTTCATCTTGGACACCTGACATCATTCGATTAGAACGCATCACGGTAATATCGAACAATATGATACACAATCGCCCCCATCAGTATCAATAAGACCCCGGTTTATTTCTCGATATCTATATGAAAATCGTAACTTACGACGAACAACGTCCGGAGTGCTACACTGTCCAACATCGAGTATATCATCGGTCGACATAGTTTGTTTCAAGAATCTTCAACAGAGAAGAGATAAAAGCAAAGATCTGTCAAATAAAACAAGTTGAGTTGAGATAAATTTAATACTTCGATAAAAGATATGAGGATGTGATGGTTATAAAAAAGGTAAACTAAGGAAACCAGAAAATCCGACTGATGAACGCTTTATAACATTTTACGAAATAAGTTGTGCTGTTCAAGGACTAACAAGAAGGGACGACCAGTGCAGAAGATGATGATGAAGTTTTGAACAGCATTTACCATAAATGTCCATCTTCATGGTACAATTTCACAGCTTTGTCTCACTCAAAGTGAAAAGTTCAGTCAGATCATCATCAAAGTCCATCCGATGTCGTTTTCACAGCAAAGCTGACAAGTCCGCTTTTAAGTTTTTGGTTTCCTCCGCTCCGAACTTATTTCAGAGAAGGTCTTGCTGTATGTATTCCAATTTCCGAGTGGCTTACAAAAAGCTTGACCAAAGTTGCCCGAAAAACTACAGCAAATTGGCGGAGAATTTGTGACAAGCTTTTCTGGATTCACTGTATCTCATATTTGACCAATGCCATCACAGAAAGTATCGAAGACCTGACTGACCCGACCCAGCTTACGAAGCTCCAAATACAAACTTTCAGGTCATGTTTTTCAACATTCTCGTTGTGACTTGCAGGCGCTTCCAAAGAAAGACCCTGCGGTTGTAGCAAAACAAACTACTATGATATGTAGTTTAGAAGACACCGGTCGAGAACAGTGGGATAGGTAGGAAGAGTCTGAGAGTATCACAGAGTTGCTTTGAAAAAATGATTTGGTAAAGCCGATCTACATATGACAAGGCCGCAAGACTGATGTACGCACTTGAAGAAAACATAACTCTGTTGAACATCCTGGCGAGTCCCTTGGGCACACCAGTGGGGAAGAAAGTCGATGACAAAACTGATTCAGCAAGTAGTACCAAAGCCGTCAAACATCTTTTTTTGTAACAATTACAATGATATTAACACTTGTTTAGACAGACAGCAATACTTGGATGATGCCACAAAGTGACTAACAATAAAAAAAGTTTACTACCTCATTCCCTTAAAATTCAAGTTCACTCCCCTCCCCCGTGTTACATGAACACCTACCGAAAAAAAGTATAAAAAGAAGAAACAAGAGATTGCTTATGATGTAGATGACGAATTGAAAGCTTCAAAGAGTGTCCTATAAAAAAAGGCTCCGGCATCCTCGTCAAATCTTATATAATGCTTGAAACTATCTGGTAAGATTGCCATTGTCTTAGCATCCCGTTTCTCGTCAAGGAAAGGATCAAAAGAGCAGGTGCCATCCGTATGAAACTGTAGTTTGAATGATATAGCTTATGATACAGGTAAGTGGCATCAAGATCCAAGAAGAAAACAAGGTTAGCTACAGATCATCGAGTCAGCTGGGAGAACTGAGCGTACCGTATCCACGACCTTTGAGATCTGTGACAATGCAATCGTACATCTTCCCTTTGGCGTCCTTTCCCCCGCCTAATATTGTAAACCCAGTGAAATCCCCGATGATAGCCAATCTAGCTTTGAGCTCGTCGACAAGGTCACCATTTGACGATGTTGCGCGTGAAGTCGAGACATTTGTGGATGCATGGCCGGTTGTGGGGCCGCCCACTCGTCCACTTTGACCATTCACACTACGCACTTGATTTAATTGGGCAATGAGATTCTTGGAATTCTCCGTTTCCGCTGCCAACTCCTTTCGTAGGGTCTCCTCTAATGATGAGAAGAAAACGACCATTAGCCTTTAGCACGGGTTTGAAAACAAGGCAGTCCGCCTTCTTGTCTACTTGACTTACGTTCTGTCTCTAATTCTTTCAAACGATCCTGAACCTCCTCTCGAGCAGCCGATCGGGCATGCTTGAGTTCTCTTTCAACATCTTTACGCCTCCTCCGCTGCGTATCGTAATTGGAACGCAGCTCCTCATTCGTGCGCAAAAGGTCTTGCTTTTCGTCTTCCAATCGCTCCCTTATCCGGTCTGCCTCTCCATTTGAGATAGAAGTCAATTTGAGATGCAGATCACTGACCGCCCGATGACTCTTGGTCAACTCAGCTTCCTGTAGTGCAGTGATCTTAGCCTTGGCTACCGTAGCAACAAGTAGATTAGTACGGCTTATAAAATCAGCAATAGCATCAAAACTCACCTGCAAGAGTGACATCCACTTGCGCTTTGTAACGTTTCAGCTGAACTTCCGCTTCAGTCTCTCGAACTTGTCGATATTCATCAAACAATTTATCTTTCGCCTCATTCGCGTCACGAAGCTGGAAGTAACCATCGAAGGGAAATCAAATTGCAACTTAGCTCGAAGAACAGATAGGACATAGGAGTGGAGTTGAAAGCCGGTCAATGCTGGCAGGATAGGTACGAAACGACGATTTTCCTCCTTACCTGCGTGACATCCTTCTGTAATCTTTTCAACTTTTCTTCGAGTATCGCAATTTCCTTATCTTTCACGGCCACAATCTGATGTTCGGGAGGAGCCAAGTCTAATTTCAGATTGTAGGGTTGGTACGTTAACCCAACAGGCCCGGAAGCAGGCTCTTGTGAGAGTAACCTGGAGACCTTTTGACTAAGTTCTGCTGTTGCTGGCCGGGGATGATGATTTCCGTCGCATTGACTACCACCTCCGATATTCATTGGTTTTAGGTGCTCGCTTGACATTGCTTCATCAGATAGAGGAGTTAAGGAGGACTGGTGTCTAGGCTTTTTCGCTCGAGCTTTTCCGGCAGCTGTTGTTGATAATAAAAGAATCAGTCGATAACATGAAAACATGCCGAAGATTGTACATGAATCTGATCATACTTGTTTCCACTTCTGATGAGTTTCCACACTGAACGCGTTTTCCAGCTTTGTTGGAGACATGATTTTCTTTCGTGACTTGATGAGGTTTTTGTAAGATGAGATCATCTAACGAATTAAAGGAAACCGTATGGTTCAGCTTACGGAACTGATAAATAGATTTTAGGTAGGTGAGATACAAACTGACCACCAGAACTGACCTCTTCATCCGCTGCGTTCAATGGCTTGAGCGCGGCTCGAGGTGGGCGACCTTTAACTTTGACCTATAGTGAGATGAAAGGATGTAGACTCGTTCAGAACCGATGATGGTGTATGATTTTGAAACCGAGAGAAATCCTTGACTGACTTTGATGGTAGTACCCTTCTTAGCAGCTGGCATTTTGAATGGTAGGTTCAATCAAGGTATGAATATATTGTGAGTGAATGAAAAGCAAGTTGAAGCAGCGATTCGAGATAGTTTCTATACAACACGCGAGGTTGGAATCGACAGATAAGATCCCGACAACGCGCTATAAAGCTATTGAAACTAAACAACACTGTACAAGCATGAAAACAACCTATCACGAGAGGTGAAATTCGAGTGACCTCCTTTCTTTCTTCTTGATGACAACTCTGCCAGTGCCACTAGAGACTGAGAGGTCCTCCTTCCTCAACTTCATCTGCAATAACTTCTATACCACACGAAATCATCAAACATGACGACCGTGGACAACTTAAGCGAGCCTCCGTCTCTTGAGCTTGGCGCTGTGAAACGTCAAGATCGTTGGAATAAGTAGAGTGGGTGTCTCCTTCTAGTTGTACTTCAGAAGGAATCACATCCACTCATGTTGTGATTACTCTTATCTACAAGAGCTGCCTTCTGTGAGACTAACAACTCTCACTCGCATTTCTCGCACGCGACAGCTTGAGGAAGAGTTATTATTTCGATGTTTTTAGCGACATTATTTTGTTTTTACAATAAAAAGTAAGATGTTGACCATAAAAAAACCCTTCGTACACGTAAAATCCAATGCATCAATCTAAGTACAAGTTGTCTATAGAACACAGCCTATACAGCACAAAGACCATACATCACAATGGGATAGCGTTGAGGCATCAAGCTAAAATGTCCTAGAAAAAGTTCCTTATGTCCTTGGAACTGAAGATGCCTCGGTTGAAAAGAGGAGGGTGACGGGGTATTAGAGAAGGGCAAGGAGATGATACTTTCCAGTGTACCAGTGTCACATTTGATTGCATAGATCAATCATGGTGTCCTTCCCTAATATTAAAATAATGAGATCCTACTCGTTCAAGGAACGTAATGACTCTCAAAGTGATAAAGTTTATAGGTGAAAACGAAACCGACACAGGATGTGTGGTGATGGAGTTAATTTCATCATAGAATGGTCGAGACGTTGAGGTTTATGAGGAAGAACCAGCGAATGCGTGTTTCAAAAGAGCTCTCTTCGGGTAAGAGTTTTCTGTCGGTTAAATATAGAAAAGATTTCGTCTCCAATACTTCTTGCAGTAGAACTCTCCGGCGTGACCTAGATGAAATGTTGCCAAAAAAAAATGAGATTCGATTATGTCTCTAGCAAACAATGATACTAAGACGAATCACCTCTTTTTCTTGGACTTGAGTTGGCGTCTGGATCACACTTTTGGGAACAGCACCCCAGCTTAAGTCCATGAAGGCGGGATTCATACCAAGATTATTCATTCCAGTGGAAAATTCTGGAGGTGGCTGTGTTAAAAAACTCCTTTTTGTGGCCTTGCCCGGTGTTGGACCTGTGGCATTTCGTCCATTTGCTGTTTGCAGAGCGGCTGACGCAATATTGGCAGTCGGTAGCGCTCGGATGTTCAAAGATTTCACCGTGAACACCTATTGAAAGAAGTCAGTATATCACCGTGTTGTCACAAGACAGATCAAACAAACAAACCTGTGGAAAAACTTCTTGTTGATTTGAGTCCACAAAGATGATTGCTGGTCCTGCGACCACATTTTGTGACTGAGTTGCAAGATTTGATGTCAAAGGTGTTGCATTAGTGGTGAGAAAGATCATCACAGGCCCATTGAGGGGACTTCCTGAAGCCTGTGAAGGTAATATGCATGAGGAAGCTGGCATAACCAATGCGGTTGCTGCTCCACCAATAAGTAACTGGCATGAGAGGGTGTTAGCTGCAAGGTTTTGAATTTGAGCGGACGTCTGAAACTGAAGGATAGATCCCGCTGAAAATAATGTACTCTAAACGCAAGACTCAGTTTGTGTGCGATACCAAAGAAGCGATATATGTTTTACCTGAGTGACACCGTCAATCACACTGAGCGGCTGGTTTGCAGTGAGACCCAAGTCGCTCGCTTGACAATTTTGAAGGAGACCACCAACGATCGCTAGTACTTGAGGGGGTGCCAATGGAATATCGAAAGCCTGAGGCGTCCCGCTACCTCCAGCGAAGAGGTTTAGAAGCGTAGAATGTCGACTCTCAATGGGAAGAATGGTGGCAGCAGCCCCAAGAACGCCTGCATTGGTGATCAGAGAGGCCGCTCCGATGTAGGCACTCACACCAGCGGCTTCAATGGATCGTGCGCTAGATATGAAAGTGATTGGGTCGGTAAGGACGGAACGAAAGTTGAATTGGCAGCCAGCGAAGGGCGTCCCACCAGCAGCCTGGATAGCAGCTTGAAGCGTCTGTACATGGGTTTGCTCGTCAGTTAGCTGTCTTTGGATTTGTTGAGTGATGGCAGTTGCCTTGTAAAAAAACAAAGCCTTGTCAGTGATCGAGTCAAATTGTTAGGCGAAACTCGGAACACACTTGAAAGGCACTCAATCCAGCTTTCTGCATGACTGCCGGCGGAAAAATTGCCAACGCCTCCTGGTAGAGTTGCGCTTCTAGGTTTTCCAGAGTCAGAGCAAAGTTGAGCACGGTTAGGTTGATATCACCTGCGGGCGGTCTAGCCTGTGAGACAATGTTTTGCATTTAGCTTGAGAGCAGGGTGTTTGGCAAGTAGAAATCAGGATAGGCAACGTACAGGTGTCGTGCCCCCGTTGTTGGCAGCGGTCACAGTAGCGCCGATTCCTTGCGTTCCAGCCGGAGGTAAAGAGACTTGCTGTTGACGCGGAGAAAGCTGCGATCCACGGGCGATATGATACAAAGACGACACAACAATGGCCGAGGTTGAAAGCTTCATGATATTATGACAAGTTGCTTGAGCGATGAACGTCTCTGAGCGTCAGTGGATTAGTCGAAGGATTAAGATGGCGTTTTAGGTGGCCAAGTACCGATAGTGAGTGGTGTGGCTGTAGGTGTGAAGAGGGCAAAAAAATCTTGAGGTCCAGCCAGACAAAGGCCTCTCGTCAATACCGAGCAACAGCTCAAAGGAGAAAATCGACCGGCGACGCTAGAACGATTAAGGAGAGGTCAAGATTAAAGAAAAACAATCAAGGACGTTGAATATGGGGCTGGCGGTAGCCCTCCTGGCCTAGTGCGCAGAGATGTGGAGCTCTACGGTGTTTGCCAAGGAATAATGATAAAAATGCACGCAATCCACACTTACGGCGACGGGGACCAGCTGAATAAAAACGGGCCTGCCTGGATGATTGCAGGAAATGACCAGGGAAAAGAACTCAGCACTGGCAGACTGACGACTGATAAGAAGTAACAAGGAAGCAAGGCAAATGGAGATAAAGAACTGAGATAAAGAAAGTCTGAAACGAAGGAAGGACGGAGATTTGGAACGAGACAATTTATTATGATTTTCGAAAGTGTCAAAGATATCTTGCTTTTAACTCGGCAACCTCTGTAGTCGAAGGTCGACCTACAATTTCAGCAACTGGTGTAAAGCTCTTCGATCACACTCTCTGAAGATCGTCCAATGTGGTCCTAATCCACCATGGATACCGAATCCTCATATTCATCAATTCGAGTGCTTAATCGCGTTACTGAGCAGACTTTGTCAACGGTCATAGATGACAACTGGCTCAAGACTTGGAATTTGTATTTCCGTCCCTGTTGATAAAATTCAATAAAGTACATTTGTCTTTGTCGTATGTCACCGCACATGACAAGCACTCAGATGTGGTGGAGACTGGACAAAGAATAAAGGTGCGTCGTGATGCCGCCTCACCTCAATCGCATGCTCCTCGCTGTGGGCCTGCCAAGACACAGTATCCCCCTCGCGCGAGTGTCGCGGATCTGCGATTTGGATTTTACTCCCACAAATTGCAATCTGCTGTCAGAATCAACAGATTGAAAGAAGTTGCTTCTAGACGATTCATTCGGTTTTCGTACTGCTCCATCCAACGACTAATTAGTAATGCGTTATTGTTTTCCGCAATGTCCATGAGCTTTACCAGTGCACCCTTGACGTAGCTTTGGCTTGTTGACTTTCAATCGAATATCCTGATTGTTTTTTTATCCACCGTTGGCTCTCGTCCCGGCAACACAGCCTCAGGAGCCCTCGCAATTATGTATGCCAGGAAAGTCTATACGCAACTTTTTTCGAATAGTTCAGCTTGCAAGGTATGAGATTGGTATGCCTATTAGTATTGGACCAGCCGGGACACACATGTATCCCAGGTGATGATTCCACAGAATTTCTCACAAATTGACCAAAAACCAGCTGCTGATCACTTTCACCAACTTGTCTGTCAAAACCGGATGCATTCATTTCAGCCACCAAAGTGGGACACAAGCAAATTCTACCAGCGCGGAAAGCCTGAAGCTCACAGGCCGCTACATAACTGCTTCCCGAGGTTGACCTTGACAGAGTCATCTATCTTAACAACTATTTTCAGGTCGTATCACTTTGAATTCTTAACTCCTCTGCTTCAGAAAGTTGGCTCACGTGAGTGCCAAGAGGGACCATACATAATTCACATGGACAAAAGCTCCTCTCCGATGTGAATGCCTTCAAACATACGGATTAGCTCCAGGATCATGAACAAAGCCCGTATTGTAGCAAAATGCTATTTCGAGCTGTGTCTCCTCCCAGAAATATACACCAGAAATATTTCTCTGATGCAACAGCCCGCTCGGCAGGCGCCGAGGGCGCCGCTATTGAGGGACTTACAAGACCACGTTAGGTTGACCCGACTTTGATAGAGTCGGATGAGGTCGGATAGACTTTGATTGAGTGTTGCGAAACAAGTTAAATACTTAACGTAGCCGCCCCGCAAAGCGAGCGGAGATTTCAAGCGAGAAAGCAGTGAACCCGCATTTTTCCCATGTATAAGTACAACCTTTACTGTGTCCAATGACGAACATCTTAGCAAATTCCGAAAGGACTCGGCCGGAAGTCGGCGCCGCAGTGAGTGTCTGAGCATCTGAAGAAGTAATATCAATACAGTATACTCAGGTAGTGAATTCATGGCGCTGGTGATAGCGCTGCGCGAGAACTTGCCGGGGTCATCAAGCTGTGAGCTAAACCAACCCGTATCACATCGTTAAACGGAATGAATCTGATAACGAGCTGCGATTATCATGCTACAGTCATAGAGATCACGTTGACCAAAACTATCAAGTTTTCCGACGAACTTGCTTTTTGACAATTCACACATGTGACCATCGAGAGTCTCAAAGAGAGCGGCGTGTTTCATGGTGAATGACGACGCCCCACACATGTTGCATTGTCTTTTGCTCCACGGATGACGCGATCTTGGATCCAGTCACAGTATCACGGGACCGTTCACCCGATTTAGCCCGATTTTCTACGATCATGGAAGAGATAAAGAACAGAATTACGTACATACCATTGCAGGTTTCACTTGGTACAAGGTATGTGGAATGGGCTGCGGACAGCTTTGATAAACGAGTGATCTCCGAGTGAGCAGAGTCCTCTTCCAAGTTAGATTTTTGTCACATATTTTTGCCACATCAGAACAAACAAACCACAATAGCTTTAACTTTGTACCTTCTGTCTTGCGTTTTTGCTCTTTATTGCACTGAACATTCCATCCATTCTAGCTAGTCTACAGTGATCTATCTGTGATAGATCAAGTCAGGGAAACAACCAGTTTTTTCTCTTTCGGAACAACCGCATGTTAGGTGCACGGACCTGGTATCCCGCGGCGGACGAGCGGAATGGCAGCTATCAGTTACAGAAGGCTGAAGAACGAGCAAACCAAGAACATGCAGCAAATCTGATGAGAATTGAGCGTCTTCGGGAGTCGAGACTTCGAAGAGAATTGGGCCTTGTTGGCGGGGCGCACAGTGTGTTCCCTCTAGCAATTGGGTAGGTGTTGCACAAAAATTTCTATCAAGGGATATTGCTGATGATGATGATGGATTTATCGGTCTCTAATTCAGTGCTTTCCATCATCATCCTTCCTGTAGTGCTTCTGTAAGCAGTACACGCGGAGCCCCATGTGCTATACACGGGGCAAATCCTATGAAGTCGGGTAACCCATTGCAAGGAAGCAACTTAAAGATCACGGGGTTTCAGCAAGGGAACAAACAACAGATGAATTCTCCACAGAACAACATGCAGAAGATGGGCCAACAAAACAATATGCAAAAAAACGGCCAACAAAATAACATGCAAACAAGCGGCCAACAAAACAATATGCAACAGATGGGTCAACAAAAGAACATGCAACAAATGGGTCAACAAAAGAACATGCAACAAACAAGCCAACAAAACAATATGCAGAACATGGGCCAACAAAACAATATGCAGAAAATGGGCCAGCAAAGCAATATGCAGCAAATGGGCCAACATAACAACATGCAAAAAATGGGCCAACAAAACAACAATCAAAAATCAGGAAACAACCAACAAATGAACTTCCAACAACCTAGCATGCAAAAATCAGGAAACAATCAACAAATGAATTTCCAACAACTTAGCATGCAAAAATCAGGCTCTCCACCCAAGAACATGCAACACGGTAATACTCAGCAAATGAGCTATCAAAAAAATGGAGGTCACATAAGCTCTCAGCAGGAAAATAAGCAATCAATGGGTCAGCAGAACATGCAGAAGGGTGATGACCAAAACATGCGCTTCCAAAACCCCATCGGCGAGAACGTAATGCAATCTGGACATAAGCAACAATCAGGCTTTGACCAAGATTGGTCAGGTGGACAAAGGCAGAAGAGTCCGAGCAGGAACCAATCATTTGCCAAAGATAATAACTGTACCCAGCCTATCCAGCTCAAACGGAGCCATTCTGATAGCCATCAGAAAGCTCGTCACTATCCAACAAGTTCATGTGCTTCCAGTATCTCCAATTACGACCGAATCGGTGGTGAAAATGGTAGAAGCCTTTATTCTGGTCTATTAGACTATGATTTCCATTGTGACTATCACGATCGAATTTTACACAATGAGATTAATCGCGCATTGATGCTTCCAAAGCTGGACGAAGAATATTCCGGCGGTCGGCGAAGGTCTTCTTCCTTTGTGTTTTGAATTTAACTAGCGCGGGGACTAAGACAACAATTTTATGATTTACTTGGCGCGCGTGCTTTGGCAGCCTTCAGGTTACAAATCACACAATCTCCTGTGTCCTTTTCCTGTGTTAAAAGTATTTGATATTATTTTACCATCAGTTTTCCCCGTCGTTTTTCATTATCTAACTCGCCCTTTCTACATCCTAGATGATGAAGTTGAAGTACTGGTGGCTTCCCTTTCCGTATATTTTGTATCCCGGCGAAATTCTAGATCTCTTAACATTAGAAGACTTCAGTGATATTTCTATCATTTTTGAGGTCCAGTGTCTTTGTACAAAATCAATTTTTTCCATTCTTCCCTTTGTATGTATATCTGGGTATGCATATGTCACAATCACCAGTCTTGTTGGATTTGGGGGAACCCACATGTTCACTATAAACAAAAGTTGAACCTCTGAGAGTTACAGTCTCTAAACTCTATTTTCAGGGTATGAAAAGCACGTAGGCTTCCCAGCGTATGTGTTTGATGAAGATACCCTCTTAGAGTCTACAGTATAGCCTGTGATTCTGACCATGATGGAGTGCGTTTTTTCCCTGAGAATTCATGATGTATCATGTCCTGGCACGTGGTGAGCCATATTGTATGAGAGCCTCAGAACTTGCTGGCAAGGCGTGTGACCCACCAGATAATGCAGTCCTCTTACTGGGTAGGCATATTGATACATATCTCAAGATTGAGATTCCATTGCAGACCTTTCAAAAATGTGACTACTGCAAGATGACGTTGTATGAGTAGCCAAACTACGTATTCAACTGCTATGTAACTTGCTTCCTTCAAGAGTTCAAAAGTGTATGGCCTCCGTTTGAATGCCTTTCGGTCTTAGAAACACACCCATTTGTGCCCACAACGTGGTCCCCATATCTCCTCTTGAGTCCAACTATGTAATGCATTTTCACTCAAACACTGCTGAGTTGTTTTCTTTTGACATGGGTTTAGACAGATTCGAGTAATAGCCACCGTATGTAATCGTGTGGGGCACGGACCTGGTGAACGGACCATTGACGACGATTGTCATTTTGGGGTGCGATCATTCCATGTATAGGCATATGTACTACCGTGAACAAGGGCTTGGTGGAATATGCTGATAAGTGGGGATATATAAATCGTGTGCTTGAACTTCTCTTGAGTTGCTTCCGCTTACCTCTCGTCATTCTATCTATTAGAGCACCTCAACTAAGTTGTGTTTCAGCTACTATCCTCTTGCTCGTCTTCATCGCTTGCGTAACTCAGAGCGAAGTCGATTGAGCCCATTGTTTACATCTCTATCATCTCTCTACATTCCATTAAAAAATAGACTTACTCGATCATGCGGTATGTCCTATTTTGTCATTCTTCTATTGACTTGCCCCAATCTGGTCCCCGTTGTCTGACTGAGTTATATTCCAATTGCTTTCATAGTGAAATCATCTCTCTCCACGCTGGACAAGCCGGTGTACAAATCGGTAACGCTTGTTGGGAGCTTTACACTCTCGAGCATGGTAAGTCCCTCTTGAGGTGTTTCAAGTACACCACCGCGTCTGACCCTTCGGTTTGTTCCAGGCTTGAGTCCAGATGGTCGAATCTTAGACGAGTCGTCTTCTAAACGTGAAGAGGTTAGTTCATTATCCTTTCATATCCCATTCAAAGATGACTGATCGATACTGTACCACAACTGCAGGGTTTCAGTACTTTTTTCTCTGAGACTGGTAGTGGTAAATACGTACCTAGAAGTATCTATGTCGATTTGGAGCCCAATGTGATCGATGAGGTTAGTGAGGTATTAAGTCTGTCAATATGACACACATGCTGAAAGGTTCATCAGGTCCGTACTGGAACCTACAGATCTCTGTTCCACCCAGAGACCATGGTCACTGGTAAAGAGGACGCAGCCAACAATTGTTAGTCAACCCTTTCCCAACAAAATATTTTCGCTCATGTTCCATGATCTGCACCGGCTCACCTGACTAACATTTGTGTGCTATCTCCTTAGATGCTCGTGGACATTACACTGTCGGAAAAGAACAGGTAAGTTTTACATGTTTTTGAACTTTTGATCAAGTAGGAATTGATACAGAACGGTATTCTAGATTGACGTGGTTATGGACCGAATCCGTAAACTCGCCGACAACTGTTCTGGTCTCCAAGGTTTCTTCGTCTTTCACTCCTTCGGTGGTGGTACTGGTTCCGGTTTTGGTGCCTTACTTCTCGAGCGCCTAAGTGGTGACTACGGCAAGAAGGCCAAGCTTGAATTTGTGGTATATCCGTCCCCAAAGATGTCTAATTCGGTTGTGGAGCCGTACAACTCCGTATTGACGACTCACACCACCCTTGAGCATGGTGAGTCTGTGCAACTACCTATGCCACCACGCGTGCCTATCGAAACTGACCCACTTGTGCTATGATTCTATATTCAAATGCGATCACTAGTCGATTGTAGTTTTATGGGTAGGTCGTCCTTTGCCTTCCCTTTCCACTGGTCGTGGAATGCTTGTTGACGGGATTCAAACTTCTATAGTTGACAACGAAGCAATTTACGAGATCTGCCGCAAGAACCTCGGAGTTCAATCGCCCGGTTTTACCAACTTGAACCGTTTGATTGCTCAAGTCGTCTCCTCCGTCACGGCGTCCTTGCGTTTTGATGGTAGTCTCAATGTCGATCTTAACGAGTTCCAAACCAACTTGGTGCCATTCCCTCGTATCCATTTCCCGCTCGCTTCTTACGCCCCGATCATCAGTGCCGACAAGGCTTTCCACGAGAGCAACAGTGTAGCCGAGATGACCATGACTTGTTTCGAACCCACCAACCAAATGGTCAAATGCGATCCCCGCCAAGGCAAATACATGTCCTGTGCACTTCTCTATCGAGGTGACGTCGTTCCGCGTGATGCGAATGCGGCTGTCGCCACGATCAAGACCAAGCGTACCATTCAGTTCGTCGACTGGTGTCCAACTGGATTCAAGCTTGGGATCTGTAACGAACCTCCTGCTAATATCCCAGGAGGTGACACTGCCAAGGTCTCGCGCAGTTTGTGCATGCTTAGTAACACTACCGCTATCGCGGCAGCGTGGAGCAGACTTGACCTCAAGTTCGATCTTCTCTACAGCAAGCGTGCATTTGTGCACTGGTCAGTTGTTCACTTAGTTCATGATGGGCTCTGTATCTTGCTCATTCTCATGTTTTTGGATATTCAGGTATGTTGGAGAAGGTATGGAGGAGGGTGAATTCTCCGAGGCTCGTGAGGATCTTGCGGCTTTGGAGAAAGATTACGAAGAGGTTGGATTGGATGGAGCTGACGAGGAGGAGCCCGGGGATTACTGAGCTAACACAATGCCGCATCAGTCCCGCGCTTTGTGGTGATAGACCAGTTAGATATCTACATGCTGATAATTTTCGTTTACTTGTCTACAAAAAGTGACGCTCACCACGTCGATGAGATGCGGTTGATTGCATGACTTTGCGAGACATATCTGTAGTGTCCTGCTTTGCCTGTAATGTCAATGTCACCTCTTAGTTCAATTGGTTTGTCATATACGTCTACACAGGTCCACACTCTTGCCTAGAGTAATTTGGAGTTGAGGCCGTATATATCGAGCAAGTGAGCAATGCGGTGTCGTACTAAACTGTTATATACTCACAGTCAATTACATACCCTCGGAACTATGATAAACAATGGCACAGGGTAAACAGGCAAGGGAGACAAAATGCTCGCAGCATATGTACTCAAATTTGAGACTTTGGCTATGCATTTCGCTGCTTGCATCTTTAATTATGATCATATCAGTCTTTTCTGAGAGTGGCAGCTACAGCATATCATTACATCAGTCGAGACAATTAGTGGTCACAAGTGTCCCCTTGTCAGAAAAAGCCCTAATGCTCGGGAACTCGAGAGTTTCGGAGCTGGGAGTTGTTGGATGTTGAAGCACTCAACGGGAGGAAGCATAATCAAGGTTCTTAAAATTTTATGAGCATTCTCGAGCAGAAGGCTTGATAAACGACAACCCAGTCAAGGCCTTCCGGTAGAGATCTGCAATGCTGTTGTCACAACAAGGAGAATGTCGTTTAAGTAGCAATGTCGATGAGCTGATGCAGTGCAGGGCATCACGCCGCAGATTGTCAGACTTTAGTCTGAAGCCCACGATGAAACTCCTCATCCAATATCCAGGAATTTAGAGTAGACAGTCGTTCGTACGGAGGCGAAGCTTCTCTCGACACGTCTCAAGGGCGGTACGCTTCCCACTCCATTCGCTTACACCAAATTTGAGGGATGGAATTCTTTCCACGCAGACCTTCTTGACTGCGCTCCTGCTTCCTTCCCAATATTAAACAGGCATACCCTGGCTCTTCGCTCACTCCACCGCGATTCATTCTTTTCTGACTCAAATTTCCATACTCCTTGGCATTTACCACATTCGTTTGACCGTACATCAACTCTTGAATTGAGATTCCGACATCTGGCACCCTTTGAAGAACCGCTGTTTAGACAAGCCTTCTTCGACTTACAGCACGTTCACTAAACTTTCACAGCCCCACTTGCATCGAATCCAATATTTCCGCAAGGAAACCATGATCTGCTCACGGACAACAAAGACAACCTTGGTGGTCATGCTCGGCTTGGCCACTGGCGCTTTGTGCCAGGATGGAGGCGATCCTCGAGATGTGAAGCCAGAACGATGTGAAGGGGTCTCTACAATTGAAGCTGTCATCCCCACTATCAAAGATCTCAAGTTGCGCATTTTCTCCCCTTCACCTGGTATAAGGACCATCATCACTGATGACACTCGCTTTCTGATATTCGAAAACTACAGCGGGCAGGATTTTCATCAGGAAGTAGGGAAGATGAATTACTCCTTGGCCATGACTGGAAACTTAGTCTTGAATAGTAGCGTGTTTGTCACAGTACCTTGTGATCTTCGGGTCCAACCAGATCTGGATAATTGATCGGCATGTAGCTCATGTAGGATTTTTTTTACAGAACTGCATGGCACTGTGGGCCAACGAAGAATGAGGTGGAGTCGAATGGCACAATGCGCACATTGACCACCGTATACGGCGCCGGTCAACAGTAAGTCTGGTGATAGATACCTTTCCGACTTCGAAACGATTGCAAGGCAGATCAGCAGATGTTCTAATGCATTCCACAGAGCTTGCTATAGCGATCCTATACCGGTCGATAATACATGGATCACAGGTTGGAACACGATAGTTTTTTCAGGTGAATTGTATTTCAGGTCAGTGTCTTCAAGTTCACTCCTTAGCCAATCCAGTTCTTCAACTGCTGAGAACTATGACCCGAATCAAATCCATCAGTGTAATCGTACACGAAAAGACCTGCGCCTCGCCTCCAACCCTCATAGACATCAATAGTCCATGCTCATACAATGCAACTACAGAAGGAGGCCTTGTAGGAACTGGAGTTTGCCGGTATGTCTCCATCATATTCTCCAAACATTACTGGGCAAAAATCAAGACCAATTTGTTGAAAGCCAGAGAGTTGAACACAACTGAACTCTTGCTACTTTTGCAGGTGGACCATTACAGATAAAGTCCATAACGCTGGTGATCAGCCCGATGGACAAGATGGTGAAGATGGATCAGGTGAAGGAGAGTAAGAGTTTAGGTTGCCTGATTTGAGATGATCTGAGGATACAAGATTGGTTCTTATGAAGGAGCAATGTTGATGGAGTTTAAACATGATATGTATATATTTTTCCATTCTTGTCTAATCAAGATTGAAAGTACTTTTCAGGGTTTAACTTGTCAAGTGAGCCAAAAATTTGCAGTGGTAATGAGTCCTCCTACAAAATATATGGTATGTGATATATGTTACATCGTAAAATAGCATTTTGCTACAGAACAGGCTTTGTTCATGATCCTGGAGCTGATCCATATGTTTGAAGGCATTCACTTCAGAAAGGAGCTTTTGCCCATGCCAATTATGTACGGTCCCTCTTTTTTTTATTGTTTAAGTATTTATGTAGCCGCTAGGCTATCAAACACTTGTAATATGTCCAGCACTGGTAAAACCCCTCTGGCTGTGTCAGGGGAAAGGGTTGCTGTTGGCTGTTTCATCTAGTTTACATGTGTCATAGGTACAATGGAGAGAAGGTGATGAAGTAGGGGGGGAAGCAAATAAGATAAAGCTATTGGGAGTCTTGGGGTTGTCTTCAGTTTGGCGGGAGGTGTTGGTCTGTGGCTTTTGCCCAGATCCATCGGTTTGCAAATCTCCATGTGGAGTTGCAATAGTTGGCAATCAGTTTGAAGGTGTTGGGGTTGGAAAGGATGCGTTTGTCCATCTTGGCGGTGAATTCTTGGAGTTCTCATTCAAGCTTGTTTCAGTACCTTTTGTGTGTCTGGCAGACAAACAGAAAGTGATCTACATCCTCTATTCCCTGTTGGCATTCACAGAGTGAGTCAGTTGATTGGCCAAATCGGCTTAAATATGCGTTAAGTGGTACGTGGCCTGTTCTTAGTTGTGTGATTGTTGCAATTTTGTGTTTGAGTAATCTCAAAAGTCCGTCGAGGTGTTTCTTCAGTTGGGGTTTGTGTCCTAGTTGTTTTTTCTCTTTGTTGTCGAATAGCTCAGTTTGTTCAGTTTTCCATTCTTTGATGGCTGCAATGAAGGCTGCTGTGTTGGGCGTGTTAGTGAAGTTTTCTGGGAGGGACTTTTTTGCTAGCGAGTTAGCGAGTTTGTCAGCTGATTTGCTCCCTGGTATACCTTTGTGCCCAGGGCACCAACATATGGTGATCTTCATTTGAGGGAAACTTTGATGGAGACATTTGAGTATCTTGAAGGTTTTCTGGCGATTGTCTAAAGATGAGATTGAAGATGAGTTAGATTGTAAATCTTTTACCACTCCCTGGTTGGCACTCACATGAGCCAGCAAACTTAACTAAGTCCGTCTCTGACCTGTACTGGCCGGCTCAAAAGAGGGACTTACACCCAATGTCAAAAAGTTGGCATGAAGGTCGTTGGGGCATTTTCCCAAAATCTACTTGCCTTATGAAACTTTTTTTTACATTTTCAAATTTCCCTAGCCCCAGAACAAAAATTGTACCTCTTGAAATTCTTTATAACCTGGTACTCTTGGCTTCTTAATAGTGTGACTGGTTGTGTACATATTTATATAAGTTTTTCACAGCTTGAAACCAAAAATTGGGTAATCTTGCCTGATCCAAGGCTGAATTTGGAATTTTGGTGCAGACTTGAAACACCAACTTTCCTATCTATTTGCAGACCCATTCCACCTATCAGGATTCTGAAAGCGTTGGGTTGTAGCCAAGAGTGAGGCGCGCATTTTTCATTCTTGGCTCAGGAAAGTTTAGAATGGTAAAAAAAAGTTTTGTAAGGCAGGTAGATCTGGAAAATGCCCCAACAACCTTCATGCCAACTTTTTGACATTGGGCGTAAGTCCCTTGTTTGAGCTGGCCAGTACAGGTCAGAAAGGGACTTAGTTAAGTTTGATGAGCCAGCTTTTTGAAACAGAGGAGTAACAAGTTACAAATTCAAAGTCATATGCCCTGAAAATAGTGGTTAAGATAAATGACTCTGTCAAGGTTAACCTTGCAAAGCAGTTATGTAGTGGCCTGGGGGCTTCAGGCTTTCTGCACTGGTAGTATTTGCTTGTGTCCCACTTTGGTGGCTGAAATATGTATCTGGGTTTGTCAGACAAGTCGGTGAAAGTGATCAAGGGAGGTGTTCTAGAGATGAAAACTTTTTCATCACGTCCTAGGACTAACACCATGTCCTTGTGGTTGTGGTTGTGGACCTAAACTTATCATTGTGGGCCCAAGAGTGATTTGGGCCACAAATCCTCCTGTTGACTCCCATACCCTGGACCCCGGAGAGGTCTTTATCAAGGCACACTATGTACAACATTTTCCTACATAGACTTTAGCCAGTGTAAACCCATATCATTACCTGGTCTGCACTACACTGCGGGTGCGGGGTTGCACTGATCCTGGATCGACCCCCCCTTGGGTTTTGTGCAGTGTCACCGCAACCCTGCATCCGCAGGTTCAGCACTTTGCATGTAGTGCTGATGGTCATGTACCGCCTGCCGACCAATACATTGGTTAATCTCAAATTTGGACATTCCTGAACTCAGCATTGATGCCCTTGCAATGGAGAATAGAAATCACATAATGATGTTGTGATACACAACATCTTGTACATCTGAGTATGTAAAAGCCCTGATTCAAGTATTATCAAATACATCAGGAGCTGTTTTGTGTCAAGGCCTTCAGGAGATCAAGAGTTAATTGTGTGTGGTAAGAAAGATATGGAAGAAGATATGATGAAGATGGTTTGGGTTATTTGAAGTTTGTTTTTCCTTTTATGATTGTTTTGGGAATAGGTCTTGTGACCTGAGTTTTTCAATTTTTACGTGTTATTACTGAGATGCTCACATATATACAATAGCCTGTCATGTATCTTTTAGTTTCTTTTTACTTACAATCTTCTCAACATCTATTCTGCCCACGTACCCTGTGGCTTTTACGCACAGGTGTGTTTTCTCAGCTTGTTGAAGCTTTTAGGCTTGTTGCCAGTGCACTCACTTTATCACCTGATTACCCCAGGTGTTTGCCATTTTTTGGCCAAACCTTTTTAGATCTTCACAAATGATTGATCAATGACTTTGCATATTAAAATTTCAAAGATCCAACAACAGTTCCAGGGTTGGTTTTTATCAGTATTTTCAACCAAGTCATGTTTCAATCTTCACAATTTGGGTCAAAAAATTTGGTTGATCTTAGGTAGAAATCAATTAACATCTTGATTATATACTTTTGATCCTTTGAGGGAGATCATATCTCATTCCTGTGAATTGGTCAAGAATTTGAATGCTCTCAATCATTTGCAATTGATGTGTTTGTATAATCAACACGGTGGAAGTTCCTAATAGGAACAACACTGGAAAGGCACGATGGCGAGAGCCAAGAGTATCTATAACCAATCTAGATTGCGGAAAGCTAGGCCTAGCTCATGAAAACATCAGATCAAGAACAACCTGGTACAATGAAAGACCACTAACGACAAACAACGAAAAGAATAGATGAGGAAAAGGGAATTTGATAACAGCTAGAGTTCTAATGTACTGAGTCAATGTATACCCCTGTCACACGTGTGATATGTAATGTAGTAAGTGTGTAACACCTTACACCCTCCCCACCTAAAAAGAAAAATCCCCCCTTAAATCAAACAACAAACAGATAATCAAAGAAAAAAAAAAATTTTTTGAAAAGAAACACAAAAGAAAATACGAGAAAAGAAAAAAAAAGGAAGAAGAGAAGAAAAAACGGAAACTCCATGTCGTCGGGACTCGCCGTATATGTCGCATTGAACCTGAAATAACAAGCCGAACCAAAGTTGTGCTCACAGCGTGGCCGAGGTTTTGCTTATATACATATGGTAGAATCCCACTGGGCGGTGCATACGAAGGAGAAAAACGTACTTCTGTGCCAAGGAGTACTAACCCCTCCTTTCCCTCAAACATCCTCGTCCAGCTCATCAGAGCAATATCGTCGCAACTTGGATTGATGAAAGGTATCATATGTCTTGTCGCCCTTGTCTAACCGCACTCTCACATCTCGTCCTTCATTCAAAACCTCTAACACCTCATAAGGTCCTTCGTACCGCGCTCTCAACTTCGCCACTGGGCCTTTCACCAATTGTTGTCTATCCTTTGCGTCAATTAACACCCAATCTCCCACTTCCAATGTCATATCAGCCCCTCGTCGCGCATTATAAGCAACAGCTTGATTGACTCGAGCACCCCACAACTTATCTCGCCATGTTGCCCACTCTCCCTGTCTACACTCAATCCACTTCTTAACATCATCACACATTCCTACTGGCGACCCTTCTATCGGAAATAAGGCAGGCGAGTATCCAAGCACAAATTTCATCGGTGACACCCCGGTGGCAGTGTAACCGCGGAGTTTATGGCGTACTCAACGGTCGGCAATGCCTGCAGCCACTTCCCATGCTTGCCATTCACCGCGTGACGTAATATTTGTCCCACAGTGTTATTGGTGCGTTCGGCGCGGCCGTCAGCTTGCGGATGATAAGCGGTTGTTAGCTGCACCCTGACTCCTAGAAGACATTGCAGTTCTTGCCAAAACCTAGAGGTCCATATCTTGTCGCGATCCCCTATCATAGACGTCGGGGCACCAAAGATGGTCAGCCAGCTGCCGTAAAGTCTTCGTGCTGTTCGTTCCGCCGTATCAGTCGAGCACGTGGGGATCAATCTAGTGAATCCAGTCAGTCTGCATGTGCAAGTAAGGAGCATATCATATTGTTGCACTTTCGGAAACGGTCCAACGAAGTCTAAAGCGATATCTGACATCGGTCGTTTGGGAACGTCAGTGCTTTGGAGACGTCCCGGCAGCCGTGTTGTGCGAGCCTTGTTGCGCTGACAGCTGTCACACCGCTTAACAAAATTGTCCACATCTTGGGCAAGACGAGGCCAGTAAAATTCCTCACGCAGCCGCTCCGCCGTCTTCAATGACCCCAAGTGTCCGACTGCTTCATGGGCCAAGTGGATGAGTTCCAATTGCAGTCCCTCTGTCGACGGTATAACAAGACGGTTGTCCATGAACATCATACCATCTTTCCAGAGACAGTTCTGTCGTAAAGGTAGCACCGTGCTCAGTCGCTTACAGAATGCATCATTTTCATAACCCTCTTTGATTCGTTGACGTAATCCAGGCGAAAGATGAGATTGAACGTGCACCGTAGCAACGTCTTCAATGCGTGATAGGGCATCCGCAACGCTGTTATCCAGACCCTTAATATATTTGAAGTTGAGATCAAACTGAGAGAGAGTTTCCAACCATCGCGCCTGCCTCCTACTTAAATTCCTTTGAGTTAGCAAATGGGTCAACGAATGGTGATCGGTCATCACATTAACTTTCATCCCCAACAGAAGCATCTTCCATTTGTTCAACGCGTTTATAACTGCGAGCAACTCTTGTTCATGCACCGGATAATTGCGTTCCGCTGGTGTCATTTGCCTGCTCTCATATGCAATTGGTGATGACGTCTCCCAATCAGCCCCTTGAAACAACGCAGCACCTAAGGCATGCCCACTCGCATCGCTGAAGAGCCACACCGGATCATTAGAATCAAAATCCATGTTCTTCAAGGCTGGTAGCGTGGTAATAATTCTTTTGATGTTATCAAACACAGCCTGTTCTTTTTCTTTCCAAGTGAATGTACCACTCGCCTTCTTACTACTTGTTAGAGGTGTCAAATGTCCTGCATACTGAGCCAACCCGTCAATAAATTTTTTCATCCATTGTACGGTGCCCAGAAACTCTTTTAATTGCTTTGCTGACTTCGGCGTCTTCCATGCTGCGACTTTCTCAACCTTGGCTTCATCAGGGTAAATCCCTTCAGCACTGATTTCGTGCCCTAAAAACTTCATGCGTCGACGAAATAACTTAGTCTTCTTTATAGAACAAAACAGCTTAGCAGCTTTCAATCTCTCCATTACCAACTTAAGATGCTCCTCATGCTCCTCTACTGTCTGTGAAAACACCACTATGTCATCAATGTATACCACACAAATCTTATTGACTAAATCTCCCAAAGCTTCCTCACATCTCCTCTGATGGGTTGCAGACGCGTTGGTCAATCCCATTGGCATTACCACCCACTCATATAGCCCCCACGGAGTCTTCACCGCTGTCAAGGGTATATCCTCCTCTCGCATTAGGGTTTGAAAAAAAGCGTTGACCTGGTCCAGAATGGAATATACTTTCCCAGTCCCAACAATCCTAATACATTCATCCACATTTGGCAGTGGAGAGCGGTCCTTTACAGTGAATTTGTTTAAACGTCAATAATCACACACCCATCGAGGCAAAGCCTTAGGATCAGCTTTTGGGATTATCAAACATGGCGAGGCATATGGACTATCTGATCGTCTCAACCTTCCCGCGGCTACATGTGAATCAATCAACTGTTTCCACGCATCCATATACTTTGGCGGGTTCCCATATGGTTTTTCATTGATGATAACATTTCGATCCGTCAGCACAATTTTGTGTCTTATCTTTGAACTCGGATGTTGTAATTCAGGTGGGAAAAACTCCACATCATCCAACAAATCCACACTAGGTAGATCGTCGGGAAAAAGGCACTCAAAACTTTTTAACATTTGCATTTCACGAACCGATAACTCCGCAGCCTCGTTAATAGAATCTAGATTATCAAACACCGCATTCACAAGATCTTCCCTAGCTTGTGTTAAAAACTTTTTTTCTTTCATCTCTTTTTCTGTTCCCCGTCTCTTCTCTTTCTCTGCTGCATCAAACCACACCTTCCCCTTCTTCGTCTGAACCACACATCTTCTTGAAAGTGACACATCCAATTCATACTTCTTTAGAAACGGTGTCCCAGAATGACATCGTATAGTTCGTCATGGAGATTACTGAGCTTAAAAAACGTCGCACCAAAGACCGAATCCGAGCTTTTGACGGTGGCTATAGCAAACTCAGTCAGATGTATATCTGCACTGTTGGTATCGATTGCCAAACGTACAGTAGTGGGTTTCAACAATTTACGCCGCACCACTTTCAGTTTTTGTTGCCAACCGATTCGACATTAAGTTCGTCCCCGCGGCTGTATCAATTAATGCGCGCACCGCAACCCCATTAATCATTAGTTCCAGGATCAATGGTGGGGAAGATAGTTCGGAAGAGAATGCATGTCCATTGTACCCCTCATCATGAGTTGCCAATGCCGCTACCAAATCCCCATAAGCTGCGAGATCAGCCTTCCCCAATTCCGGAAACTCATTGACTGATTTAGTAGGCGTTGCAACTTGTACACTGGCCACCGGAATAACAGGTCCCCTCCTGGGTGCGCCTGGTCGAGAAGTCGATGACGATGCTTGAACCGGTGCGTGAGCAGCTGGATTTGGCGCAGGATAAGGCGGTCTGCGTGGGAAATCTGGCGGGAAGGGTATGTACATCATGTTCGGCGCCGCATCACATCCTCCCAGCCATTTGGAGCACTGAGTTTTGCACCTAGGGCACCTTCCAGTCGAACGCATAAACGCCGCCCATCTTTCACTTCTTGCCTGCTGATCAATAGGCGGTAGAGGATGTCGTGAGACAGTAGACCCCCCAGTTGATGGCGCTACGTTTGATTGTGCCGCCCTACCACCTTGGTTTGGTTGTCGAGACCCCGTGCGAGTGTGAGTTATTTCGAAGGCTTGCAGAAATCGCGCCGTGTCCAAGGCTCGCTTTTCAAAAAGGGAAAAGGACCACATGCCTGTGCGCAGATCAATGGCATTCTCGATTAAGTCATCCTTTGCAGCCGTCTCGCGGAATAAAGCGTTAGTCCCCCCAATAATCCTCTCAGCGAGTTCCTTATCATCACAAGTGGCGACAGAAACAGTATCCTGCAGACGTTGAGCCCTACTTAAGTAAGTTTGCATGTCTTCACCAGATTTTTGAGTTAATTCGCGAAGTGCTTGCTTAGCGTCTCTGAGCCACCCTGACGGTAACACCCCTGATTCAAACATCTCCATAGCTTCCACCCATGATTTACCTTCCAATTCTGCCTCGTGAGTTCTGTGCCATTGAACAGCGTGAGGGATTGCAAGGGCTGCCGGTAAAACTTTCAGTCGCTCTTCATCACTATTCAATCCTTTCACTTTAAATTTCGCTTCAATTCTGTATCTCCACAACCTAAACCCTGTTACATCACCATAATCGCACGTATAAAGAGGGATCTCACTGTCTTTGAGGTGTCTGGCAAGAACCTCTCGTTCTGCTGGTACCATCGGATAAGCCCAATAAGGTGGCATAGGCTGAGACATAGTATAATTCGCCGGAAGTTCTCGGTTGAACCCCCCAGCTGGGCCAGTCGGGGATTGATAAGCAGCAAAGGGCGGTTGATTCCCAGATGAATCATGTTGAACCGTTGAAGGAGGCGTGGCCTCAACAGGCTGGTGTCGTACAGTGGAATCGGGACAAGGCGGTGGTATCGCAGTAGCAGTGGTCTGAGCGGGCGTGGATGTAGCAATAGGCGCATGAGTTGATGGTGGCGTGGTTGGAGGACGAAGGCCAGCCATAGCTTTGATCATTGCCTTGATATCGGCCAGCTCAGCACGCAGGTCATCATTATCAGCCGCCATTCGAGCAGCATTGTCCGCACTTTCCTCACGCACTTGGCGCAGCACAGACTCGAAATCGGTACTATTATTTGCAGCATTGTGAGCATGGTTGTCAGACAGCGGTTGTCCTTCACCAGAGAAAGAGGAGGTCTGATCCATCGGATGAACGGTGTCCAACGAGATACCAGAAGAATCAGGTAAGGCTCCAGGTAAGAAAGAGTGGCGTCTCGTCGACCCAGTTGGTCGGTGCAGTATATCAGTTAATAACGCCGAGGTATTTGGTGACAGTGTATCTAACGGCACAGAATTCAATTTGTAAAGCTCAGCAACAGATTTTGAAGCACTCAGTATACGTTCTCCCTGTCGAAGCGGTGGGTAGGTAAGAGTATCAGCCAGGCGCGTGAACAAGGCCGGCGGCTGAGTCACACTCGTTGAACTATTAGCCAACGGCGATGGAGAAGGAAGCAATCCCGGTTTTTGATTCCGACTCGAAAGTATTTGGTCAGGGTTGTCAACACGCTCTTCCAGGACGTCGTGATTTTTTCTAGTGTTTGGCATGAAAAGAAGGTGTATCGGTAATCAATTCAATCAACATGCAGTAATTCAATCCGGTGTTGTGATCAGTGGTTTCAAGCGCAGTCAGGTTGTTCAAGTGTATTGCAATTCAATTCAGATCTCAGCGATTCAAGTTCAATTCGGCGGCGCAAGCAAGGTTTCGAAAAACTCGGTTTGTGAGAAAAAAAAATCGGTTTCTGAATCGGTTTTTCTGAGTTCGATCGGTATTTTGAAATAGATAAAAAAAGTGGAAGTTCCTAATAGGAACAACACTGGAAAGGCACGATGGCGAGAGCCAAGAGTATCTATAACCAATCTAGATTGCGGAAAGCTAGGCCTAGCTCATAAAAACATCAGATCAAGAACAACCTGGTACAATGAAAGACCACTAACGACAAACAACGAAAAGAATAGATGAGGAAAAGGGAATTTGATAACAGCTAGAGTTCTAATGTACTGAGTCAATGTATACCCCTGTCACACGTGTGATATGTAATGTAGTAAGTGTGTAACACCTTACACACGGCTACTATACTACACAGTATTGTGATACTGTAGTATAGTATTGGACCAGTTTTGATAGACTATACTTGAGGAAGTATAGTATTGGACCAGTTTTGATAGACTATACTTGAGTAAGTATAGTATTAAAAACTACCGTATAGTACTACAGTATATCACCAATTTACCAGTATCAGAGTATTGGTACCAAATTTAATATACTAGACTCCTTCATTATCACCAAATACACAATCCTTTACCAATGCCATCCTCTGATCCTCCTGGAGAACAAGTGGAACCTAACCCACACCCCACTCTCTTGCGTTGGCATTCATCACAAATTGGCTTGATCCAAGCCTCAACACTTGATCCACCTGAAGGCACACCAAATACTTTACCAAACTCACAGCCTACAAGGATTGAATTGAGGAGAAGATCAGCTTCTGTATTGAGCAATGATAAGGTAGATGGTCAACATACTTCAAAGGGTTAGAACAAAAAATTGGTAAAGAAGCAAGTCAGTAGACAATAGGTCCCAAACAAGCTAAGGAGGCAACTCAGGTGAGAAGTAATTCTTGAAGTTAAGTCATCCAAAATTTACTGATCTACCTGATTTGATTCTTCCAATACAGGCAAGGCCAATTCATGAATCAATTCTCCGGCCTAATGATATCGATCTTTGTCAAGATTCTGACAAAGAAAACTCAAAAGTTCAACCCAATTCCAGCACTTCACAACCCACCTTTGATGACATCTATCTTTACTTTGGACCCCTCTCCATGGTGATGAGGATGTGAGTATCTCCCAAAAGATTGATTGAAGTTCTTAATGGCTTATCTTCTGAAGAATCTTTCTGATTTAATGTAGGATCCTACCCGGTGTGGTAACTCCTTTCCTTGTAAATGATGTACAGGAGCTGATGATACACCAAAGGCTGTTTGTGGTGTACTAAACCCAGAAACCAGCTTATTGGCACATTGGGATAGTTCTACTCACAGGGGCCAAAATAGATACTCACATACATGTGAGCGTTGTAGACTTTTTGGAATTCTCCAAAAAAGATTCATTTTCTTTCAGATTGATTCAATTCACAATCTTGTTTGTGTTCAGGTGATCATCCTGTGGTTATCATATTTTACTTGACATTTATTGAGAAGGCTCATTTCCATCTTGGATGAGCAATAACTGATTTCCGATGAGTACTCAGGATCAGCTCATGAGGCACTGAATACTCAGCAATTTGTTCAAAATGAAGATGAGCACATGAACTATACCTTCCTGAGGCTTCATTTTTCAGTGAAGAAGCCTGCCCAGGGGCGTCCCATTTGAGCTGCTCAGAAAATACTCAGTAGCATCCCCTGACTGTATCACTGATGGGCCGGACTTTTCTCAGACTTCCTTGCTAAGGAATGAAGCCTGATAAAAGCGTCATCCCATCTGCTCATTGCTCAGCTAATCCTCAGTGATATCCCCGGATAAAGTTTTTCACACTGAGGGGCTGAGATCAACTGAGCAGCCCCTCAGCCAATACTCAGTGACATCCTTTGGATCCTTCTGATACGGCCAGGAATGCCCCTGAGGACTAGCTGAGCAGGCCCTCATCCAATGAGCAGTGAAATCCTCCGGATCCTCCTGATCTCAGGGATGCCCCTGAGGAATAACTGAGCAGCCCCTCATCCAATGAGCAGTGAAATCCTCTGGATCCTCCTGATCTCAGGGATGCCCCTGAGGAATAACTGAGCAGCCCCTCATCCAATGAGCAGTGAAATCCTCCGGATCCTCCTGATCTCAGGGATGCCCCTGAGGAATAACTGAGCAGCTCAGTTGAACGAGCAGACGGGAAATCCTCCGGATCCTCCTGATCTCAGGGATGCCCCTGAGGAATAACTGAGCAGCTCAGTTGAACGAGCAGACGGGCCTCAGGCTTCATTCCGGAGCCATCAAGCTTGAGGCAAGCTTGGCGCTCTGTGATCCATCTGGGGGATACTTCAGAGACTTAGCTAAGGGAATACTCAGTTCAGCTCAGCCCCTAAGCTATACATTGGTGGCATCCCTTGGAGCTTACTGAACCAGGGAATGCCGCTCAGGATCAGCCCTTCCTCAGACTTCTTTGCTCAGGAATAAATGCTGAGGAAGGCTTAGTTTGTCTGCTCAGTTCCTGATGATCACGTAATCAGCTGACAAACAGAAGGAAAAGGGAAACAAATGGGAAACAAATGGGAAACAAATGGGAAACAAATTGGAAACAAATGGGAAACAAATGGGAACAAAACAGGAAAATTTCAACGCTCACATAGTTGTGAGCATCAATTTTTGCCCCTGTGACTCAGGGTGGAAAGTCAGGTAAACCAGGATGTAGCAGGCACATCAACACTATTGCTGCTGGCACTCAACTTCCGCCAACTGGTATTGAAACTTGGGACAACAAGGTAATTGATGATGAGAAGATAGATGTAGTGTTAGCTCAGAAGGTTGGGCAATTCAACAATAAGACTTTCAATCATATCTTAGTTTTATGGATGATTAATAAAGCACTACCCTGGAGGCATGCTGAGAATCAAATCTTACAAGCTGCTTTCAGATATGCTAACATTGAGGCTGAAGTTCACGGACAAATTTGGTTTGCTACACAAGGTAATTCGCTTTATGTCTCATTGAAGAAAGCACTGCTTGATTCTCTTTCTTTGAGTTAAAAACCTATAACTTTAAGCCTCAATCTACTCATATTAACATTCAAACACTGCTCTAGAAAATGACAAATAAATTCACAATCATACAAGATGCCTGGACCAGCAAGGGAAGCTGATTCAGATTTTCAAGTTACTCAATAACCTATATCAATAAAAACTGGGAGTAAATTTCACAACATCTTGGTTTTAAACTCATTGCATAGTATTGCAACAGCAAGTGGCTTGCCAAGCCGTTAATCAATCTTCTAGAGAAGCATAAGCTCTACTCCAAGATAAGTTGATCGTTTTCATGTTGTAATTTCAACCTATTTCACTAGCTGACTTTGATTTCATTGAGCACTGCAGACATTATTCGGGTTCCCCAAGTGGGCAGGGAAAAATGATTGGGAGTATGATTTGTCATAAAATGGTCTATCACTCCACACCTGAGCCATAACACCCACACTACATATGTGTAGCAGGCTCAGTGAATATGTGGTTATCATGTACATACAGTTCTGCTCAGTTATCTGCTCATCAGGACAAGTTATTCATATGTAATACATGCTGTAACTTCTTTCAGATTGAAAAAAGCTTCCAAAAGATTGACTACATACACTGACTCAATGTTTTGGTGTGATCTCATCAACTCAACTGCATGTAACACACTTTCTGTTACTAAGACATAGCTTCAACAATATTGCCTGAGCAGCTACAGAATTATATGTAGTGAATTTTTGGGAAAAAAATTTCAAAGTCGAAAAAGTTACATGTGGTATAACATGTGATTTATTTATTCTGATGGGCAAAAAACTGAGCAGACCTGTATGTACATGATAGACAACTATTGACTTAGCTTGCTGCACATATGTAGTGTGGGTGAAATGGCCCAGGTGTGCAGTATTAGATTCTTTTATGAAAAACTGTACTATTAATCATTTTCCTCTGCCAAATTGGGGAAGTTGAATGATGTTTACAGTGGAGGATCACACATGCTGGCTCAGACAACAGATTCAGGCGGCGATATCTTTACCATGGCCAGAGTGATGGAAACAAGGCTGTCCCAGGTTGCACTTGAGGCTGGTGATGACTTCAAGTGGAAGGCCAAAACAATGCACATCTAATGTATGTGTCATCAGATTGCACTCATTGTCAACTTGGGACTCAAAGCAATCAAAATCACTCCACCCAAATCAAAATTGACTAAAAAAACAACCTTGGCTCATTTCCAATTCATGAGACCCTTGCTACAATTCCACCAGAAGAAGAAGAAGCATCAGATGACAATATCATCCGCAAAGAGTTGGAAAACTGGATACAACACAATGAATGGGAAAATGAGACCAAGAAAGATTTTAATGAGGAGAAAGATTTTGATGATCTCAACTTAGATGATGATACTACAGGTGATAATGGAAAAGGGTGTCAATTACCAAAGCCATAACAGGCACCCAAATCAACAGCTGGTATCCCAAACACTTGACTTAATGATCTCACAAAAAAGGTATATATTCTGCTTTCCGCAATCTTGAGATGATTGGAATAGCTGAATAGAGCTGAATCAACCTGGATCCTTTCCAGATTGAATTTGTCTGCTGTTGCATGACAGGCTCAGATACAATGCAGTGACTAATGTACATAATATCTTTTGTATTGTCATTCTTTTGAAATACAATATATACTTACTACATACATCCATTCTTAAACACAGGTCATAGGCGAGGTCCTTGAAGAAGACCAAGTCTTGAAAAAGCAGAAGAAAAAGCAAACTCGCAGCTCTGACTCTATAGACTTATTCCGAGACCACAAGAGAGGAACCATGAACGGAATCAAATTCAGTACAGAGGATTGGAGATTGATCAAACTCCTTGTTGATGAACTAGGTACATCAATCATAAACTCGAATAACTTGAATTTACAAATCCCAATATTCATCAGGCTGATTTGATCTGTGGCCTTTCATTTTGCTTACACAAAGGATGGAGGGTGATGGTCCAACTGGATCAATGTACATATCTCAATATTTTTTTGCAACAAAAACTCAAGAAGAAGATTGAAGAAGACACTGTATGACTTAAAGCTCAACAAGAGCTTTACAGAGCTTAAAGAGGGATAATCTACTAATATAACTAACAATTAGAAGGTGCCTAAGCCTGACTCTTTGACATAACCAACACAGGGATTTGTTCACTTCTTTGGGATAAGGCACCAGAGAAATGATTTATCAATACTTGATCCAAGTATTGTTCCCGTGAATTTTGAATCAAAGAAAAACTCAACACTGCTATAGTGTTATTCCAATTTGAGCACGACAAAAACACAATTTTAATTACTGAACCACCAACAATCAATTATATTGTTGTTCCAAGGAAGACTTGTAGCCTTATCACACATAAAGAAAGTTCTCTTTTGATATAAAGGTGCTATTTAGTGAGCTTAGTACTGATAAAGTATTTCAATAATGATTAAAAGCACTCTAACAAAAGTATAAGACAAGAACAACGGGGAACGGAGCCCATAAAGTCACAATCAATAGTATATAACACTCCTAAAACCTTCCAACAATGGTGAACAAGCTCCAAAAACCATCAAAACTCAACAAAAACCCTCACAAACATCAAAAACCTCAAAGATATACCCTTATGGTGTAATTTAAGCTGTGAAACTGATCAATTGATGTTTATCAATGGTGAACAGATCTTCTTATGATGAATACAGGTGATTTCTTTGTAATATTCATAGCTGAAACCCATTTTTGAAATTACAGATTTTTTGTTGAGTTGTCCAACCCTGGATTACTATAGCTCATTTTATAGATTCTGATCTTTTATTTCCCCAATATGACCTACTTCCAATGTGTGATGAATAAGTTATTGAGTTGTAGAGATTGATAAAATACATGTAAATGTTGCTTTACATGTGTATGTAAGCGCCAAATTCAAAATTCACACCATTTTCTTGTTTCCTTATAACTTCCTCACTAATCCTCTGTGACTATAATTTTGAAGGCTGTACATTATGACATGGAACATTCTGTGTTGATTGAGCTATTGGAATTAATTGAAAACCTCCAATTTTGATGATTTTTAATCATTTTCATGTCTAATATTGACTTCTCTTCTATCAGAAGATCATCCTAAATCAATCCAATCATAAGCATAGCCACAAAGCCAATCTGAAAAACTCTTGGCACCATAAATCCCTCAATGACATAATTACACAGGAATTTATTCCATATATAGTACCCTTGTTTACCATCCTTGAATTTTCTTCTTTCTTGAATAATTTCACTCCTCCCTTGTCAATATCCAAAATTATAGTTTTTGCTGAATAATATTATATTCTCTTTCATGATATAACCTTCTTGAACCCTCAAAACAATTAATATTAACTTGAAACCCATTTTTCAACTCTTGTACCTATATTTTTGAGTTTTTCTCCAACTTCTTTAATTTTATCCTTCTGATTTTGTTCTTTTCATAAGAGTTTACATTCTTGCTTGTACCAAGTAAATGTCCTTCTTCATCAATTCCTCTCATACCAGTCATTTTTAATTTATTTTTAATTTATCTTCACTCTTTTACTATTTTTATAATTGTTTTGAAATTTTCTCTTCTTGTAATTGATTTTATCAAATGATGTGTTTAATATATGATTAAAACTAAACCCTGGGCGGCCAGCCGCCTTGTTAACTTATCCCTACTTACTCTAGCCTAGACTTGGAGGTGAAAGCTCCAAGGTGTCTTGGTGGTAATGAGCATAGTCAGATGAAACCACTAATTAATGCATCAGGTAGTGGTCACAGGACAGCATGTGTTCACCACTACACCCTGCTGTGCCAGTGGGACCATGCGGAACCTTGCAAGTCATGAGGGAGCTTGTACCTTTTGGCGGGTCCCACATCATAGTCATTGCACCAAATGTTGGATCTTGCAATCACTTTACCCCATGGGATACAATCACATCATTGAATGTGGCTTGCTTGACAAATGCTGTGTTGATCACACAATTGTACAAGCCGGCTGTGATCACCGGATTCAGCAAAGACCATACAACAATGTGAAATAGGGTAGTTACTGTAGGTCTTACTTGTTCGCACTATTTAGCATGTGTCACAATGTGTACCTTGACGGCGTGGGTTTCTTAGGCTGGTGTGTCAAGAAATGGGTCCGTGTGGCACTTTTTTTCAAATGTTGCTTTTTAGATTAGTATATATGATGATAATGAACTGATGATTTATAATCAACTTTGAGACCCTTGATGACTAAGAACTTCAATAATAAATTTGATTTTAACTAAAACACAATCTTTTTACATGATTTTTGATTTTTTTTGCTTAAATAGAGATCCTGCTCACCGCAACAGAGCCAATCAAGACCTCTCCTACCCAATGCACTGTGCTATGTTGACACAAGCTGAAGAATTTTTATCACGAGCACTCAAATGTGAGACTCTAGTGACGGCAACCATCTTACATCCTAGCTGGCATATTGCTTTCTTTGAAACCACATTTGGATTGGACTTGTTGAACTTAAGGAAGTGACCAAAATGCTTTCTAGCATGTTTTGTAAACAAAAAAACAAACTGGAAATCAGTCAACCCAGCAATCTCCCGTGTTCATCACACAAATCATCAGGAAGTGATGAAAAGGATGCCCTTCATCAGTGACAGTCTGGTCCAATCATCTCATCAAGGACCAAATTGAACAATTATGATCAAACTCCAGCACCATCAAAGGAAATGCAAAACCATCCACACCTTGCTCTGGCATGCTGGAAGGCAATGAATTATTTATGACACTTCAGTTATATGGTAACTGACACATTTTCTTTGTAGGCTCATCAGACAGAATTCCCAGCCCTCACATCCTTGGCACAAGATTATCCGGCCTGCAGTGCTTCATCTTGTGCAGTCAAACACACTTTTTCTGCTGCTGCTGCTGTGTGTGGTGGTAACTGTGGTGGTATGATCCCTTGCACTATGGAATGTTGTGGGAGAAGCCACATGTAGATATCTCATCTACCTCCTTTGGAAGAGGAATTTGAGCAAGCAATCAAGGTTTTGAATGCATGTCTTTCTGACAATGCAGCTTATCAAGGATCTCATTCATAGTCTGATAGAAATTGCTCTGGTAATCTCATGTTTTAAAGCATGTATTATATACAGTATGTACTTTATGTTCAAAAATGTTGTGAATGATGGTACCAAAAATTAATTTCAATACTTTAAAACCACTTTGAAAAAAGAAAAAAAAATACTTGGTTTAGTATAGTAAATTATCAACTATACTATACTTTTACAAAAAAAAGTATAGTCAAGAGATTTACTTGGTATAGTATAGTATAGTGGCTGTGTTGCTAATAACCTACTGTAAAGCAAGAACAAAGTTACATGATACCCATAAGCTCAGGAAACAAAAGATAGATTAGATTCCACAAAATTGTGATGCTCACAGTAAAACCAGTTGACCCAGTTGCTTTTAGCAGTAACTTTGTGTATCAAGTTGACTTTTGTTGCCAGCTCACACTAGCTCACAGCCATAAAGCCAACTGGGTCAACCAGGTTTTTTGAAACCGGGTCAACTTTGAGCACCACATTGATGTGGAAGAGTCAAAAACATATTTGGTCTTGTTGAGACTGCAGCATGGGATATATAGTCTGTGCTACAGCCGTGTCATGTGGTGGGCACAGCCTTTCTCTTGGATTTGGGGGTGGGCGCACCCCACATACTCCAGAGTATAAAACATGACTTTTGACCTATACCACAGCAATAACCTGACCAAAAGACTAAAATCCAGGCACTGAAGGGCTGGATTAAAACCCCTAATCACTCATGGGTTAAAAGCATTCAAACAAATATTCACTATAACTGAATGTAAAGCAGTGTCCAGTTGGTCAACATTTCACCCAGCCCGGAATGTCTGCCATAAAACAGATTGTAACTCTTGTGAAACTTTGCAATTCCAAGCTGAAATTGATGTTGATGAGCAAATATTGGTTGCAAATGATGTTTGTAAATGTAAATCTTGTACTGGCTCTCAAACCTGCCCCGGTTTTCAAAAAACCCAGTTGACCCAGTTGTTTTTTGGCAGTAACTTTGTGTATCAAGTTGACATTTGTTGACAGCTCCCAGCCAAAAACTCCACTGGGGCAACCGGGTTTTTTGAAACTGGGTCAGGTTTGAGAGCCACTAATTATTATTGATATAATAAGACAATCAACAGCAATCAACCGGATGTGATTTCATTGTTGTTCTTCGCGCCTCTTGCGCCCTCTCGCGCCCGACCCCCCTTGGGCGCGACCGGGCGCGTCTTTTTTGGAATATCGCGCCCACCACATGACAGCCGTGACAAGATCATGTGATCACTACAAATTCAACCAAAACCTCAAACTGCTGAAGGAAAGAGAGGTAGTGTTCCTCGGTTTCCTTGAGAATTTTTTTGATATGTAGAAGGAAGCGTTTGAATGACCAGTATCCACGGTTCGGAATATCCACAGATGGGTAAAGGTTTTTGTTTCAGGAATGAAAATATCTCCAGCCAAACTTGATTCCCCTCACAGGCAGAAGCACCTCGGGACTCTGTATAAGACCACTTGAAGTGGAGTAAAAAGTGTACAATTGGGCCACTATCAGTGGCCTGTCTCGTATCTCGAATCATCTCAACCATCTCGCCATCTCTCGGTCCTCAACTTTACACTGACCCGAGAGATTTTTTGAAATTCATAACATACAACTTGGCCGTTTAAGGCTTAAGAAAAAATAACCTATGTATGTCAACGTTACTACCTTGAGCCTCGTGGTCCCCGGTCCATAGCAGAAACTCACCCAAACTACAAAGGTCACCAGATTATAATCATCAATCAAACTACAAATTAATCATAACTTGAACGGAATCTAGGTCACCAGATATGACCAATCATCAATCAGTATTTAAAAGAAACTTGAAATATTACGGTGAAGTTTCATTTCATCATATTCAATTTATTCCAGCGATTGGAATCGAGTTACTAGAAGGTGAATATAGCTTTGAACATGATTTAGCAATTCGAGTTGAAGAACAATCCGAAGTCTCTATGCTAGAGATGAAGTTGAATGTATTGAGAATTCATAGTCAGAAAACGTGATCAAGTTGGAGTCCGAGAATTCAAATTGGTAAGTGATTTCAATGGGTGTTTGATCAGAGCTGTTCTCTTCGTACACTGACTCCAATTTTTCTTGATGACTCATTTGATAATAGTATATGAGAACATTATTAAATGTTACCAAACAATTGACTTCATTTGATTAATGCATCAAGCATCAGTGGACCTGCATCACTTGAACTTGAAGGTGTCTTATAGACGGTTCGAAGTAAGATGATGACTTTTTTTATCGATTTTCACTTCAATCGATTTTCCTTTTCGTTATTCTTTTGTTGTTTGTAGCCATTTGGTATTTGAAACGCAATTCAGATGAATGTAAGCACATGTTACATAACTTGTAGTTAACCTGAGCACGAGTGACGATGGGATAACTCATGAATCATGATACCTGAGTTAAGGCTGATGATGAAAGGCCACCAGGAGAAACCAAAAAATGCAAATGTTATCTTTGTTCAAGTGAAGAAGATATTCAAAACATTAAATCTTTAGTTCAAGCAAAACAATATAAGTAATGATTGAAGTCAATAATACCGCTTCACATATGAATTGATGTAAATTTCATGTATATTTGCAAACAAAGAAAGAATTGAGCAAAGTGAACACGGCTATATACATGAACAATTGAGTCTTTTATAGGGAAAACAATATAAATAAAAAAACCATTGAACTCGATATCATGAAATGAGAGGCTATATCTAATCTTAAGTTTCAATGGATGAGTGTTCGGCGGGAGGTGTGTTGCTAGCGTTAGGTATCGCCTCTGCTGGAGGTGTGTTATCAACCGGAGGAGTTGTAGGTGTGTCATGATGGGGACGTTTTTGTTTGGTCTTTCGAGTGGGCCCAGCTTCAGTTTCTAGAATAAGGATCCTGTTGTGTTCAAGATCCGCTAACACATTACGAGCCTGTGTTGGGGTCAGCTTATTGCTATCTTGCATGATATCGCTGGCTTGAGACTTGGAGTCTGGGGCAAAGTGAACGTAGTAGCCTTCGATGGCAAGCTTTTCCTCGCATCCTTTCCACAGCCATTTGTTTGTAGTACCCTCTGTCTTTAAGCCTAAGACAAGTCATCAAGAGGTCAGCTACGTACATACATAAGTCAAACATCAAAGGGAGATTTGTGAGACAGCCTTACTGATCAGATTCGATAGGGCTTCTCGACATCTTGCTCTTTCTGTGTGAGCCAGACATGTCAGTCGGTGGACAACAATTTTTGATTTTTGACAATGAAAGCATATACAATATCACAACTTAACTTACCATCGACTTTGAGTTTACTCAAGTTGAGTAGCCCAGCCTCAGTGCCAGTAACAAATGCTTGTAATTGTGCGGCTACGTGTTTTTGGGGGTCGCATAACTTGTCGTGCTCCACCCATTTGAGAGCGCGTGGTGTAGCTCGGACAACCTGGTAGGCATCGTTGCCTAAGTGGTTCGATACACCCATCATGACGAAGTCGCCCATGTATGTCGCAGACATATTGTTCGCCTGAAAGCACAATATAGTCAGTATGAAGAGCTTTTGTAACTTGTAAATGAAGAAAACACACCTCGATTTGCCACTTTATCATAAAATTATTTACAGCAACACGCGCGCTTGCCATAGATTGATTCTTGCCTCGAGTATTATTGGATTCGACATCGGGTACAGATTCAATGGAGCTGGATGCTACATTCACGGGTTCGTTAATGGGTTGATTCTCGACTTTGTAAGAGTCTTGCTCAGCTTGTGACATTCCACGCCATCTAGTCAAAGCTAATTTTGAGCCTTCTCCGGTTGCTACACCTGACGCTGAAATAAAAACAATCAACTGATTGCAACTTGTTATACATATCGATGCATTTCTCGGACCTCCTCGCTTTGAGTAAACCTGAGTCACTAACCATTTCGATACATTTCTCGGACCTCCTCGCTTTGAGTAAACCGTTGGTATTTGTGCGCCCCTTTCCGTGATTCTTTGACACCCCTGTAATAATCTATGTTTGTCAGGATATTTGTATGATACTAGATTGAAAGATAAAAACTCTACTTACCATAGTTTATGTACCGCCGGAACCGCAACTTGATTATTTATACAGTTTATTGCCAGTACCTTATCAAACTCATCGTGCAAACGCATGAAGAGATCGGTCAAGGCTGGTGGTACAGAAGACCCCTTAGCGTGCTTGGAAGCGAGTGCTCGCAGTTCGACAGAAGATCTCTTCATCATATCTTCCGCTGTTGGAAGATTTATTGATGGTGATTTCTCACTATCTCGTTCTCCTCTGAGCGATTTAGGGAGAAATAAATTGACAATGGCTCTTGTAGATGTAGATGCCGGTGTCTGAGTTGAAGTCGGTGTAGTTGTGCTGGTAGGTGCAGTTGTGGGTGCGGATCGTGGTGGATCTTGACGACGGCGGCCGGTGTTGCGTTTCTGAGTCACTCTAGGTGGGTGGTTTTCAGGACAAGTAGTTCCGCTGGCCTGACCAGGAAGTGGTACTTCCACACTTTGATTCATTTGTCTAATAACGGATGGATGCAACTCCAGTGCACGAACCGAAGCGACGCGTGGATTCACTCCAGGAAAGACTATGCCGGTTAAATTGTTTGTGCCGGCGGCGGTAAGAGTGTTTGCCTCGTGTGGATGGTGAGCTTGAATTTGTTCGGAGGTCTGAAGAGAGTTTGAGTGTGGAGTTTGAATTTGAATTTGCTGGCTGTTAGGAGTCAAGCCAGGGGGATAGCGAGAATTACCATGGCGCTGAGAATGATCATAGTTAGTATGGTTATTATCATAGTTATCACGAGAATCGTGATAGTAGCTATACATATCATGTTGAACTTGCTGGGTTTGATTTTGCTGAAGAAAGTGATTGTGACCATGATCATGAATATGTCCGTGATTCTGAATTTGTTGGTGATGGAAATTTGATTGATTGGGTTGGTGCTGAGTAACCTGCTGACCAGAACCTTGTGCTTGTGATGTGGCCAAGTTGGTGTGAGCAGGGATTCCAGAGTGATACGGATTCTCATTCATTATGGAGTTGTTGTGTGCAAGGAGAAGGTGCTGGATGATTTAGAATTGATTTTACTTTGGTGATGATAATTAAGGTTCAGCGGAGTAATGCATGTCAGAAACAGTGCTCAGAAAGGTTTTTACCATTGGAAATTGGTATAATGACAAGTTTCTGGCCAAATGAACTTGGCTGAGTCCCTTAACAAAGTCCCTTATCACATTTGGCTGAGACTGATTAAAATTGCACGTTGTGGAAGCCAAACTAACCAAATGTTAAACATTTTGGTAAACACTTATATCTCAACCCTGATAAAGTAAAAGCATAGATAAACCCTGATACCTTTGGTTACTCTTTGTCAACTGCAACTATCTCTGCCCATCTGCGCACAGATAGAAAGCTAGGCTGACAACCAAATAAGCTCACTTGATTTCATAATCAAGTCACAAAACATAACCATTTAGTAGGCAAGACAAAATCAAGAGTTATGCACACTTGATCAGCACCTCAAATACAATGATGAGGCCCAAGTAAAAGCGCTGATTTTTGCACAGAACATGAACCATTGATGAGGGAAAAATGATTGAATTGCAATCATAATGATCAGCAAGGATTGGGTCCCAGCATGCTACTATACTACGCTGACCAAGAAATGTACAAGGGTAAGAAATGCAACAGTTATTATACATGGGATGCGGGTAAATTACAATAGATCAATAATTGTTTTAATTTGTTATCCAACAATGAGGATTTAGGTTAAGATTCAAAAATTTATTGAGAAATGGGACCTTGTAGCTACTATGCTGAACTGAACGGCAGATATGCAAGGGGCAATATAGTTGCCCACAGGTGTCATAGTAGTAAAGTGATGTTATCATCACAAATATTCAAATTTGAAATTAAAAATGGCTCAGTAAACAACTTCATGAGACCCAAAATGAAAAAGAAATTGAGGGTGATGTCCTTGTACAGTTCTCCGGCTATGTGGATTGTGGCCAGAGATATTTGGTGTTATAGAAGTTCTCACAAACAGCTCAATAGAGTTCAATTGGCTGAAATATTGAGCGCTTACTGAGGCATATTGAAACAGAATTGGAAAACATATTGACAATTCTTGTTCTTGAGTGGTATGACCTGGAACAGGTCGTACCACTTATGGAGTTGTAGAGGTTCCCACATACGTATTGGGAATGTTCTTCTTAGAATATCCAAAACAGATCACATTGGCCAGAAAAAAGAGCCCTTACTGAAGCAATCTGGACCAAACTTGAAAAAGTTATTGAGGATTGTGTCCTTGGTCATCACTACGCTGAACGGGTGAACATATGGGGTTGTACAGGCACCCCTACACAACATGGAGGTATATTCAGCATGCCATCAGAAAGATATCACATTTGCGTAGAGAATGAGCCCTTACTGGTGCAATTTGGACCAATTTTGGAAAAGTTATGAAGGAATATGTCCCAGTGAGTCATAAGAACCAAAACACGCTGTAGGGTGGTCATATATGGGGCCGTAGAGGTTCCCACACATGTCATAGGGGTAAAATAAATGATCCATCGGAAAGATATAACATAGGCGGAAAAAATGAGCCCTTATAGAAGCATTTTGGATGAAATTTGAGAACACTGTGAAAAAAGTTGTCTCTTTGACGCTCAAGAATGACACAAATATGTGCAATCTTGAGCTCATATTTTGATGAAATTTCAAAGTCACTTGAGACCAAAACTTCCTTAATAAACCCCCCCTAAAAAAACCTCAGGAATTCATTGGAACAAACCAAATTTCCAAAAGTCTAATATTGGCTGAGATATAGTCATGTAAAAAAGTGTCTGAAAAATTCAATTGCCCAAAAGAGGAACAAGGAGGCATTTTTTCAGAGAAAGTTCTTATTGAATGGAAAATGAAATTTAATTTCAAACAACTTTCATTATTGCAATATTAAGTTTGGACCAAAATTGAGCCAGATATGGCCATTTTGTGACATTTACAATTCCCCAGAAATTCAGCAAAACCTCTGCATGACTATCAAGAAGTAAGATTTTGCCAAAATGTTGATAATAAACTATCCATGGAATTTCATTTGGAACAAGTTTCATTATTAGAACATTGAGCTAGGGCCCATATTGAGTGAGGTATGCGCATTTTGAGGGATTTGCAACACAACAACAGATCATCTAACCTCTATATGTCCATGAGGCAGCAGGATTTGACTGAAATGGTGCTATCAAACTATCAATTTAATTTTGTTTGCATCAACTTTTGTTATTGTACCATCAAGGTTTGGCAAAGAATGGGCGAGTTATGCTCATTTTGAGGTGTTCACGACTCACCAAATCTTGTACATGAGCATCCAGAAGTAGGATTTCACATGAATGGTCTTATTGAACTCACCTTGGATTTTGTCTGCCAACAACTTTGATTATTGAACCATCAACGTAGGGCAAAAAATGAGCGAGGTATGCTCATTTGATGGCCTTCACAATACCTGTTTCTCAATTACTCATCTCGACACAATTGTGAACTCGAACTTATTCAAAGATAAGATGATGGTGTTGGTAGATGTAATGTTTTGTAAGAATTGTACTCCATCCAGAAGAGAGATGTGTAGCGTCAAATCCATCATCAAGCACGCGAGATCGATCAAGCGTGCTATGGGGCTATTAGGTCACAGACATGTAAGACATGAGTCTGAAGTTGTGATAAGCAGTGTAGCGTCAAGTGCATCAAGCACGCGAGCTTGATCAGCTGGATTGATCGAGTGAGGCTATTACTTCACAGACCTTATGGTAAGACATGAGTCTGAAGTTGTGGTAAGTGAAGTGTAGCGTCGGGTCCATGTGGGGGATTGACTGATCTTACTCACTATCATGTCTTCTAACAGAAGATCGATAAACACTTGTTTGAATTACTTTCAAGTTCAAAGATATCACAAATCGTCTCAAAATCAACAACTCAGTTTGTATTAATATGTATTGCATGATATAACAAGAACATAAAAAGAACTATATATCCAATGTTGCTGGGTCAAGGGCAGCCTGGATATCCACTAAATCGAGGCGATGTACAAGCCCAGAAACTACATCATCATCATCTCCATCTAAACTACTGAGATCACTTTCGTCGTCTTCGATAAAGACTACCACCTGTTCTTCGACAGCGGGTACTATCGGTGTGTCTAACACAGCACTAGCTATCATGTTGTCTAAAACACCAGGAATCATAGACATACCTGCTGTGTGTAGCGCTCTGATATGATGTAGCTGGCTGTCCCATTTTCGCTTGAGGTCTTCATCACCAATTTGATATTGTGACTGAGTGAAAACTTCGTGTAGACCTTCGTGCCACGTGAGCTGTAAGTTTGTAATCTTAATATACTGATTCTTCATGATCACGGCAGCTGCATCGCGACGAGCTGAAGGTGGTAAATATATAAGAGTCGGGTGAGTAAGGAGTGGAGTTAGTAGGTTGGGTTCTGGAGTCGGTTCGGATGATAGAGATATCAGTCGGCTCCAGATGTGGTCGTGGCTGGTAGTGGCCCAACGCATAGCTCGGCGAACCTCCCAGCCAAGGCGCCTGAGCTCCTCGTTTCCTCGATCAACGTATGCGATTTGCTGCATCCCATGCCTTGTGTTGGGATCAACAGCCCAAGGAGCTTCAATTTCCGTGAATAGGGAGTCGTTCCAGAAGGGGTGATCCGCTTGTATTTCAAGTAGATCGTTATAAGTGATATCTTCAGGGAGCTGGTGTTCAGGATATTCAGCATGATATTCCGCCCGAAGAGTGCGGTACGTTTCGACCAGCTTCTTAAGTTGGGCTGTGTGCCTTCGGAGCGCAACCATAAGATTGGTCTTGCCCTTATGACCTACGATTAAATAGCAGAGACAGTTAGCGTTAGTGAGATTCCAAAGGAATGGGTGCCAAAAAAAGGGCGGACCTAAATTGGATTGGTGACCATCAGATCGACTTTGTTGAAGGGGTCGCTTCTCCTCGCAGATGGCGATGAACTTCAGCCCCACTTCGTGCTTACTGTACCAAAGTTTCAAGAAGGCTTCTTGTTCTTTATCTAAGTTCGAGATGTCTGTAGTGCCTACTTTCGCCGCCTGCTTACGAATCTTCTCTTCAAGTTCAGTTGTTGTCTGAAGTCGGGCTATAGCCTGTTCGGTTGTAAGCACCGGCCGAGACCTTTGAAGAGAACATTGATGATGATCAGAGATTCTATATAAATTGATTAATCATAGAATTTCACATCCACTTACCAAGCGTGGTCCAACTCGTCTTTTAAGCATAATAGTCGTCCAAGTTCCAACTTTTGCTTCAGAAGGATAGCCTGCTTGCTTGAATACGCTTCGCGCTCCACAGTCCATTGTCCGCGGAAAAAATCGGCTGAATAGTTTTCTCCGGGGTTGGCTGGGTTGGCCAACGCACACAGTGATGTTACAACGGCTTCAGCTTCTCTCAGAACTTTCATCGCATTTCGAAATCGTTTCCAAAGCCACTGACGTACAAGATTGAACACATGTCAGTTTTTGGTATATATGTGATGAATAACCCAGAGACCGACTCACCACATCCTTCATTGACCTTAGTAGCATAAAAGACCGTGCGCCAATGGATTGAGAGTAGCCGATGAAGTCGAGTTGATATTCGCAGGCAAGCTACGAGGGCCGATAAAAAGGACCACAGCCTTTCAAGGCCCTCGCCATCTGAAAGCCCCCAATATTTGTTGAAGCAAGGATGATATTTGATCTGACAGGCCCACTGATGGACATATGCGTGGAAAACCGAAGTACCGAACCTCATACGCAGATCGTCAGGTGGAAAGAGGCCACGCTGTATTGTAGATTCAACTGAGTGATTAGTAGCTGTGGAGCTATACGAGATAATGGAAAGAAACTCACTTTTGCTATATGTTCATCTAAATGACAACCTATGTCGTAGAGTATGCCTATGAATTTGTCAGGGTACAACTCTCGAAGCTGCTTGAGAATTGCTACAGGATAATAAAATCTAAATATGAAAAGCGTCAGTGTTTAGTTTTTTTCATTACTCGATAGAAAAATATATGAAAAGCTCACTTTTCACCGCTCTGATAGATATTGACGAAGTGGAGGGGTGTATCATGACGACAGGCAGCTGCAAACAGACCTGTATCATCACACCTGTCCCATGAGGAACTATTGCGAACATCATTCGCAGCGGTGTGAGAATCAGAACATGAGGTCTAGAGTTGAGAGGAATAAGCTCAGAATTAGTGATGATTAACGAAAAGAAATGGAGATAAATGATAGAGTATACATGCCTTGATGTTATGGGCTTGGGCATCTGTTCGTTGGCAAGCAACAACCTCTTTTTCAAGCTTGCTAGGTCGAATGAAGGTGTGCGGATATTGATCTTCTTGAGGACAATCCTTACTGGCGTGGGATTGATGGCAATGTTGGAAGTTTCCATCCATCGCAATTATAAAGTCCGGTTCTTCAGGTGACAGCTTCACTTCCCCTTCTGCTGGACCAAAACAACGACAACATCGATTGGCAGAGATATCGAGTGGAGTGAGTTCAAGGCCATCTTCATACAGAACTTGCTCGCCCAAGAGAATTCGGCGATAGATGTCGATTGATTGAGTGAAAGGATGTCTCAGACTGCGATTGATGTTCTTGGTGGAAGCCTTTTTGACTTGTTGAGGTTTCAATCTTGATTCGCATTGTTCATCCAGAAACGCCATGAGTGCGTCAATGAATCCTGAAGTTGATGCAACCGTGTTGTTCCAGAAGTGATGATGGAATCGCACAAGCCAAACGGAGAAGGCGGTGCGAGGATGTTGAGGCGAGCCGGCAATGTACCCGATATGAAGCAGGCGGAGGACATCAGGGGTGCACTCACAGAATGTGACCAGGTGTTTGCTGGTGTGACCTAGGTGAAGATGTAAGGCATTAGTCTCATCGATCTTAAAGGCAAATAAGATATGTATTTTACTTACTCAAAAGGTCAATCAAATCAACATGCCGTTTTCGAAGGTTTTCAGGCGAACACTGACATTGAATCTCGTCAGAAAGATATGAGTCGAATGCCTGCGAGGTCCAATTGCGAGTGTAGTGTTGAAGGTAAAGATATGAGGCAGTGAGTCGAGATTCAAGGGCCTTCCACCTTTCCTGGATCCTGGCTCGGGCTTCCACACGGCGAAGCGACTTCTGATGGCGAGCATAACAATCTCCCGGAGAGTCTGGCCTGATTTCAATACCAACACCGACTCCATCATCTACATCTTCCCAGTTTAACTCGTCCTGATTGTCTTGTTCGAGATAGGGTGAGTTCAAATCTTGTGGAATCTTAAGTAAACCAAGGGATTGATTGATCTTCAAAGCTTCGTCGCGAGTCATAGTGGCAGATGAAGGTAATTTCTTGGCTCTTCGGGATCGTTTGTTTCCATGGCCAAACATATCAGCATTAAAACCAGAATGATGATGTTTGCCCATGGTGAGAGCAGTAGTTGAGAATTGAATTGGGTAGGCGTGGAGATGAGAGCAATGATGAAGATCGAAAGATGAAGTGAGGGTGCCGGTGTGATGATGATGTATTCAAGTGGTGGAGGGGTTTTAACTTATGCACGTATGTAGGCTGTGTAGTAACATTGACATACTTAGGATATTGTTTCTTAAGCCTTAAACAGCTAAGTTGTATGTTATGAATTTCAAAAAATCTCTCGGGTCAGTGTAAAGTTGAGGACCGAGAGATGGCGAGATGGTTGAGATGATTCGAGATACGAGACAGGCCACTGATAGTGGCCCAAATGTACACTTTTTACTCCACTTCAAGTGGTCTTATACAGAGTCCCGAGGTGGGCAGAAGCGTGCCTCGTTGGTCCCTCGCTGCGCTCGAAGCGTGCGAAAAGCAGCGTGGGACTGGGATATAACACCTGGAAAAACGATCTCGCGTCAGTCATTCAAATACAGGCATATCGGGGTCAAAGCTAGTCAAAGGAGATGCAAATTTGTATCTTGCGGATTCCCTAATTCGGTGCTTCTTGCCCTCATAAGAGCATCTCCAATGTGGCTGAATCCGAATAGATGTACAGCTCAGTATTTCCCTCGGCTGGACAGCTGTAATTTTTTTCAGGTGACAGCGCCCTGCAACGCACAACTGAACTTCTTTCCCAATTCCTCATAGGGTTCATTTGAGGTTGAACCCCCGTCACCATATGTCTTCATCTACGTAATTGGTCGATCGCACCTATCGCGTTCCACACAATACATGTGATCGATTGCGCTCACCTCACGTAAAGAAAGAGAAAGGTAGTCCACGGATGTATGAATTTCTTTATTTTTGGCCCAATAGTCTTTGGGATACTGGGATTCAGATTATTCGGCCAGGTCAGCAAATTTGCTGACCTGAGCCTGGGAACGTGTCATTTCCGAAAAAACGAGTTCACACGGGAGGTTCCATGTGGGAACACGACCTCGGCGTTGGATGAGGTTTGTCTGAATAACTCCAATACAGGTTACGTTTCTGACAGAAACGTAACATTTAGTCATTCAGATTCGGGAGCATTGGAGATGCTCTAAATCAGAAGATATGATCACAGACATGAACCCAGATCGAAGCGCAAAATCCACCCTAACTCTATCACGACATCCAATATCATATTTAATTCCTGGTATGCGCAGCTCGAGTCAGTCTCTGTCACAGGCTCGCACGACACCGCGCAAGCGTGGAATCAGCTTACACTCAGTGACCACGCATAAGTCAAGCAGTGCACTCACTCAATCGCCTGAGTCACCCTCTAGTTTCTTCAGGGGTGGCTCACATCGCTCACACGAAAGACTCTCTTCAAATCGGAACCCGGATTCAAGACTTTTTATGACACCAGTTCTCCATATCAATGCGTTTGAGTCGTTCATCGGGGATAGTGAAGGTCTAGACATTTTCAGGACATGGATCCAGTCTAATCAGAACTGCGTGGAGGTCGGACCCAGAGGAAAAAGAGCTAGCTTGGTTAAGCTAGATCGATGGAAAGATGGTCAGCAACCTCAGCCTCAATTGTGCTTCCTCTGTTACATGTTTAGTTTTAGCTCAACCACAGGGCCATTCTATTCTTTACACCAGAGCTAGACACCGAAGCTCTACTCCAGCAGCTCAGACAACAGAGTGAATGGGTTCATCGTATGTCCGATCCCTCATTACAAGATCTGAGCTGCCGGTTTCTTGTGATCAGACAATGCTGACCGTGGCCTGAATGAATCATCGGGCGACTCTTGGACAATCCCAAAGTTCTCTATTACAGTTCTCCTCCAAAAGTAAGACTCGCAGACGGAATGCCTGATCAAGTTCATCGGTCCAGCTCCCAGGGCTTGTTAGACCTGATCAACCTACGGGCAGATTTGGCTTCTAGTCGGTCTTGGCTTCTGCAGTCCTTGTACGCAGACGAGTTCCAGGTAGGTTATTGACGCGATAACCATAAAGCGAGCGCGCTGACATCCAGCCTATCTGTTTTTCCTTTTACCTCTTCAGCGCTTTGTGACGAGTAAACTGGTAAGGCTAACAGCTGCCAGACTGAAAGAAAACGTCTCTGGTGATTTGGGTGGACTGGGTGAAGCTTTCTTATTGACCAATCCAGAAGCGAGGTAAATCTGAGACAGGTCACCCACCATCATTTTCATCTTGGGATGCCTATGTAGCATTTCCGATGAGACGGCATCAGACTGATGAATTGGATACCTCCGTTTATGGCTGTAGCGACAATCCGATCGTGAGGGCTTCTCTCGGGTTCAGGTATGTCCGTCATCAGAGTCCCTTGTACAGGTGTTCCCGCGATATTCTGGTAGAGCTTCATGCTGAGTGATCCGAGACAACGATGTTGTCCTTTTTATACCATCCGTGTTCGTCTATCATATCAGCACAATGTCGGTATGTCGCCTCAATCCTTTTTTGTCCATTCGAGTTTGGGAGCTGATTACGTTGAATGGCAGGGATTTGCGACAAATAGGTGCCTTGGCCGGAATTTCCGTTTTCTCTACGTCCGTCATTTTGTCTCACACGTAATGCCCGACCTAGTGGCTCAGATGCTTTCTTTCTGGCAACAGGGACCGGGGACTTCTACCAGCGCGGTGCAACGAATCAAGAGCGCTATGGATTGCCTTCGTCCGCATACTGAATTGATCCTCAGCTATCGACGAGACGGGACCCCATTCTATTGTTTATTGGACATCACCCCTATGGTTGACCTTCGAGGGCGATCTACGTGTAAGTTGCAAGTCGCCACTTGACATCCATGATCTACTAGAGCGGACCCGCAACAAGTACCCATCAACGAGTACTCACCTATTTATCGTTATTGATCCCCTGTATTTGTCGATCATGCGCTACCATATGGACAGTTCTGCTAGTAGGACAAGTGGTGAGCGTTTAGCATCGGATGAGATTCGCATATCATCTCACAATGCGTAGGATGTTGACCTACGGGTGTGCGCTCTTCCAGAACGTTACTTCAGATCTTCAGTCGCCTGATTTGATGAGCTTCTTATCCAAGATCGACAACCCACTATATTCACTGAAGAAGCGCCCAGCTCTGGTCTCGCAGACATTAATATGTGAATCGCCATTGTTTCACAACTTCAAGTCATCCGAATCGCTAGCAAGGCAGACAGATTACAAGCAGGATTTTGCAGGAACTCAACAAAACCTGAGCCCTACGGAATCAGTGGAAAAGGGGATTGCTGTTTCTATCCACGAGCCGGTCGAAACTGTCAGGAGACTGTCAGCAGCCTGGATCGCTTCTCTCAACCGCAAGTCAAATCATACGACAGTGTCAAAGAGATCTCCGGATCTAGATGATCCGAAGCTCGCAGTAGAGCAGGATCAGAAAATGACATCTTCGAAATCGCATACGCCAGTGGTAGAGACGACTTACCCTAACGTTGAGTAACACTGGTTGATTGGTGCCACTTGACGAACGCTTCAATCCAGTCTCGGCCATTGCCATTGACTTTACCATTCTTTTTCAGGCAATCGTGTTCAGTCGTCCATCCCTGAGTATTGTATCTGCCTCCCGAGGTGCCTTGATGCATCTAGGTACGCGGCCTATCTATACTCATATTTCCGTGACTTGTGAATGTAGGAATCCTTATTAATAGATAATCTATTGGGTCTTTTCTGGACCTCAGGCATCAGAACAAACGCAGAGTATGATGCCAGTATGTTTGCACTATCAAAAATGAAGATCACAGACCTTGTTAACGGATCCACGCCGAAGATCACGCAAATCCTGCGATCCAAGATCCTTCAAGCGATCAACAGGTACCTCAAACCCCGTTTTTGTTTCATACCTCTTTCGTGATTAAGAAGTACATTACTTGACAGTAAGAGCTGAACTGCTTCCTTTGTATCCAGGGGAGAAGGAGTCTCATGTACCTGTAGTCTGGGAGGATTTGTTAACCCCACGCCCAAGTGAGTTAGATCTACCGGTATCTGACGCCCACTGATCTGACCCTTTGCTGTCGTGGCGGGCGATGCGTTTCTTTCTGTTAGCACCGGGAGCTCGGATACCGTGCCCTCCCAGAATCCGATATCTAGTGAGTGCATCGAGATTTACAAGAATTCTTTCGATTTGAAGGTAATTTGAGCTGACTCGATTTGACAATTTTGCGACGTGAACTTGAAATAGGCAAAGTGCATGTATGTCGTCCATCTTGATTATATGCCAGCTATTCATTCAATAAAGACACGGTAGAGAACAGGAGGAAGCTGATGTGCATCAAAATTATATCGACTCTACCACATTCTCTGTCTTCTGGTACTTGACTTAACAGCTTACCCCACTAGTGGTGAGCCCTTCTGACTGTATAAGGAGCATAATTGAGAGAATTGTACTAATCTTGTTCGGAAATTTTGCCCGCTCAATTTGCTTGCGCGTCGCATTTGCTGTGAGGGTTCAGGATAAGGACGGTGCTTTATCATCATATGTCGTCATTGTAGCCTGAAAAGATTGTGCCGTCCAACACAGAAATTCCGACAGTAGTCAAACATAACTAATAAGAGAATGATGTAGCAACCTGTAGAAGCACAGGGATGGGGTGATCTGACGTTGTAAGAGGATAGACATTCTGAGGGAAATTGTTGAAATCTATTTCATAGTAGTGTAATTAGTAGTCCTGCAGCTTTTCTTCTTTTTCATTGTTCTTGAAAACTTTTGATAGTCCTTTCAGTCTCGATTTTATTCAACGAACTAGTAAACAGTAAAAATCAAATGGAATCTTGTAAGAAGTAATTCTCTCTTACTTCTGACCCAAAAGAGTGCAAGTGTTCCGAGGGGCGGCTGGCCACCTGGCTTGGCGTAACTCTTGGGCTCCTGCTAGTTTGTATGAAGCTGAGAACCCAACATGGCATCCGAAAGCTAAAGCTAGAGAGAACCTCTGTGGGTAATTTGTCAAGCTGATCGACATGACACCTTTTTTTAAACAAAAGCTGTCAAAAGCAAAAAACCGTAAGCTGGATGCGTTCTTCCGCAAGGAGAGATTGTTGCTTGCCTTCGTTGTTGTTTCTTTGATGGACTCCTGAGCAGAATCGACCAACTCATTGGATTTCAGATGGCTTCAAGTTGCGCCTTGTGCTACATACTGAACCACGCTACCACTCCGATTCTCTTAATTGATGAAAGTCAACATAGGCAAAGCAAAATATGTATGATTTGTGCCGTCAGCGGAGACCAAGCAGACTTAGAGAAATCCTTCCACGCATTGAAATATTCATTTATATTATCTCTTACTTCGTCTCGTTCTGCTTACAAGAACATGTACGCCATGGAAGTGATATTTATCGTCACAAGATGGACTCTGTGTCAGACTGCGTGGTCTTGAAGACCTTGCGTTCATATCCCTTGACCGGCCCGACCCGAGTTAATCGGAAATTGAACATCCATGAGCGCGATGGATTATTTCTTCAACGTTTGAAATCTTTGTGGACGCGCACTGCCCAATACTCATTCATATCTCTCGTTCACTTCAATCTCACCAATGAACCATGATGCGTCGGTCGCCTTGCTTGCATCAATTTTCGAAGAATCTGATATTGACGAGCTTGTCGATGCATTGAAAGCTACTGGCGGCGATGCAGAACTAGCCATCGAACGACTCATTCAAGTAGCAAATTCTAAGAAACGGCCTTGTGAGTCGCCGGCAACAAGTACATCTACCTGCTCGGGTCAACAGGCTCCGAATCGTCCAAAGAAAACGAAATTGGTCACTGTTGACTCGTGGTTGAGGTCGCCCAATCCTGCAAGAAATCAGTCTTCGGGCACAGATTCGGGTATCGTTGAACAAGTCGCCAAACCTCCGTCCTATGGCGATCAGATGGGGAAGAGTACACATCATGGAGCAATGGGATCCCAGCCGCTTCGCTCTATCAATGATGTCTTAGGCCCACCCGACCTATCGAAGGAGCTAAGAACCCCTCGATCCCTACCACCCCTCTTCCTTTCGACCCCCAAAGACGTTTCCGCTCGCCTTCCTTGTTGCAGTTTGATCTATAATGTATTACCGAAAGACTTGGCCATACGACTCTACCTCAGCATGGTGGCAGATAGTCAAGGTGATGGCAAAGACAAGATACCTTGGACAAAAAATCGTTGGTGGTTAAATGACCGTGAAGTAGAAAGCCCACATTCAACAGCTTTTTTTGTATCTAATCTTCAGGGAGATGGCGATGACTGTTCAGTGGATTATGCTGAAGTGAGTAGCCATTGATCTTATCTAATTCAGAGGCTTTGTTCATCCGGGTTGATTGTTTTCTGATACTTTATTATCAATTATCCTCAGTCAGCACAATATTGGTACGCGGGGAAAGCTTTGGAGGCCGATGCGAAACCGCGATATTTCCTTTCTGAAATGGAAGACGCAAAACGATTGATTGAACCAATAGTCAATGGACTCCTTCGAAATGATCCCAAAATGATTGAGATGGCTCAACGAAGTCTTGTCACGAATCCTGTGGAACGTTTTTCTGACGAGTGGAATGGTGACTGGAGAGCTAATGTAGCTGCTTCAAACTCATACCGTGGAAGTCAGGAATCAGTTGGCTGGCATGCAGACCAGGTGCGGACTTTGGAAGCTGCGCCTGTCTTAGCCCTCGAGTAGCCTTTTATTGACATGAATGAATGAGCTGCAACAGCTTACCTACTTAGGTCCGTATCCCACTATTGCCTCTCTATCCCTGGGAACTGGCCGACAATTCAGGTTACGAGCTGTGCGCAACCTGAATGACCCTCTTGCCCCACCACCTCGCACGTATAGCATCTTCTTGCCCCACAACTCTCTTCTGATCATGCATGGAAGCTGTCAGGAACGCTACAAACATTGCATCCCAAAGCAATCCTCGATTGATGTTTTCAAACCGCTATCGAATACTGAAAGCTATATAGAACGGATTAATATAACCTTTCGCTTCTATCGACCAGACTTTCGACCTTCTCGAGTCAATGAGGCCACCCCCGATGAAAACCTGGGGACTCCTAGATGTCACTGTGGCATCCCAACTATCTTACGGGCTGATCAAAAAGGAAAAGCATCAATCAACTCTCTGAAATCCAAATCTTTCTCTGCACCTTCACAAGGCAAATCGACTGATCAGCAGACACAGTCAGACTATAAACTACTGTTCTTTTGGCATTGTCAAGGAAGCCTACAAAACCAGGGTAAAAATTGTGGATTTTTTCGCCTTTTAGATATGGAACGAGAGGGCCGCGGACCTTGTTTAGGAGCTGAACGGGCTGCAGAACTTTCAACTTTCCAAATCAATTCGATGTCATCAACATCACTCGTGCCATATTGAATGTATCGTAATGATCTTCCAAGTAGGTTGGGTGCCGTGTTTTTCCTGCCTCTTGGATTCCCTTTGAACTGTGATTCAAAGTTACATGAGCATGCCAATTCGTGATTCTTATAAATCTCTACTACCGTTTATATCAGATGATTTTTTCCCCTCACCATATGCCTGTGGATTTGATCGTTAATCGTTATGTATGTACTCATGTATTTTATGTTCGTTGTACCTTTCGTATCATCAGTTTGATTTTCTGGTTCTTTTGCCAATCAATAAAATTTGGCGCAACTTGAGCATTTTGGGTACGAGAGACTATGTGACTTTCGTGACATGAGTATATGCGAAGGTAACTGACTGGATCATATTCAAAGTTGGAGTGTTGTGAAAATAATCAGCACTTTCTAATCCGACAGGGCTTTCTGAGAAGGCTCTTTGTTCACCTGATTTCTGATTTTGTTACAGTCAATTTCACAAAGCTTGGAAAGCATTCCGCGCCAATTTGCTCAAGTTTGGCGGGCAAAAGTTTCCAAGCTTTCTGAAATCGACTGTACTCGCATTCGGTTCCAAAGGTACATACAATGGACCGAGTCGTCATTCCTGTGTTACTGTATCCTTTTCTTTTTTTGATTTGATTCCTGCCGCACATCCTACAAACTGTTTGGATGAGTACTTCGATGATGAACAGTCAATTGATATCTCTTTTCCATGCAGCTGATTTCACTCATAGCTGAGCTTAAATCTCGAACAGATTCTCGTGCAGGATCATTATTTATTGGGTCAGATGATGGACTCAAAGTCTCTCCTGCGCCTGTTAATGACCACGCGCCTGTTTACCAAACCGCGGCATATTGTGATCTGATGCGACGTCTTTGATCTCATGAAATTTCCTGGCTTCATCATTTCTTTTTCGATCAGTACAGCCCATGGCCCATACCGCTTACCATTGGCCAGCTGTCTCCCACAGACTGATCACCCGGCTTGTATTATTCAGCCGATCCAACCTAAATCAACACTATCCTTCGCTCGGCAGAACACTGAATGTTGACCGATGCCGAACCACTCAGACAAATGACGCGAATTCATACGTGGCCGAGCGGCATGATTGCGCAATCAATTGCCAATTATTCCACTCAACTGGATTGAGTCGAATGACTTCTCCCACATTGGTCTTCAGCTAGAGATTAGAGTGATTTCACGATATATTTCAAATCACAACCTAAGCCAATACAATGTATGAGGTACCACAATGGAGGGAGAGAGGGAGAAAAATCTTCAGCTGATGAAGATGGCTTACCAATACGATGGTTGAGTCTTCGTAACAATCTTGGTAAGAATGGTGAATCCAACTTGAGCAGTAGATGATCCTCAATTCAACTTCGTCTCAAGCAAAGGAGGTCATCAACTGTCAGCCTTCAACTTACCACCACTATTCGCACGGATGCATTGACAGCCTCGCAAATCAAAGGTTACAATTGAGTGTAAAGAAACATTATGTATGGTCGATTATATCTTGCTGGAATGACCTCAACGGATTGCTTAAGGATCATGGATCTCCAATCTGAGTGTTTAATAAGATAATGTCCGTCTCTGGACTGATTTCTTTTGTGAATCGTTGGGAATCGTTTTCTAAACCTGAAAGCTGAGAGACTTAAGGATATGATAGGATATGGTACATTTTCAAAGTGTACGAAGTAAGTTGAGTTCATGTTAAATTAGAAAGTGTCTTCCTTGTTGTACTTCAAGTTCGACGTCACTTAAAATATTCTTTTCATTCTTCCTTGAACCTTCCTTCTGTGATTGAAATCAATTAAGTAAGTCTCGCCGAATTGAAATCAATCAATCAATCAATTTTAAAGTCAGAGTCTTGTCTGAACATCAAACTATCAACTCACACCATTGAACATTCTGAATGATTTCAGTTAGTCTGACCGCAGTGGTTTGAAATCTTTAATCCTTGTCTATTTCTCCGAAAGTCAATAATAACATTAGTATGTATCACTCTTACTAATTCTTCTTGAATTTCACTTTAACTCTCAAAGCCGTCATCATATTATAAGCTCATCTTTACATAATCATTAATAAACTCAAACTAACTTCATCATCCTTAATCTTTGATTTCCTTTCTCAAAAACTACTTTCTGATCTTTTGATTCCCATTTGACTGTCTTACCTATTATTATTAAGCTTAGCAGCCTTTGTTTTGTTTTGATTTACTTTACAAAATAAACTCAATAAACTCAAGCAGCGATCATCGATTCAAGTTCTTCCGGGGTAATATCAACGCTTTTCGAGATAACCTTCTTTTTTGATTGATTTCATTCGATTCTTTGAAAGTGTGAGTGAATCTTTATTTCGAATGTAAATTTTCTTTTTTTTTCTTTTTCTGCCTCCTTATTCCTTCGAAGTCATAATTCATACATGGCAGAGTTAAATAAAGTGAAGATACCTTTCAAATATTAGATTGGTTTTGAAAAACTCAAATTCTTAACACGTCGGATGTCATGAAGTGAGAAGCATCTTCTCAATTGCCGAGATCCTCACCGGTTCATCGTGAGGCCCAGGGGGGTGATTGACATTTCCAGTTTGTTTTCTGACTGAAACTCTCGTCCTGATTGACAATAATCCCTTCATCTTGGCTTCATTTTCTTGAACACCTCAAAGATGAACTTCTATAGCGGTGGGATTTCTTGGATTTCTTAATTATCTCACCTCCTTACAAGTCAAGCTCAATCTTACTACTTCAGACTCCTTACTTGGTGAAGAAATCCGGATTTGATCTTATGAACCGACTTTCTATCAGTCGTTGAGCGAGGTCCTATTTCTTCCAGGATGCCATCTTCACTACCTAAGGGACAACGTGTCCCAATTCAGGTCTCACGTGTCGATATGGGTTGCGAGCTCAACACGTTTGTTTCGCTCATGCTTTTACTTCTTTTCCAAAGTGACGCACTGTGGATTGTGAGCGTATCATATCATCGGTCGTCGGCGGGTTGCCATATGGCTCAAAGTAATTTTATTCACCGGTCATCATAACTATTGGACCCTCGAACGCTCTGTTGGACTTGAGCTCTTTCGTCTAGAATCTGTCCCATAAGCATTGAGTGGGAATCGGACCGCCTTCAACAAAAGGGCAATACTTCCGCCGAGCTCAAGCGTTTTTTCTGCAAGGACTTTCGAAGCTGGCTTTCGCATATCCAAAATAATTATAACTCAAGATATTGCCCTCTGGAACTAGTTTTTGTTATCTCGTCGGGGTTTTGTATCCTGTTTGAATTATTCATAAATACAAATATCGAAAGATCTAGCAGCTCGTTGAACGAGTAGCCACATCTTGATCGTTATCTCCCACCTCATTCTTTATTCAAACACAACCGTTCATGATTTAATCTTCAGTGGACTGACCTTCATTTTCCATTCGACAAACAGACAATCAAACCTGATCAAACACCTTAAATTTCCTCCTAACAAGAGATACTAAATTGTTGGTCATAAATTCTATATTCTACCTGATCCGAAAGAGAATCAGAAAAGAAACATTGACCAATGCTTGTTTTTCAGACTATCCGTCATCTGATCCTTCACGGCTCACCTTGATCTCTGTCGAACGATACCCTTTGATACTTCATTGCGTCGATAGCGGTGTTGACCGCCTTGAACTTCGTCTTCGTCGACCTTAATCAAATTTGTCGTCGGAAGGTGTCCCAAGTGCGATATTGATATTTTTTGTCAAGCAGGTGAATTCGGGTCTGATGCCAAAGGCTTCCGGTTTTCACTACTCGTAAGACAGGATCATTGCTTTTGGACGGACACTAGTGGTCATTAGCCTCGTTTTGGAAATTGTGCAGTACTGGCCCTCGTAAGTAATATTCGTGCCTGCCTATTCACTTTTCAATAGTTTCCGTCCTCTATGTTCTCTCTTCTCTCTTTTTTTCGTCACCTCCTCGACATGATGAAAAATAAGGCCGGCGAGCAACCCACGTCTTAAATGGTTGATTCAAGAATTGTGCTCTTAGTCATCCAACCCATATATAATCTGGTGGCGAAGACCATCGGCGGACTATGACATGACGTGTCACTTGTCGCTAGTTTCACTTTTTCGCCTTCTCTTTTCATTGCTCGCAAAACCCATCGGACAATTGAATGCCACGTGAATTCAAGGGATTTGAAGGGCAAACTACATATTCCTATGAAATAATATATTTCCTCTGGGCAATCACCGGTGTGGGCAATGGTCGCCGCTTGTCTTCGAGCGCGTTCTTCAGTCTTCTGAACTATCAACAAAGTTTATAGTTGATTCTACGTAATTTGCCCCTTTTTTTGGGTGCGCTTGGTCATATTTTTTGAACATGGTATCACCTACCTGTTCCCCTTTGCTTCAGGAGTGTGCTTTACGTTTGTGATAACCAATCATCAGCGATTACGATCGGATAAATGTTGGTGCATCCATACTCTGAGGACCGTCAAGATCGCAGTGGATATTCCTCATTAATGAGAGGCCGTGGCGTACGGAATTCAAAAGAGCTGAAGAGAACGTACTGTGTTCCAGCTGAATCATGTGTTCAATGGAGCCCTGTGTTGAGGCTTTTCGAAGATGACCAATTTGTGATGCTATCGATACATCAAACTATATTTTCGCCTATATAAATAATCTTCCAGTCAAGCTGCCACTTCGAGCCTAATATCTAGTCAGGCCGCGAGTTTGAAAGAAGAAAGAATGAGATTGACAGAATCTTTACGATGAGGATGAAGGTGACTGACCTCCGCAACTAAAACAAAAAAGAGGTCACAGGCCGTATTAAACCAATCCGGAAAAAAACATGTCGTAAAATCCGGAGTGTCTGGGTTGAAGTTCCCGTCGAGCACTCCGTTTGAAAATCTTTGATGGTGTGACTTGTGAACGCAAACACGTCCCAAAATTATCCGCAATCCGAACCTGTTCTACACGTTTTCCTTCCTCAAACACTTCAGGATCCTATCCATGATTAAGAAATTACGAATCCTAGCTTCAAGTGTTTTTTTGACTTTTGTCCACTCGAATGTCGCTCATTGGTTTGGTAGCAGACGACCAAAAACTGTTTAGGTAAAAGCACGAACAGGATCCGATGAGCTATTTCCTGCTATTTCTTTCTCAGTTTCGGTCTTCTTCTATGGAGAAGGCTTTGAGGCTCTAGAATAAAGTTTAATGAACCCAAACAATCCCTTTATTGAACACTTGTACTTCACTCTACCTCCTCTGTTGCACCTTTTTTCTTCCTGGCCAGAGGGGATGGGAAAGGTTTGGCACTGTTTTTCTTTCTTTCTTGTTCATTCTTTTTTGATTTTCAAATTGGAGTTGAAGAAATATTCTCCGAGTGAAGCTTTTGACTGACTTGTTGGTTCTTACGTTCTTGCGGTCACCGGGTCTTCCTATTTCCTTTTTTCATCGCGTCTCGCTATCTCCCTCTCCACCCTATCTTATTTGCAAACTCCCTCAACAATCTGCAATTCTCACTTACAATCCCCTTTGATGATGCACAGGGATCAATTCAATCCAATTATCTTATCAGCTTCAGCTTCAAACTGGTTTCTTTCTCCGTCATCTTTCGAAGATGAGAGAATTCCAGGATCGACGAGATCGAACGAGTTGGGCCTGCTCCGTTGTCCCTCAACATGTCACACAACCCAGCATAAGCAACAACACACACCACCCTTACCCCGATCCTGATCACAGCTCTGAGTCAAAGCCACTCTCACTCACCACATCATGCCTTCCATCTGGGCCCTCTTCTGGTTCACCTCACCTACAATCCAGTTCACCACACTCCGCCTTGACCCCGTCTTTACCACCGGTTTATACCGTACAGCGTCATCAAAATCGGTTTTTTACTCCAGCTGTTGACTCTCAAGAAACCGCAGACGGCGTGGGTTCCGAGCAGCGGGGTATCCAAAGCCAATCAACCTCTGAACACCGTCACCACCAACTTACACCCCTTGTCAGTTTTTTCCTTCAGTTTTTTTCTTTTTTATCCCACTTTTTTTGTACCTTTCTTTATCCTTTATACACGTAAAAACTGCTTCCAGAGACATTCAGCAGACATAGATACCTATTCTATTTGTTTATGTCATGCCCTCATACCATCCATCCTTTTCAACTGATTGGTCCATGTTCAATGCTATCAGCTCTCACTGATATTATATCTCATCTTTCAGCCGCAACAATTCACCATGATGTCTGAGACCTGGTATGGACTTGTACAAACTCCAAGAGATGCTTATCTTTTGCTGGAAGCATGTCGAGTCGGAAAGTTATATAGAATAACACGTCGGCTCACTGATATGGAGCGAAGCCAGATCATTAGACCAGGTGCAGTTTTTGTGTGGGAGGAGAAGGAGGCGGGGATCAAGCGTTGGACAGATCATGTCAGATGGAGTCGTGAGTTACTCGTCATCCTATGCAGCATTTCTCTCTGTCTCCCTTAGTCTCTCTACCATCTTCCTTGTAGTAGTTTTTTTGTTCATGTATGCGGCGGCTGCGTCTCCTTATGAGTCTTTACCCATCACTCGGAATAGAAGCACAGAGTTATCGTGCTTATTGAAGAGATTTGAATCGATCTGACATGCTCATAATCATGCTTTGTGAATTCGGTTTTCATGCTGGCAGCTTCGCGCGTCTCGGGGGCGTTTTTGATCTACTCGGAGCTTCTCTCAGCTTCTTCCCGCGACTCGCAAACAAGTAGCGACCCTCTATTAAAGCAGTCGTTTTCATCAACAACCTTGGAAGGCGATAAGCTTCATCTCATTGCTTATTATTCTAAAGCTGCCCTAGATTCTGGTACCTTACCCACTCCGACTCTGGACTCCAGGCTAAGCGAGATGGTCATCCCACCTGGAATCTATCCAGATCATCGGGCAACAAGCGGCGTAGAAGATGATTCAGTACGGGAGCGACAAAGAATGAGTCTGTTGGCGCGTCACTCAAATGCGAGCTTACTTGAGTCCGTTCCATCGGCCACTTCGGTGGAATCGACGACCTCCTCGATTGACGCAGCCGGCCGAATGCAGCCCATCACGCCTACTTCTACTGCCACATCAATGCCGCTGAGCGATTTCAGCTTCAGTCACATAGGCTCATTACCCGAATCCAGCACTCATCGCGCAACGCCAGACGCTAAGATCTACATGAGCCAGCCCAAGTACTCACCTTCGAACTTTGTTCCGGCCATCTACCCCATCTCTCATGGCATCATTGACAGTAGTCCGTCCTTCAACGACCGCAGCGGCCGATGGCAAACATATCAACCCCCAACAGATTGGATCAATCCGAGCGGAGTGGTTGGTAGTGTTACAGATCCTCGAAACGGAGGCTACGGACGATTGCATAGCTCAGGAGGTTCAACCACATGGGGTCCCACTCTCCCACCGCTTACCACCTGGCAAGCTGAACCCGAACGTGAACGAGGGGGGCATGAGCGTCGTTTCTCGACATCGGGAATGTTGAGCTCCAGCCTGAATGGTCATAGTTTTCATCCTTATGCACGCCCACCTGATTCCGCGCGTGGTAGGTCAAGTGGTAATCACAATTATACTAGTAAAGAATCAACCGAGCCTACAGATACGGAAGGTTTATCTCACGCGCCATCAAGAACTCCGGGAACACCCAACCGTCGAGGATATAACTTACCATCGATGAATCAACAACCTACCCCTCAATCCTGTGGTTCGATGGGTCCTCCCCCTTCTACGAAATCGGACTCGCCAAGCAGTAACGTAGGCCAATCGCGCCCGGGCAATGGTTTCTCCAATTTGAGCCCTCACTTTGGAAGTAATTGCAATGTACAGCAACAGCTCGGGAATGGATTATATCAAGCAAATACTCCAAGAGAACAAAATATTTCAAACAATTTTCATAGAACTGATAGATTGTCGAACGATATTGGGAATGAAACAACTGTGTCAAATAACTATCCAGATCATCAACATCATCAAAATATCCAACCTTCTTCTAATATTAAATCTTCGGATCATACTCCAGCGAGTGACACCGCATCACAACATGATGATAATCACCAGTCTCTTGTATCTGATCAATACGAATCATTTTCCAAAAATAAAGAATCTGATTCCTCAAACTTTGATTTTGAGGAAGAAGATTAAAAGACGCCTCCCTCGTTTCGTAATCTGTTGTACTGCCTTTTCATTATGATTCGGGTTTAATTTACCTTACTTGTGCTTATATAATTGGGGGTTAGGTGATCGAATACAATGTAGTTATATAATCACTTAATAATACATGTTGTGTTTCTTTGTTTGTTGCATATATTGGTGGGTTGGGGTTTTCATTTTATGATAGACAAAGGGAATGATGAAGAAAAAATAGATTAGACATGTGAATATCCTAAGAAGACGAAATTCAAATTCCTATGGATAGTTTTTTCTTTTTTAAAGATACAGTCTTGTTTTTTCTTTGAATTGATTCTCCATTCCATTCATTTTGAAAGAATGATTCTAGAGATTTCTTATTTTTATAAAAGGATTCTTTGATCTCTGCTGTAATTCATTTTCTGAAATGAGTTCATTTAATTAATTCTAGAAGTTGATTGTGTAATGAATCTTGAATGGTTGGTCCGTTTTGTTTACAAGCTGAAGATGTTGCTTAAATGTTTTAAATGTGATGGCTCATTGGTCTCGTGAATTGGAGTGAGTGAGGAGAGAGAGAGCCTGTCCGCTGACATGTACAAATATACATTATCAAGGAATTTTACGGGTGGGATCGCGCCATGTTGAACTGTGATGATTAATCTCATTATAATGTTCATGGTGTCACTTGTCCATTCTTCATCCCCATGACTATAAAGTATTTTGAAATCCTGATCTACACACTAGGTTTCCATTTGGTTGTACAAACCTTAATTCTTACTCTGCGTATGTCATTTATTCTATCAATGTACCATCGTTTTCAAAAAGCTTGTCACAAATTCACTGCCAAATTGTTGGTGCTTTGCGAACAAATTTGGACAAGCTTTTGGAAAACGACTGTATATGGCTATGTGACATAAAGGATGAAACAAGGATGAAAAAAAATGGTTTCAGAAGGGATCAGCATAATTTCTGGAAAACCATTTAAACCAACTGATGTTATCTTCTCAACATCTCTTCACTTCTGAAGCTTGTTTATTAGTCCGTCAAGATGTACTATAGACATTCTTGTAAAGTGTGTCCTCCTAACAAAAAGTGAGGTGGCTATAACCTAATATTCTATAGGACAAAATCCTGCAATGGCCTGATGCTCTCAAAAGCCATAGCTCATTTGAAATCTTGTTTGAGTTTTGATTCCTCAATCTTTTGGTTGAGAATTTCCAGGGACGTGTTTTAGAAGAAACACTTTGATAAGTTGTGATGTTGGATAACTGAGTGTGGTGTCAAGACACAAGCCTCTGCACAGCACACCAAAATTTCTGTCCATTAAGACTGTGTGGCAATCCAATTCAGTGGCTAGTAATTATTGAGATAATTAACTTTTGATGCTCTTAGTATAATAGGGTGGTTCAAGAAGAGAAACACAAACAACATGGTTGCCAAGTTGCGGTCAGCCTTTTTAGGGTTTCTCAATCCCCAAATCACTGTTTGACACTGAAGATCAACCCAATCACCTTACATCTGAATCTGAATCTAACTTGAGATCAGTAACTCCAACAATGACTACCAACATCACTTTCAACCCTGAAATTAGTCTTACTGTTGACTCCCACTCCAGCGTACCTGTGCTTACAGAGGACAACTATTCTGCATGGCACCAGAAAATCAAATCTTTTATGATGATGAAACATTTGGCAGCATAATTGATGGTACCAAATCCATGCCTACTAATTCTGCCCTTCTAATCTCTTACAACATGAGATGCAAATTTCTTGCTGGACTTCTTTGCTCTAACACAGCCAACATAGATGCCTCAGATTGAAAAATCTGAGGCATCGTCTGATTGAAAACCTCAGACAGAATCTTTCCAAGGTTTTGATCCAAGGTATCTTTTTGCACCAAAAAATACCTTGTATGAACACCTCAGACAAGATCTGTCCGAGGTTTTATATCCAATGATGCCTTGGATTTTTCAATTCAAGGCATCTATGTTGGCGGTGTGATTTAAGTGACTGTTTCTCTGAATTATTAGTCAATAAATCTAACAAAAAGAATCCCATCAAACTCTGGAAGACCATAGTTGGTCACTTTGTCTCAACTAAAGCTCACAATCAAGGTAGAGTGTTTTCTCAACAATTTACTTTATCATGCAATGGATCCACCCTTCAAGGAGTGACCACTTCAGTTCAAAAAACCCTCAATCACTTATCAGCTACCGGTGTTAAAGCCAACAATGAAATGATGGCCCATTTAAAACTTAACTTGCTTCCTGAAGAGTACTACCATCTTGAAGCCATGATATCTCATGGTGCAGAACTAATTGACAAAAAAATTTCTGTCAACTCTGTCATTAATCACATCCAACAGCACGTTGATGATAAAAAGGTTCCAGACAATCTGTCCTCATCTTCATCTGCCTCACTGCCAACATAGATGCCTTGGCTTGAGAAATCCAAGACATCATCGGAGGCAAATCCTTGAACAGACCTTGTCCAAGGTTTCTATCCAAGGTATTCTCTATACCTCAGATCAAAACCTTGGGAAGCTTCTGTCCAAGGTTTGAAATTCAAGGATACCTTGGATTTTTCCAGTCAAGGTAAATTTGTTGGCGGTGCCTACACTGATCAACACAATTTTCCTTCTTATCCCATTTGCCCAAAAGTAAATCACAATCCCAAAACAGTGCATACTTCCACAGAATGCTTTCAGCTTCATCCACACCTTGTCAGCCCTGAGTACACATACATGTACCCCAAACTAACTTGTAACATTAAAAACATTATGTATAAAATTAATTACATGTACATACTGAGCTTAGACGGTATGTAGCATGAAATACAATGTACCAAAACACTTAATACATATACATGTACACTTAAAACAGCATGTAATATGTAATAAAACACCATTTACACCTCATAACTCACACCGCGGGAATGATTAAGTTCAAAACCCGATTGAGCGAAGTTGCGGTGTCCGAGTCCGCAACTTTGCTCAATCACGGATTTCGTTCGCATCTCGTTCACATCTCGTTCACAGGTTTCCCTCGAGCTATCCTCTGCTACACCAAACTCATTCTATTCTCGACACGTGGTCATATGTAGTACATACATAGAATCCCTTGCGAGTCATCAGGCATCCTCCTTGCTACTATGTATTCTGGTATTACTTTCCAGGTTTCATTGCAGTGCTTTTGTCACGCTGCAAGAAGCATTGTCCCGACACCGTTACTTAGGTCGCTCACCGCTAATGCTAAACAACAATGAAGTTGGTGGACCTTTTGAGATACGGACAGGGAATTGGTGGAAGGTGTGATGGAAAATATGACCTTTTGTTGTGATCCAGATGATTGATCAACAAAGAAAGGAGCTCCGTACGGACAAATTGAAATTTGATCGTGTACAAGGGAGAGTACAGCTCAAGGGAAACCTGTGAACGAGATGTGAACGAGATGTGAACCAGATTGGCGATTGAGCAAAGTTGCGGACTCGGACACCGCAACTTCGCTCAATCGGGTTTTGAACTTGATCATTCCCGCGGTGTCAGTGTCAAGAGTTAAAATGCTTGTATTACATATTACACATAACATGTATATGTAATCAAACACTGTTAATAATAATCATTAACACATAGTGATGATTAAACCTGAACCAATGTAGTGATAATAACAAATATGACTACAGTTAGGTCTAGAGAGTAGAGTATATAAACCCCTCCTCTCTCAGCCTTCAGATAATCCCCCAACCAATTTTTTACACTCCTCTTTTAAAGAACCCTTTAAAGTTCAAATTTAAGTACATAATCAACAGTCTTATAATAAATAAGACTAGTGATTCACTTCATATCTTTAAGGAAGTTCCTGACTAACAGATAAAGTAATCTCATTCTTCCTCTTTCTTTGGATCCTCTACCTCCCCCAAGTAGGACTCTTCCTCAGGTTAATGACCTTCAAATAAACTTCAGGTAAGTCACCTTCTGAACAACTACAGGTTGGTGACCTTGAACAACTTCAGGTTAGTAACCTTCAGAACAACTATAGGTTGGTGACCTACATCAACTCCAGGTTAGTGACCTCTTGAACAACTACAAGTTGGTGACTTATTAAACAACCATATTTGTGACCTATACATCACTCTTCAATCAGTTACCTTGAAGATTGAAGGAGAGCCCTGGATCCAGCTTTCATAATATAATATTTTATAATCATAATCTCTCATTCAGGAGACATTCAATTGTAGCCTGTTTGGAATTGCCCAAACAAGCCAGTCCTCTTCTCCTCTATCTTTCCTCTTTATAAATTTATTGTAATTACACTATATTTTGAAATATACATATAATTATTTAAACTTATAAAACCCACCTAGCCATTTTTAGTGAGCCTTGAGTATACTTTTGAATACCCAACCCTCACACACCTTAAGAACAAGAAATGTCAGGCTACCACTAACATTGCCGCTTCTAGCATATCTGCTTCTCCCGCCACTTCTCTCTCTCCTTGCAATGACTTCTCTGCTCCTGCCGTACCACCAGCAATAACTTTCTTCCTGCTAGCGGCTGTACAAAAGGAGTGGACAAGGTCTTGAACTTGCTTAACAGTGGTGCCTCTGTCACTATGTTTCAAGATCAATCAACATCCAAAACTTACTCAGAACGTTCAGAAAACAAACAAGTGCTAAGGTCTTCTTGAAGATCTTAGGTTTAGGCAATTCAGAGGATGGCAGTTTGATGTGTACAGGAGCGTTTACAAGGGACTTGGTCAGGCAACAAGTAAATGTTCAACATATTCAAATATATCCAATTGTGTACGTAAACAAAGTGAAAGGAAAATATGAAGCAGAAGTGTAAATGATCACAAGTAAGATGAACTGAAAAGATGATAACAGATATGCGTAGCTGAGGAACCTATAACCAAGTAATAGTTCCTTCTATTTATAACAAAACAATTGTCTGAAGTTATTGCGGGTACAAAGTGATAGCTTGTGCCTTGGTGACTAAAAATGTCATAAGGGTAGAGTGTTAGAGTTACGGGTAAGAAAAGAAAGTCACTAGACCAGGATTTGAACCTGGGACCTCAGTATTAGCTGAGACACATGCTAGAGTGTTGCCTTTACCACAGCTAGCACCCCGGGCAAACAGGTGACGCTACATATGTAGCGTCGCGCTGACGCCACGGGGCCGGGCTTCGAGCGTCACCTGTTACAGATGACAGCGTCACCTGTCTTTCTGCGGCGTCACCTGGATTCTTGTAGCGTCAGCTACACAATCATCATATATAATCACCCCTCTCACAACAATATCTCTCTCCCTTTTTCGTTACTGTGTTCTATACAACATGCAAGATTCAATAATTCATTGTACCTGCTCCCACTGTAGCAAGCAAACCTTTACCGACGAGCATGGAACCGAAGTTCGCGGTCAAATGGTCCATCCTTCGACTTGAAGCAAACACCTCACTCGATATTCTGAAGCAAACGAAGACGACTTTATGGCACAGTTGGCCGAGAAATTCAGCAAAATGAAGGGACCAAACACCCCAGAACCCACAAGCTCATCATCTGAATCATCGGATTCGGTCAAATCGTCAGATGGAAGTTTTGAAGACCTGGTTTGTGCGTGTCGAAGCCATTTTTTCAACTCATTCCTATCGTAAAGCTGACCTTTGATAACTTTTGAATCTAGACCTTGTGACATACTTTGTTGCTTGGCTATACCTGGTGTGCGGTATGACACACGTCAAATGTTCTCTCGCTAGAGACTACGTCGTGAGGATTATGGACTTGGCGTCTCGGGTTCAGCTTGTCCATCGCTGGGTTGGTTCTATACCAAATGACGTGCAAACTACAACCAAAAGGTTGAATCTTGAACCAATAGTCGAGCGCTACGTTTGTTGCCTCAAGTGCTTTTCATTATACTCAATTGAAACGGCCCCAAACGAATGTGGTTATCGAGAAGTTACGTCGTCTGATCCGTGTGGAGCCGAACTCCTGCTATCACACAAAATACCGGAAATTCCGTCAATCATCCCCAAGAATCAAAAACCCCCTCGTGTCAATCAAAACATCAAGTCAAGTAAACCGGTCTCAACTTTCATGCTGCAAGACTTTCACAATTGGCTTACTTGGTTCTTATCGCTACCCGACATTGAAGACGCCATTGATAGTTGGGCGGATGAATGCAACAAGGATTCACCTGAGGTTACTGATTACCTCCAGTCATCAGCTTGGAAAGCGCTCTATCCTGGTCTCAACAAAGAATCGTCAGCGACAGGCTCCACATTACACTTAGCTTTCTCTCTGTTTGTTGATTGGTTCAATCCTCTGGGTAACAAGATATCGGGTCGCCAAACATCCCTGGGTATCCTTGCTCTTCACTGTTTGAACCTACCACCTCAAGCCCGTCATCTGATCCGTAATACGTTTCTTGCTGGAGTGGTCCCGGCTCCAAACCAACCGGACATGACTACAACCAGTCACATCTTATCACCTCACATCGATCAATTGTTGGCACTCAATCGCACTGTCAAAATCCGAACGAATCGCCATCCCGAAGGACGCAAAGTGATTGTCCGGCTCACAATACTTGTTGGAGATATGGTTGCAAACCATAAGGTGGCTGGGTTTACATCACATTCAGGTACATTCTTCTGCTCTTGGTGTCTTTGCCCCCATAAGAAAATCCAACAGATGACGATCGGACAAAAGCGAACTAGAAGAAACGTCCTGGATGCAGCACACGTCTGGAAAACGTGCGATTCGATTGAAGAACGTAAGACTCGAGTCAAACGACTGGTGTGCGATGGTCCGAACTTAACAGGCTGCCGTATTGGTACCCAGTTAAGAATGTAGGACTTGGGATTATGCATAATTGGTTCGAGGGCGTCCTGGCACACCATTTTCGCGTTCAATGGGCTTTTGAGGTCAAGAAGGAGTTGGCACAAGCTGTGTTGGATCAAGCGGAGGTCGACCTAGACGAGATTGAAGAAGGTACAGGATGGCTTTCCAGGGATCTGATTGTCGCCATCCTCAGGAATCTACGTGAAGTTCTGGTCCCCGTAGGTGTAACTCGAGTTCCAAAAGGCGTCGGAACTGCCGCCAATGGGAAGTTGAAGGCCAGTGAATGGCACGCTTTATTTGCTATTCATCTCCCATTAGCGGCGGTCAATATCTTTGTCGGCGAATATGATGCTTTCATTGAAGGCAAATCAAATCGACATCTTTCAAGATTATTACAAAACTTGTGTGCTCTTGTAGAGTGTACACATATTGTGGGTTCGAGAGCGGTTAGCAGTGGCGACTCGGATTGGTACAAGAAAGCTTACTTCAAGTATACGGTCACGTCGGAGGAGATTCAGCCGGGACTCAACATCAGATCGAACCATCACTATGCTATTCATATGGCAGCTCAGATGGATTGGTGGGGTCCAATGTTAGGTGTGGCTGAATTTGCAGGAAAACTACTATGCGGGTTTTTACAGAAGCTTAACACAAACGGGAAAGTTGGTGAGTCACCAAGCTGGATTGATTTATCATTTCAAATTTCATAATTAACGTGTTTTTTGCTCCTCTAGAGGAAATGGCGCAAACAATAATGCGACACTTTTGTCACCTTCAGCGATTGCTAGGCCGAGCTCCCCCAGAAGATCACATCCACTTGAAAAAGCAAACACGAAACGTGGGGCCGGCTTTCGAAGTGGACAACATGACTTACGATCTCCTTTTAAACTACTATCAAAATGAAGATGAATCTTGGACGGATTACCGAAAACCACCGTACCCAGTTGATGCCCAGGTTTTAGGACCTTTTGTGCGGGAAATTATGGGTCTTGAAGGTAAAACTGGGATTCGATATAGCAAAAAGAGCCCAAATAACATCGTCAAACTAGAGGTGGACGGTAAGGTGGGTTGGGCAAAGCTGCTTCATATCTTGAAATTGGACAACCCTTCCGATATGGTCGCATTGGTAGAAACACTCTCAGAGGTCGAAGAGGAAATGCTGGGGTCAGTGTTTGGCCAGTTAGGCATAACTCGCGTCATACAGACGTTCAAGAAAAAAATCATATCTACCAAATACATAGTTTCACCAATGCCCCATCGCAATCTCCCTGCTTGGTCGATGGGTCTTAACAGTCCAAGTATCTTGATTTTAGGAATTGGCGGAGGAGCAGAGGCAGCAGAGGACGAACCTGTGGTTAGGGATATGGATGTGGTTTATTCTTCCACAGTAGGTAATGGAGATGCGATGGATATCAATACTGACCCCTCCATGATTTGAAGCTATGTATGTTTCCAAATTATTTGTGTTAAGCCTCGTTTTGTAAGATGGGAGTGTCTTTGAAAAGATTTGTACTGTAACATAGTTGGTGGTAATGATTTATCAAGAAATTTATTTCCAAACATCGACAAGAGAGAGATAGAGAGATATAACTGGAAACAACAAATGTGAAAGAGACGGAAAAGAAATACAAGTCTGACTATGAGATGAGATAAACAGACGCCTTGGGAAGCCATGGGTAGGCCCAAAAGCTTGGCCAGACATAATCTTTCGCCCAACCTTTCTCTTCGTCTGAGAGAGCGGCCCATTTGGTACGGCCAAAGTCTTTTATAAAGTTGGTATCATGTATCCACAGGGTCTTGGTCTTGACCGCACGCTCGGGAAACTCTACGGCCATTATGTGAAGTGTAACCAACGCCACCATTCCACTAACTCTGATGTCGCTCCAGAACCTGGATTCACACTTGTTAGTCTGGTAGAGCTCTGATGAATGTGTGAAACTCTCACTCACATCTGTTTACCAGCTTCGTGCCAGCTCTTGCACACTCGTGTAAGATGAACGTTTTGAGTGCCTTCCGGGAAACGTGGTAGCTTTGAAAAGATGTTTTCCAAGATGTGTTCTGGTAAAGTGGACCAATTGAGCGAATCATGTATGTTACCGGAAAAAGACATGAAGGTAAGGTGTAACTGATGAAGTCCGTAAAGTTTATACAAGTCAAATTTTTATCTTGGATGATTTGTTTTTTTGGGTGATAGTTGGCAAGCTGAGGGGCAATCAACATGTTTATATATATTATAGGACTCAGGAGACCCTTTACGTACCACCAATGGTCGTGGGAAGAACTTCCGAATTGGCGGATGGTTTCCAAGGGATGTTTCGTTTCAATTCCAATCCATCAATGTCCAAATTTGTTCTCGCAGGAAGGGTTCACTTTTTTTTTGTAAAACTCATACTTCATGTCTCTCACCATTTAGCTCGCTCAAGTTTTTTCGAAACTATTCACATTGCAACTATATACATACGAAAGAGTATTTTTTTGTTTTTTTTGAGAAGAGAAACACAGAGGAAAATGAAACAACAATCATTAAACAGACACCTCGGTAAAGACAGAATGGAAAATAAAATTCGAGACACATTGACACATAGAAACAGAGAGGATTGAGAGAATGTAACAAAAAAACGACGGTAAAGACAGACAGAAAAAAATAAGAATCAGACACGGTAGGGACAGACAAGAAACAAATCAGTTAAGACAGAAGCCAAGAAATCATCATCCTCACTCAAGCATTTTTCCAAGCATCCCACCTTTTTGCCCGAGCATCGTCTTCATCTGCCTCCATGTCCTCATCTTCAACATAGTATTCACCTCTCCCTTTCGCTGCACTTTCTTTTGTTTCAGCCCTCTGTTTTCCTTTTCCGACCACAAGAGGCTCTTCCTCTTCATCATCATCATCCTCCTCCTCTTCCTCTTCATAATCGTCTTCCTCCTCTTCATCATCATCTTCTCCATTGGTGTCGTCAAGATCTTCGCTAGTTCCAGCGTAAGTTTCATCGTCGTCATCAGATGATTCTTCATCCTCTGAGCCAGGATCCTCCTCATGTTTGAGATTATAATGTTTGGTTGCCCTAGCCCAATGTTTTTCGGTGAATTTTTTGTCGCCAAGTTTCTCATCGGGATGTGTGTTACCAAGAAGAGACAGAGAAGGATCTGGGAGAAACATAACTTTGAAGGCATCCGCCATATCCTTTCGCTGTGACATTGACAAGATGTTGTTGTACCAATCGGGGTGGTAAAAGTCCAGCAGTAGGCCCTTTGGAGGTTTTGTAAACATTGATTGAATTGGGTTTTTCGGTCAGAATCGCTTGCGTCTTTGCACTCGTTTGCCTTTGAGCTCGTCATCCCTAGCCATATGCTCATCAACACGTCGGATGAAAATACCAGCAGCTTCGGATCAGTATCCTGGGGTCTTGACTACGTAAGCACCACACTTGGGGCGATATTCATCGTTGCTATGAGCCTCGACCATAGCCAACATCTCCTGATAGCGCTTAGGAAACTTGTGTGCGACTGCATGAGCAAACCGAGCATCACGAAGCTGCAGGTATGAAGCAATAGTAAGCCAATGTTGAATAAAAGAGGGGAAAAACGTTCTCATGCGTTGACGAGCCCGTTGAACCGCTTTTCTTTCCTCTTCTTTTTGAATACTACCGTTTTCTTTTGTCTCCCTCTTGAATTTCGAAGCGATCCAGTAATGAACATAATGGTTGTAGGTTCGCTCAAGTAAAAGGATATTGTTGAGGTACTGGCCGCTAGCGTTTGGAAACGCTTTCCCAGTGACCCACATTCGAAAGATCCGGATAGCACTAATACGACATGCCTCGTTCCAGAGGGAATCGGGTGCATCTGTGAGGTCAGGACACCAGCGGCGGATTCCAAGCTTGGCCAGCATAGCTAGAGAGTAACAAAGAAAAAAGTCCTGAACGTGCACAATTCCACGGCCGATCTTGATGCGTCCAGATCGAGCGTCAGCAAGTGTCACGATCTCGTTGTGAGGGATAAGGTCCTGTTCTGTAGAGCTGTCAGCGACCTCTGTGATCTGAGCAGCCTCGGTGAATCGAGCGTTGAATTCGGCCAAACGTTCTGGGTCAGGTACCACGGGAATCGAGCCTTTTTCCATCATGTTCCATAAGATTCGAATAAAAGCATAAAAACAATCCTAACAAATAAAGTTCAGTATGACTTTGATTGTAGGAAGAGAGATAGATAGAAACTCACCTTGGTTTTTTGAAACCCTTCAGGAACCTCAAGTGTATCTAATTGATTGGGATCTCGTTTTACTGGGGATGACTTTGGAGGTGGTGCAGAGGCACGTCTGGAGGTTTTCGATGTTGATTTTGGGGTCGATTTGGCAGAAGTCGAAGGTCTTTTGGGGGTCTTAGTAGGAGAGACCTTTGATTTTCGAGCACCAGAGCTTGCGGGCTTGATCTTTGTTGTTACAGATGAATGTCTTCTAGACTTCTTCTCAGAGGTTTGTGTCGCTTGGGATAGCGCTAGTAGAGGCCCTGGGCTTAGCTTTTGTTGACTTTGTAGATGACTTCTTGACCGAGATCTTGTCAAACTTTTTGCTGAGGAGGTCGTATTCTTCGTCGCGGGCGGAAGCGTCATTCTGCATCTTTTGAATTAGTTCATGCTGAGCTGCCAGTTGTCTAGATATCAATTGGAGATCTATAGGATTCGCGGGAGGAATTATCAACGGTTGATTGGTGGGAGGTTCGCCGGGAGGAATCGTCAATTGTTCATTGGCGGCAGGACCGACGGGAGGAAGCATCAATTGTTGACTAGCGGGGGTATCAATGGGAGGATCCATGTTGTCAAAGATGCGACTACAGGTATTTTCGAAGATGAAATCAATAGAGTCAATGAAAGATTGTGGGATGTTATAGAAGAGGGACCGTATATAAATTCCTTTGCGATCAAGAATGAAGATGATTTGAAATATATTCGAAATATATTTAGGATCATTGGTTGATCCTTCGCCCTTTCTTCGGAAGATCATCCTTGACAAAGGTGCTGAGCAGCGTAGAGGTAGATACACGTCAGAAGATTGATGTTGGACCAATTGAGCTCGATGGTGACGTTCAGGGGTGCTGTACTTGGGATTTTCCGATTGAAAAGGAACTAGACCCTGAGCGAGGAATCAATGACTAGTGATTCATTGGGAGGATGGCGTGGGTAGCTGACGCTACAAGAATCCAGGTGACGCCGCAGAAAGACAGGTGACGCTGTCATCTGTAACAGGTGACGCTCGAAGCCCGGCCCCGTGGCGTCAGCGCGACGCTACATATGTAGCGTCACCTGTTTGCCCGGGGTGTAGGCTATCCATTTTGGTACCAGATGTGATAGCCATGCAACTGTATATATGTGTACAGAGAGTATGAACTGGGATAGGACCAGTTCAGTGTGATGTAGTCACATGTGTGTAGCTACATGGCATGGATCAGTAAATGATCATACATCAACATAAAGAGGATCTACCAATAACTAAGTAATAAAACATGTTGGGGTACAGTGAAGTCCTGTAGAAAGTAACCAGAAGTGCTAGGTGTTAGCTCTGATATCTCCCTTTTGGAGCTATTTGCCTTGGCCTAAACATAGCTCAGGTGTTTTGAACATGAATTGCTAGGAGTTGCTTGCCCTATGTCCCCTTGAACTACTGACAAAAATCAATTTTCCGTCTACTTGAAACAGTCTCTTTGGCTGAAATCAACGCTGGGTCAGCTGAGCTAGAAATAGCTGAGGCACAGCTGTGCGCAGCAGTTTTTATCATGCGCTGTGCTCTTCTGGGAGCATAGCTCTTTCTATAAGTACACAGCAGAGCGACAGGACCTGGGGAAAAGACCTTTTTTTATGGGAGATATGCCTCAGGCACTAGTAGCACCGTTACCCGGCTTAGCTGTGTGCCGGGTTCAAAATCCCCAATCACCAATCTGGTATGAATCACGGAGTTACATGACTGTATATCCTAATCTGGCACTTCTATACACCACTAAACAATCACAAACACTATATACCTCTATCTGGATGCCAAAACAATGTATACGGCCTAGTACACAGGCCAGGCAATACCGCAAGCACACCACACTATATTGTGGTTGTGGTGCGGTTGCGTAGTGGTTTTGGGCGCTGCAATTGCACCACAACTTATTGCGGTTCCAGCACACTGCAACCCGGCCTCAAGAGACCCAGTTCTTGGAAAGACCACACCACAATTGCGGCTTAACCCCAATATACCACTATATTGCAGAGTGAGACCCCTTGTACCCAGGAGAGCTGTACAACCTTGTACAGCTCAACTTCTCTTTGATATCCACCCACCTTCACCACCATACATCACAAGTGAATCAGAATCAAAACTAATTTCCTTTATAAGTGCTACTTACAATGAGAACTTTCACGTTATTTGGTGCAATATTGCACATAGATGGCACATATTGCACAGTTTCCGTGATGTTTCCACAATATTGTTGCAATATTGCGCAGCGTACAAAATTGCGGCAATAGTGCACAAATATTGCACTCCTGACGCTCTGCAACCATAAGATGGAAAGAAGAAACCCCTTTGTGGAGTGGTTGTGGTGCTTTTTATTGCACTAAAGGTACAATGCAATGGAAAAAGCTCAAAATCCATTGTGTTGTGTTGCACTTGCGGTGTTGGGCCAGGGACTCAATGGCAACACATACACTGTGTTCTTGAACTGGAAGTCAAATCTATTTGATGATCATCAAGGCAAGTAAAAAAATAACATCAGTATTTTCTTATCTCACTCAATTCTCTCATCTTATTCTCCATTGTATCTAAATCCTACTTCACCTGCTTACTTATCCATATCACTCCTTATTCCATTCATCTACCCCATAAATCAACAGCATACTAGTACTATGTAATCTGTAACATCTGAACACCCGGTCCACTCTTGCAAACAGACCACCACACCTGGCATGATTGTCCCAAGTCCAGGTTCGCACTGTTGAGTTTCAATCAAAGTTATCATTCTAGCAAAGTCTCAGGACAAACAAAAGAAGAATGAGACCGGTTCTACGGTCACTGTGATCCCCCCCAATGACAAATCTGAGGCTGGTGGTAAAGCAAATCCATCCAAATCTGAAGCAAGATTTGGTTCATCTCCAGTCATCAAAAAGCAAAATGAAGGCAAAGGCAAGAAGAAAGTATCAAAATATAAACACAATGTGGTTAGTGTTTTCTTTTTGAATGGCATTAATCAGCTCAAACCACCTGCAAATATCATTTCTTTGTTTGACCAATAGCACTTTCCAGGGAATGTCACAAGAGAGATGCTGCAAGCGGACTCAGACCAAGACAATCAGAAGATTGAAGCGAAGAAATGAAAGATTGAAAATCCCCAAAGAAAAATTGCCAAACTCAAGGCTTACTTTGGCAACCCATTCCACGGATATGACAATAAAGACAAGCACAATGTGAGTTCCACTCTATGTGTCTTCTCTCTTTCATTTTATCTTCAGTGTTGATATGGTATGGACCTGTTTGTAGGATCCAACCAAGGCCCCTCTGTTGTAACCGGCCCGTTTCTGCAAAAGAAACAAATACAATCCAGTTGGAGTTAGTTTGAGCAACCTCACTGGAAATCTACCAGTCCATTGCAATGAATGAACCCAAGATGGTCAATCTGATGTTGGCTGCCCTGGTCAAATCAAAGCTTGAGAGCAAGATTATTCCCTTGCTCTCCCTTCTGTGGACAGATATCATAAGGCACTTGCCAAGTCAAAGGGCTCAATGGACCCCTTTGTAGTTTCCAATCCTGCTGCCATATGCTCCAACCTTACACTCAACCAAATGGTGTGCAAGTGGTTCATCCACCAAGCCCAACCGTGAAATAGTATTGAAGACCCAATACTTTGAGTAATGGTTTGCTACCATTGAAAGGACACACACTTGTATGGTCAACACTGGGCTGCAGACAAGGCTAAGCTGGTCAACATATCACTCAAGTCAAACATTTTTTCTGAATTAAAGGTGCAAAAGTATTTCACTTTTCAGTTTGTGTTTGTAATCGTGGTGACTGACATTGTTTTTGTAATTTTTCAGGCTCTCAAGTCAAAGTTTAACCTTGTACACAACGGCTGGACCACAAAGGGCAACTGTCATGCCTTTATTGAGGTGGCAGGTACTTTTGTTGATAATGACTGGAACTACCAAGTCCTTCACCTCACTCTCAAACTGATTGTATGGCATCACCATGGCCCTTGGCTGGCCAAGCCAACGATAAACATATTGGTTAAGCATGGTCTTTTTAAAAAGACTAGAGAACATGCGGGCAAGCCCGCAACAGTTCAAAAGCACCTCATGGTGTGCAGTTGATTTGGTGTAAAGTAACTACAAGATGTAACGTGTCATTAAACCAGACTTGCACACGGTTGAACCAGATTTCACATTACACACTACCTACCCCACTTTATTTACCATCTCAATAGTGCTAACTAAGTGGAATAATCTCAGGAAGCACTGGACACCTGCTTTTAAGTCAGTGAGAAGTTGAACAATCTTTGCCCGTACACTTTCTTTTGTCAATCCGGTTTTCAAGACATTTTTGGAAATGTTGAAGCTTAACCTTTGAGACCAGGCGCATGTGACAGTCCTGATTGCATACTTCCTGTTCCAAGGGCGAGAAGGCTCCTACATGACTCTACTTTTGATGTTTTACAGTTAACTCGTGCCTCAGTGTTCCTACCAAAAAACCTTAAAAAGCAGACTCATGTGTCATTTCTGTTTCAAAAACACATCACACCTTCAATTGAAATCGAAATTCCTACAGAAAATTATATTCCCATCTTCAAGATGAGTTTGCCAGTTCCTCGTTTTCTCAACAATCAATGGTTGCTTTGCAGTGTCAGCATATGTGTGCATTATGAATAACGTGTATAAAGCATCATCTACATTTGTGACCAGACAAAGGACAACGGCAAAGGTTGAAGATTGGCTCGAAGTGGTTTTCAAAATAAGTTTAATCAGGGACTTGTGGTGAGAAATAGTTTGGAAAGGGATTGGTTGGTGTGACCCCGTTCCAAAAAACATGAGCCTTTTATGTGTTTCGTTGTGAGTCGAGTGTTGGCCAAAGGAAAAGTAATCATAATGTGTGCAGCCAAAGCAAAAAGCACAAAGAATATTGCCCAATGGTCTAAAAGAATGTGTATGACATGATTGGTATCAATTGACGACAGAAGAAAAGTCCACCAACAAAAGGAATTTGAGGGAAATGCAATCAAACAAAAAGAGAAACAACAGAAAAGCAATCAGTAGGTACTATAAATAGGGTGGGTCTCCATCTCCTCCAGGTGGACCGGACCAAGAATTGAGGAACAAATCCGGAGTACCGAGAAGAGCGGGGTCGGGATTGTATCTTTTTAGTTTTTAGATAAGTGTTCTTTTTTTGGTTTTGATGTTTGCAGTTAATTATTTACTAACATATGGTCATTATTGTCACACATGATTTCTCAGACCACTGGTTCCGGGTCAAGTGTTAAAACTATGGCACATGAAATGCACAAACAGTTCCAGGAACAAGAAGATATCACCTCATACTGCTGGACCCGGACTCAGGCTGAGACCCGAACTGGACACCATGAGGGTTTCCTGGTCCCCGAACCCTTGGGGCGCGGGTTTGGTCAGACTTTTTAAGCCTCCAATACTTTGGGGACCCCGTAGGGTTCGGGGGCGGGGGGAGCTTGGTTTGAAATCCCCAAACCGTGGGTTACCCGCAGTTTGTGAGCCAAATATATGGATTTCAAATCCTTAAGAGAAGTGACAAAATAAGTAAAAAAAAGAGTAGA